CTATCGAACCGATGCCTTTTTCAGCCAATTAACTTCTCGGCTCTGAAAGCGCGCAAAAGAAAAGCTTTTCTCAATTTCTCAAAGAGTCACTTTGTATAAAATTAATAGGGCTTCAAAATAAAGCGAACTGGAGAATTTATTATGATGAAGTAATTTATTTGAAAGTTAATGTTTAAAGTTAGACTCCAACACACTAAGTGTAGTACTAAACTCAACCTAATAAATGTGTAGCAGTACTCCATGTTGAAGGGAATCGGTGAAATTGAGCAATCCACCATGGAATGTCCTCAACGCTTTCGTCGATCCATAAATCACCGAGACGTCAATGTAAGCTGTTAGCTAAAGAAAATACGGTACTCAGAGTTTAGATAGATAAGTTTTTGATAAAAAGCTTGATTTTTATCCACTTGATTATTTTACCTGATTCATTTGCCGACGATCGCCAAGGTTGAGCTGACCGAGCAGTGACCGGGCAAAGGGGAGACATCTCAAAGAAAAGATACATAAAATCAATAAGCTTATGAATATTACAGTACTACTAATGAGATATATTTATCCAACAATAAATACCGCACCTTGGTTCTCCATTTGGATAATGACTGGGGAAGAATGGATCGCCCTCCTCCACCCGCATGGGCATACAATGAACGGAGATGCTCTCATGGGAATCACACCTAGAAAAGCAGTTATAGCGCGTTCTCTAAAAGACACCTATTTTAGAAAACTACCGTAGTAGGGTGCTCTTGCTACAGTATACCAGATGGTAGTTAATTTATATCACGGGTTACTGCAGCGAGACGGAGACGAGATGACATAACGAGCCGAAACGAGCAGCAGCGCCGAACAATAAAATTTTTGATCTTAAAGCTATGTAAAGCATTCAAACTCAATTTCAACTCTGCATTAGTTAGAATTTCATCTCGAAACCTTTTTAAGTGATCCCAGTGAAATCTTTTCTTGCCAAGAGTCTTTCAAATCAGATTTTCCTTTATTTTCTGTATTTGCATTCTCCTTGAGTTCTCTCGGGTCATTTCACTTATCAAAAATTAATTCGCATTGTGATGCAACGCTTTTTGTCAAGAAGAGAATTTTCGTATTGTCATAAAAATGGAAATCTTGTTGAGGAGGCTTACAGTGCACGCACAAGAATACAGTAACTTTGATTCAAATTAGCTTTGATTTAACTTTGATTTAACAGAATCTCTAAATTTACATATAAAACTCAGTAAATAAAATTGGCAAGCACGTTTCGCATCATTTTCCAACGCGTTGCTATTAATTTTAAAAAAAACAATAAGAAAAATTAATATGAAAGCCTTACGGAAGTTTAATGTTTTATCAAAATCTCGTATTTTTTAAGTTTTTTTGAGAAATGGCTTTGTTGTTCTGGTGCTAGATCGCTTTCAAATAGTATTTTCAAATAATACAAATAGTATTTGAAAGCGAAAGTAAGAAAATTGAATGTATTTGAAGATCAGGCAGAAAAAGATCACTCGTTTTCTAGACTTGCGCCATCTCCGGTTAAGTTTTCATCTCCGGTTTTTCGAAAGCAAACAATTTTCCGTAGAATGTTCAATCTGCAAAAGGGTTGCCTACTATTAGAGACGGAATATAGAACAAACGAACTACAAAACGTATAATGATGGGTAAATATGGCTTTGGAAACGAATCGAATTTGGAAACGGGCTCTTGAATCAGTGACGCTTGAAAAAACATTCAATTTTTCTTTACGAAGTAAAAATGTCCAATGCTCCGTTGTAGGAATATTTTAATTTTTGTCTTTTAATGCCTTTCATCTTCAACTTTATAAATGAAATTCGATAAATTCTTTATCACGAGAGTACACACAAAAAGTTAATACCCAGTTAACACCCAAAAATAAGGTGAAAACACAAATTTTACAACTCAAAATGTTCCAAAGTTGGTGGATCGATGCACTTTTTCCAAATGCAAATCTCGCCTGATCCCTTGGGACAATCGCAATCACGTTCACAATCAAGCTGAAAAGTTTTTCAAATTTATCAAATAGATGTTAGATTATCGGGTTACTGCAGATAACGAATTTTTATTCTCTACATTATTCTCAAAACATATCGTTTAGTGTTCAATTTCAACTCACTTACAATAAAAAATATTATCTAAACTCACATTAGATCCAGGCGCCCACGCACTCCTTTTTTCCTCTTTTGTTTTCTCTTTCCTTGCCTTATCTTGATCTTTCCCTTTGATCTTCCGCTTTCCGCGCTTCTTTGTTTTTCCTTCTACCACATCCAATAATGAAATCAAGAATAAAAACAAACAGATCAAAATGAATATCCTCATTGAATTGTATCTGAAATAACAACTAACGTTGAGTTTGGAGAAATTCTTATATTGATTTGGAATGATCGGGAATTCTCATTAAGCGTATAAGGACAAATCAGCAATGATGATGATTCAAAAAAGAATTGTTTTTATAAAATTTGGGCACTATTCGATTATACGCCAGATCATATAATGATCTGGCGTATAACCAGTCAATTAGCATATAATGAGTCAATTAGCATCTAATGATCTATTAATATACAAAACTTTTGAAATTCAAATGCTGCTTAGTCTCATTTATTTTCTATTTATTGCTCACATTATTCGGTCAGGTTTTCTCTTCCCGCGATTGAATCAGAGACGATCATCGAGCTTCAACTTCAATCTTGCCAACTCAACAATTCTGTCAAAAGGTTCCGATGAATCTTTCATATCATTATGTGCTAATTGACTGGGCATAACCGAAATAGGGAAGTGGCGGCGGTATAGTCAAAAAGTACCGAAATTCATAACGTACATAAAATAAGTGAATTGTTTAAATGGAAAAGATTCGAGAAAAGAAAGATGGTTGAGTAGTGTTGACATTAGGTAGCATGATCGTCTGTAATCCAGTCACACAGCGGAGATCTTTTTGCGAGGGTGGATGTGGTTGGATGGGAAAAGAAAACGGGAAAGACATCACTTTTTTACTTTCCAGTTGGAGAAGACCCACTAAAAATGACACATCATCGTTGGAAATACCTCTAAAATTGGTTAGACCGACATCTTTGTGAGAATCTATACGAAAAAGTGAACAAGGTGGTTACGGCAATACCGTATGAATGCTAATTATTGTAGCTATCGTATCCGCATGAGCTCTGAAGCGTTTTGAAAAAGTTAGCAAAGGCTATTCAGTTGTTTCTCTAAAGATTACGGTAGCTTTATTTCAACTTATTTTTTCTATTTTCTCTCCACAAGAATTTTTGCTGTTTTCTTTCGAAAGCGTGTTTTCTCCCTCTGCGTCTTTGCTCTCTCGTTGTGCGTTCTTTGTTGCCTCGTGTAAAGGCGTGCAATCTGGCAAAGGGGTCTTCCTTATGTCACGCCAATCGCCTTCTCATAAACTTACCTGGCTGGGGGGTTTCTCGTGATCAACAAGACGGGACCCCCATGGTGAGACATGGTCATTGCACTTTTGACTGTGTTGACCTGTGTGGCAGCTCCGAGTTGGGGTTCGCTAACAGCTAAATTTTTGCGTGAGGGGCTGCGTTCGCGCGGCCCTGTCAATCTAATTTCAAAATTACACTATGAGATCGTTCCATGATCCTCTTCCATCCAATGCCACTATTTTCGTATTTCCGAGATTCTTCGTAAACAGAATCAGTTTTGGGCGTCATTTTTTATTTTTGCGATCAATTTATTGCCCTAAACTTGGTTGTTTTTCTACGTAACTCGGTGAGTCAAAGGATCCACTTTTAAGTAATTTTTACTCATTGGTTGTTATTAAACACTTTGACTTTTCGTGAATTTTGTGACACAAAACTACATTCACCTATTGTACCCTTGAAGCGTTTATTTTTTGTGTCATTTTTTACATATTTTTCTTCACTAACTTTATTAGCCTAGTAAGCCACGTCAAATCACAAAAATCATGAACATTAAAAAAAGCCGAGTATCATTTTGCACTAGACACGAGAGAGAGTTGGAGAGACAAAAGGATAGTTGACATCATAAAACATTAAAAAAACGTAAATCTCGATTTGTCCCTGTGTGAATGACTGGCGAGTTTTGCGCGGCCGCGTAATCACTGATAATGTGTGATTTTTAGTGGGTCTTCTCCAAATGGAAAGTGAAAGGGTGGACTTTTCAGTTTTCCTTGCAGATGTTCTTTGTGCGCCAGCGTAATCGCTCTCGATTTGGCGCAAGACTATTGGTTAACCGCCCTCCCTTGACCCCCTCATAAACTTACCTGGCTGGGGGGTTTCTCGTGATCATCAAGACGGGACCCCCATGGTGAGACATGGTCATTGCACTTTTGACTGTGTTGACCTGTGTGGCAGCTCCGAGTTGGGGTTCGCTAACAGCTAAATTTTTGCGTGAGGGACTGCGTTCGCGCGGCCCTGCCAATCAAGTCAACAATGTTGTTTCGCATCCCCACAAACGCATCCGTTTTTGCGTAACTCCACTGTGCAACGATTTTGTTTAAAGTGTTTATTTTAATTATCAACCAGCTCTTGCTATTTTTAGTCACACATTACTTGAATTTCTTTAATGGAGACTAAAAATTCAACTCTGTGAGAAAAGGAGCCGTTCCCAGTTGAATAAACTCAAAATAAAACTAATCTTCAGATATTCTGTCCATTGCTTGAGTATTTTAAACTCCAATAAAAGGATTTAAACTTCTTTTTTTACTTTTTATCATACAAACGAGCTTCACCACCACGAAAATCCCAATATTTTCTGTCTATCCATCAAAAGGGCTACTTTCTCTCTCATCTTTTAGTTTGAGAAAAAACGATAAGCCCATTTTCTTTCATAGAACATGTTTGCCTTTTAACGAGCTAGAGAACGCTAAATTTGAGAGAACGTAGACTCCGATTGAATCCAAGACAAACGGGAAAAGTGTTGTGATAAACAAGTTTTGTTTTGATTCTGTCCTACGAACCTTTACCTTATTTTAAACTTTTCTTTCAATTAACTACAGCAAAATCTTCAGGAAAATGGTTTCCCCGCCGAAGATAGATGAACTATTTAAAGTCGACGGCTATTTGACACCTTTCAGGTTTGTTTTTATCAGTTCTCAAAGGTATAGAACGTTTTAGGGGTGAAATTGAACGACGCTATGGAGTGTTCAAGGATTTTGAGAAACGTATCGATGAATGTGGAGGCTGGGAAGCCTTTACACAAGGTTACAAAGAGTTTGGCATGATTGTGCAGGTATTTTTATTTTGTTAGTTTGTATTGAAAATGTAAACGATTAGCCGGACAACAGTATCAAATGCCTGGAATGGGCACCTGGGGCGGATGGTCTTGCTCTTGTTGGGGAATTTAGTGAGTTCATTGTTTTTCCTTGTTAAAATTTAACGAAAGTTTAGATAATTGGGACCTAAAGGCTCACGAGTATGTACGTGGTGAATACGGCCGATGGACGCTGAATATTCCACCAACTGATGATGGGTCTTGTCTGATCAAACATGGAAGTGTCATTAAAGTTGGTAATTTTCTGTAAAACGATTTCATTTTGGATTAGATTGCCGTGACCAAAGACGGAAAGCTCGAGCATAAATTGTCTCCATGGGCTCACTATGTGACTTGTCCAACTGATTCCGTCGTCTATCATCAGGTTTGTTTGCAATTCCATTTTTTATTCCAACACCCTTTGAGTTTAGATTTTCTATAATCCAGCCAATCCTTATGTATTAAATGCTCCAAGGCCCGATCGTCCAAAGTCACTTCGCATTTACGAGGCTCACGTTGGAATCAGCAGTCCAGAGGGAAAGGTTAGTATTTATGTTACAGAATCGTAGCATTTAATTGATTTAAGGTGAATGACTATCGGGCATTTGCTGACGATGTTCTTCCCCGTATCAAGCACCAAGGTACTAGTTCTTACTTTGATCAATCCACTCATAACTTAGGCTATAATTGCGTACAGCTGATGGCCGTGATGGAACATGTGTATTATGCCTCATTCGGTTACCAAGTTACTTCATATTTTGCTCCTGCAAGGTATGCTTGAGTTTCTTATTAAAGATAGCAAAGCGTTTAGTCGGTGTGGCTCTCCTGAAGACTTGAAGTATTTGATCGACAAAGCGCACCAGATGAAAATCACAATGCTTCTTGATATCGTACATTCACACGCTTCGAAGAACGTTGCTGACGGTAAAATTTACTTTTCACGGTATAATCTAATTGGTAAGATAGGTCTGAACGAATGGGATGGAACAAAAGGTTGTTACTTTCACGAATCTGCTCGAGGATTTCATAATCTATGGGACAGTCGCCTTTTTGATTATACAAAGTAAAATGTTTCATTGCTTTTAAAATTAATCACTTCTTCAGGGTCGAGGTACTACGTTTTTTGCTGTCGAATTTACGTTGGTGGATTGACGAGTATGGGTTTGATGGTTTTCGTTTTGATGGAGTGACCAGCATGCTTTACCATAGCCATGGAATGAGTTAAATAGTTTAAACTATTCTACAACTTTGTCGATTTAGATGACTCGTTTGCTGGTGGATACCCGATGTACTTTGGTCTCAATGCCGATACCGATTCTCTGGTTTATTTGATGCTCGCAAATGATTTTCTTCATCGTAAATACCCACAAATCATCACAATTGCTGAGGTTTTTTCTAAGAGTGTGCTAAAAAAAAATTAAGGAAGTGTCGGGGATGCCTGGTTTGTGTCGTCCAGTTGAAGAAGGAGGGCAAGGGTAAGTATTCGCTTTTGTTGTTAACGTAATAAAGTTTGTTTTCAGGTTCGATTATCGGTTGGCCATGGCTATTCCCGACACGTGGATCAAGATTTTGAAGCATCAAGCCGACGAAAATTGGGATATTGCAAGCATTGTGCACACGCTGGAAAATAGACGGTAGCTTCTATTTTACTTTATGCAACAAAGTATCTACTTACGATTTCTTTAGTTACCTCGAGGCTCATGTAGCGTATGCTGAATCACATGATCAAGCTTTGGTTGGAGATAAAACGATAGCATTCTGGCTAATGGATAAAGGTTCAACACATTTTATGCTAAGCCCTATAAAATAATCTAGAGATGTACGACTTTATGTCTACTGTCAGTCCAATGACTCCAATTATTGATCGAGGATTGGCTCTGCACAAACTTATTCGCCTAATTACCTTTGGTCTTGGCGGTGAAGCATGGCTAAATTTCATCGGAAACGAATTTGGACACCCAGAGTGGCTAGACTTTCCTCGAGTGGGAAATCAGGAAAGTTTCCACTACGCAAGAAGGCAATTTAATCTTGTAGACGACGATCTTTTGAGGTATTTTATAATCTTGCGTCAATTCAATCTTGTAACGTGTTAATACTTTTCGATTTTTATGCAGATATGTATGGTCTCTGTTTAGATACAAGTTCCTCAATAACTTTGATCGTGCAATGAATCATTTGGAAGAAGAAAACGGGTTCCTGCATAAAGGCTCGGTAATTTGATTGGGGGGTAATTATATTTGGATTCCCTAGGCGTACGTCTCTTGGAAGCATCAGGATGATAAAGTTGTGGTCTTTGAGCGAGGCGGCTTGGTCTTCATGATAAACTTCCATGGACAAAAGTCATTTACCGATTACAAAGTTGGCGTTCAACAAGACGGCAAGTAGGTCGTTTTTGCTTTAACACAAAACCATGGACATTGTCTTGTAGGATCTGATCATTGATTTTTGTAGATATACCATTGCACTCGATTCGGATCAAGCAGAATATGGTGGTCATTCTCGTGTTGACCCTAAAAGCGAATATTTCACTTTTCCTGAAGGGTATGACTGTCGTATCAGTTTCTTGTTTAAAAACATTTTTAGATATGCTGGACGCCCCAACCACATTTGTGTCTACCTCCCTTCGAGAACCGCGCTTGTGTTGAAGAAAGTATAGATCTCGGTAAATGCATGCGGTATTATCATTTGAGTTAGTTTTTTTTTAAAGTTTTGCTTGTTGATCCTTGTGCCATAGTATTGTGATTTTTCTAGTTGTCATTTTGTCTATAATTTGTTGTAATAAATTTTTTATACATTTTACACAATAAAATGGCTATCGTAATTGGCTAAACTACAAACTACGACATTTTTTCGTATTTGGTATATTGAGGTTCAATTTGATTAAAAACTTTTGTTCTTTGGAAGTGTGTTTCGTGAAATTGAATTTTTAAAAGCTGCAGTAGTAAAAACTTTGATTCTCAGGTTGCGGGCCTTATTTTCTGGTTTTCTAAAAGAGTAACCATCTATTTTTAGAAATGACATCGCAAAATCAAAATATCCGACTTTTGCCACTATCTGGTGTGTACGATGACGGTCCATATTGTTATCTACTAATGGTCAGAATTCTACTTTGTTAGTTAACTTTCTTATGGTTGATCTAGATTGACGAATGTTGTATTTTGCTGGATTGTGGATGGGATGATCGCTTCAACATGGAATATATTGACAAAATAATGGTGATTTTTGTTACATTTTATAAATCGATCATTGTTTCAGGCACACGCTCCTTCCATTGACGCAATTTTGATTTCTCATTCGGATCGAGTCCATCTTGGAGCCCTGCCGATTTTGGTCAAAAAAGGATTAAAATGCCCAATTTATGCGACAGTAAGTATCACTTGATCATGCTTTTACATTTGCTTTCAGGTCCCAGTAGCAAACCTTGGAAAGCTTGTAATGTACGACTGGATGAATTCACATCACAACATTGAAGGTTTAAGAAGATTGACGGAATAAATAAGCAAATAATAATTTTAGAATTTGATGTCTTTAATCTGGATGACATAGACACCGCTTGGAAAGGAGTGATTTCCGTCAACTACAACCAGAAGGTTTCTATTTATTTGGGCTATTAAAATTATTTCTTAAGATAATGCTTACCGGACGTAATGTTGTCGTGAAGCCTTTCTGTTCTGGACATTCACTGGGTAAGAAAAGTTTCCATTTGGATTTCATTGGATTTAGGTGGTGCCGTATGGAGGATTACGAAAACGGGAGAAGAGGCCATTGTTTATGCTGTTGCTTTTAATCATCGCAAAGAACGGCATTTGAATGCAATGCCTTTCAAAGGTTTTTACTTTTTCAGAAGAAAAATATAATACATTTCAGACTTCTATCGGGCTCATGTTTTTATCATGGACTCGGTGAATGCTTTATACAATCCGCCACGAAGAAAATTAAGAGATGAAAACCTTGTGAAAAGGGTACTCATTTGTTTCAGTTCGTTGTTACTGAAATTTTAGATAGTAGAAACGGTAAGGAATGGAGGTGATGTAATGATCGTGACGGATACAGCTGGACGGGTTTTGGAAACAGCTCACTTTCTTGACTACATTTGGAACTCGTAAGCTTTTTGTTTGTCGCACGTGTCACTTGTTAGCCCTTTTAGGCCAGCGATGAGCAATTTGCGGAACTACACGCTAGCAATGATGAGTCATGTGTCAGGTAAAATTTTATGTCGTGTAATTAACAAATACAAATTTTAGCTTCTGTTGTTGAACATGCAAAAATGCACATCGATTGGATGAATGACAAAATTGCAAAGTAATTGTTGCTGTAAATTTTAAAACTCCAACTATCTTAGGACTTTCGAAGAAACTGCCGATAATCCATTCAAATTCAAACATGTGCACCTTGTGCATAGAATTCAGGATCTCGATCGACTACGTTCTCCCAAGGTTACAATTTAGTTACTTAATAGGTTATTACTTATTTCCTTTATTTCAGGTTGTAATGTGTAGTCAAGTTGATATGGAGTCTGGTTATTCACATGAATTATTTCCCATGTTTGTTGCCGATTCGCGTAATACAATTATTTTAACTGGTAAGTTTGACTTTAGGATACATTCATAAAATTTAAAATTCTTAAGGTAAGGGGAGAAAGGATACACTTGGCGCTAAGCTTTTGAAAATGGCTGAAGAGGGTGCAAAGGGGAATCGCTTTGTTTTTGATGTCAGGAAGGTAAATGTTTTTGCAATGGATATAAAAATATTAAAAAAGTTAATGTTTTAGCGCATTCCACTTGACGGCCCTGAGCTTGAAGAATATCGACTACGAAACAAGCAACGTTTAGAAGCTGAACAAGAAAAGCGGTAGTTCAAGAGTTTAAAAACAGTTGTTACTATTACTGCTTAGATTGGAAAAATTTCGTCGTGAACAAAGGGTCCATGAGGGTGTTTCATCATCAGAAGAAAGCGATGACGATGAAGAAATGGCTGATGTAAGCAACTTGTGTAGTGTTTGTAATTATCTTTATTTTAGGCAGTTGATAAGTACATGATGGAAAGTGATATTCGTAATCGAAAACGAAAAAGGATTGAGGGTAGCTTTGATAAATGCGCAATAAAGTTCTTTATTTCAGATGATCGAGCTTTTGTTCCGGCTATCCCGGGCATCTCCATCAAGCTTCTAGCGGAATCGGCGCTGTTGGGAAAAAGAAAAGAAGCAAGTGATGATGAGGTATGGTGTTTATTTTAAACTTTTTTACACAACAATTGTTTCAGGGCATTGAAATGGAGACAAATCAAGCCAAGAAAGCCAAGAGTCGTCGGCATTTATCAGGTATTTCAAATAGTTGCGCGATTTAAAATCTTTTGCTTTTAGAAGAAGAGCGTGCGCTTCATCCATATTTGGACAATCAATTTGATATCTTCTTTCGGCATCACGTCTTGACTTACTATGGAATTGCAAACGTAACTTCTGAAAATGTTAATTTTGCATTCTTTTTAGAATGACACAAAGAAGAAACGTCGAGCCGCCAACTTTCCGATGTTTTCATTTGACAATGAAAAAAAGAAAGCTTATGTAAGTTTTTCTTTAGATAAACTCATCAAAAGATCTAGGCCACCGACTATGGAGAACGAATCAACACAGAAATATTTCAAGAACGTCAAAGAAACGATATGTAAGTTTGATAAACATGAAGTCTAAGTTGAGTGCATCCAGGTTTGTGCCAGCTCCAATGCAAAAACCAGAAATGGAGGGATTTGTTGATGAAAAAGCAAAACGAAAAAGACGACTACGAGAGGACGGATTAGATGAGGACGATGAAGATGAAGTTTTTTCGATTTTGTACCCTTAAACAATTCTTTGAACAGGAAGACGATATTCTCTTTTCATTGGCGGACGAAGACTGGCCAACCAAATGTGTTTCGGTTCGGGAATTGGTTGAAGTTAGTGCTTAGTCACGGGCTTAATATTAAGGACTGACGCCGTTTTCGCGTACACGGTTTTCGACCAAAAAAGTGTCCGAACCTGATTTTTGAGTTGGCACTGGATTTAGTTTAGTCAATTCAATGGCCCTTTACAAAAAGCTTTTTAGAATAACCAAAAAGAGCAAACCAAAAATCTACACTGGGGGGATTATACTAGACATTCAGGGCTATAAAATAGTATATTGGGTATGTTTCCAACTAAACGCTCAAAAGCATTTAGTGCACAGGATGAGCTTTTTTCGACTTACTACATCAAGCTTGTTACAAGATTGTCAAGCTATTTTAAACGACTGTGCTCATAAAGTAGAAAAAAGCCTCTAGATCATTTATCTGAAGAGAGGATGCAAAAATATTAAGTTTGAGTAAAGTTATGAAGATTTTTGTAAGCCGACTCGGTGATTTTCGGTCGCCGGAAATTCCGACTGTGCGTACCTTTCATGTCGCTTGTAAGAAAAAACGGCATCTGGTACCTTGCAATGACGACGTTTTTTGCCGGATTTTCCACGAAAAAATTCATAATTTTGTTAAAATTCAACATTTCGCAAACTTTTTGCAGATATTTAATCTGTAAACATTTGGCTTTCTTACAATATAGAAATAAACTTAATCCGTTGCGAAGCAAATGTTTTACAAGCCCCAAAAAGGTAGCCCACTCTCATTTTGGACACTGTTTAGCTCCTACGCCATTGTGAAGGCGTGTACAGGAAGCGTTTTTCAATTTACCTTTCAAGTCCCAACAAAAGTCTTTGTTTCCAGGGGTCAATTTTGATCAAGTTTCATATTTGTTTTGTCGAAAAACTGACGGTTTACTGTCTGGAATGAGCGTTGTTGAAAAGGAGTGGCGGGCCCTACTTAAGATGTTCTCACTTTAGATCAAATGTAACATCGAGTTTATTGATTTTGAAGGACGGGCTGATGGCGAATCTTTGGCTCACGTGCTGGAACAAGTTTGTAACGTTTCATTTCTCTGGAAACTTTTTTAGGTGAGACCACGTACGTTGATACTTGTACAAGGAACTGAAAAAGACAACAATCATCTCCGCGAGTTTTGCGAAGAGCACAATGTGGTTGAGGTATTTGTTAATATTTTTTTACTGGAAGTACTTAATGAGCTTAGCTATATTTAAAATTTAGGCCGGAGTTTACGCTCCACAAATTGACGAAACGGTTTCGCTTGGGCTTAATATGCAGTTTGTCGATATTGAGTTGACCGATGAACTTTGTGAACAGATAAAATTCACGCCGGTTAGTTTGTACATTTTTTTCGAATTATTCTCTCTTTCAGCTTCTTGATGGAGGAAAAATGGCCTGGATAGACGCTCGTATGATTTCAAGGAAGAAACTGAGAGAAAAGCTACTGCCTGAAATGAGAGTAAGAATTTTGAAGACAAGTATGGCATATCATTTTCCATTAGGAAAAGTTCATCGATGAGACAAACGAAGATTCCCTCGTTGCCGATTTATGTCCACGTGAGCTGTCACAGCCACACGATGTAAGTGAATTTAATGACGAATTATAATGAGTCGCTTTAGACTGTTTACATGAACGATGTGAAATTGATGACAATTCGAGATGAAGTTCGCAGATTGGTTGCAGAAGCTAAAAAAGCTAGCGATAAGGTTTCGGTACGCTCGTTTTTACATAATAGAAATGGTTAAATCAATAAAAAGGAAATCTTTTGCTTCTTATTGTTAATATAAATCACTATAAAAAAAAAGTTTAGGTGGAACTAAGACAAGGGCGACTTGTCATTGGGCAATCTTTTGCAATCAAACGCATTGAGGCCGGAAAATTTTTGTTAGAGGGCACAATTGGAGAAAAGTTTGTCATTCTCTTTGTTATTTTTATAACTTTTTTAGTTATTACAAATGGAGAGACTTCTGCGTCAAGAAGTTCGCTATGGCTTAACTTTTTATTCTGGGATAATAATTTCACTTTCGTATTTTTAAACCTTTATGTGATCTCGTTGTTTTTGTTATTTTAGATTTTGACCAATAAATATTATTATATTCCATTACTTGCAAGTATGTTTCACGTGATATTAAATCATATCATATTTTGTTGATTGAAAGCATGCAGGTATGCAAAAAAGGGCAAATTGGAAAATTTATTCAACTCATTGACACTGGTTTTTGTTGTGACTAAGTGATGAGCATTGGTGTTTCGTCTTAATGTTAGTTTCAAAATTTAGACAATGGCGGACGATAGTACTTCTAGCACAGTCGAAGACAATGAAAATTCGGGACGCGGAAATGAGGTAAATTTTATGCGAAACCTTCAAGAATTCCTTAATTTTGCCTAGCCTTTTTGTTCTAGGAAGATGAAAACGACGCTGATATGAATGAGCAAGAAGCGGTTTTTGAACCTCTAGATACAAATGATGAGGTAAGTTAACTTCGTATTTTATCACTTTTACAATCATCTTTTCAGAGTATGACGGATTCTTCCCCATTGAGTGCCTCAGAAGATGAGATGCCACGTTCTTCAAAAAGTTAGCCTTTTTCATGTTTTGTGAACTCAGGTGTGTACTTTAGAACTTTTAGTGACTAGGTCTAATTTTCGACCTTTGCGGATGAATGCGACAAATGATGAGGTTAACTCTGATATTTACTTTTATTTTCGTTTTCTTAGAACGCCCCAATCGCTCGCTTGCCTCCACCGGTGGATTTGCCATCGAAGACTCGTTTAGGAATCAAAATAAAGGCATTGCATGTACGTTGTTTAAATATTCCGTTTAAAAAAACTATTGCTAATTTGTAACAATTTAGGTGGCAGCCGAATGGAAGTGGACTGCTGGCGGAGACGATACGTGTGGCATTTGTCAGATGCCCTTTGAAGCTTGCTGTGTATCGTGTCGAACACCGGGTGATGATTGTCCACTTGTAAGTATGCAAGTTATTAGTTGCTATGTAGCGTTTGAGTAGTTAAGAATTTGAATGGGTTCATTTTATTGTTGTGAAATATTTTAGGTTGTTGGCATCTGCCGTCATCCATTTCATGAACATTGTATCAAGAAATGGATAAGTGGAAATGCTCCTCGTGCTCAATGCCCAATGTGCCGACAAGAATGGAGGGTGGTATTTTAGAATACTAAATAATTCATGCTAATTCGAGTTTTACAGAATTCAACCGTCAAAGTGAACCTGTGACTAATTATAGTAGTTTTAATGTTTTTAATTAATTCTATTTATCGTGAAAATATGGTTTTGAATTTTGTTATTTTGCTTGTTGTTCTCTATACCATATGATCTCTTGTGTTTTATTGCTCATCAGAAAATAAAGGCATTACAAAAGCTTTTGATTTTCCGTCAGACATGCAAATGGTCGCATTGATAATTTATACAGACTCAGCAGAAAGTTTCACAAAACGTTTTAGAATTTGATGATTGTCAGAAGGATACTATCAATATCGTCGTCAAGGGAAAGCCTGGTTTGTGACTCTTTTGAGCATTGATACCTTACTTTGTTCTGATGTTATTTTTGACTAATTGAAATTTAGCGATTTTCTTCTCGATCAGCCACGACAAGGCACAAGAAACGACCAAACGATCCGCCCAATGCAGTAAACGTCAAGTTTGCGTAAGTTACTTTACTAATAGCATTTTTTCGCATTTTATTTTACATTTGTAAAATGATTTGTCCGGCAAAGCAAATTATTACTTTTAAAACTTAACTAGTAGTGGTTTTAACTTTTAGAATGCCTTCAACATCGGCAGCATCGTTTCCCGAACAAAACTTTGACAATTTCTTGCTTTTGGACTTTGAAGCAACGTGTGAAGATGGAGCCAAGATTAAACCTTGTCAAGTAATATTTTTGTTGCTTGAAAGATCGTTATATTTTTAGGAGATTATTGAATTTCCAGTGATTCAACTAGATGGAAAAACTTTGGAGGAGGTATAGCTTTTTTTCAAACTAGTCAAGTCACTTTTAGGTTTCACGATTTCATAAATATGTCCGTCCCACAGAGCGGCCTGATTTAACCACTTTTTGCTCACAATTGACAGGAATCATTCAGGTTTTATAACTTCATTGAACACATCACAATTTTGATAGGAAATGGTTGAGAATCAACCAACGCTTCCCGAAGTGCTGGACGACTTTGATACATGGCTACGTGATAGAGATATCATAAATTCAAGGTAACGTTTTCAATACTCTTTTTTAACCTCTGTTTAGATTTATATTTGTCACTTGTGGTGATTGGGATTTACAATTACAACTACCGGCGGAAGCGAAACATAAAAACTTCGGAGTTCCAGAGTACCTAATTTTTGGCAATTCTGGCTGCATTGATAGCTTTAGGTATTTCTCGGAATGGATCAACGTTAAAAAGTCATTTTGCTCACATCGAGGCTATTTCGCTCCGGGAATGAAACATTTGCTTAAAGAACTACAACTTTCACATGCAGTGAGTGACATCAATTTTATAGCAAGAATTCATTTCAAATTTTGTAGGGTCGTCTTCATAGTGGGATCGATGATGTGACAAACATTGCTGCAATCACAAAAGCCCTTGCCAAAGAAGGGTGCGTTTTTGAGCCAAATGGAGGCGCGAGGAGAGCACGTGTATTTGGCTGGTGGAGTAAAAAGCACGAAATAAAGAATCAAGCAGAGAATTAAGTATGATTTTTGAATTTGGAATAAATATTGTCATATAAAGTACGTATATAGATTGCGTTGCACATGCTTTTATATTTGGAAGAAACATTTATGTCTTTTAATTTGGTTTATTTAGGTTGCACATGCAAAGACCAGCATAAATTTCCGCCTTTAGAACACGGAGTGAGTTACCAATTTCAATGGGAGAAGTTTTTTTGTCGTTTAGCAATATGAGCTCCAGGTTTCTCTTCCAGCTTGTTTCTCGGAATTGTTCTACGGATGTGAGGGTGAGTGTCAGATTAATAGACGATTAAAAAAAATTAGAATTTAAGGTTCGTTTTGCCCCTTCTCCCACGGGTCAACTTCATCTTGGAGGATTGCGGACGGCTCTATATAACTATCTTTTCGCTCGCTCGAGGAATGGCAAGTTTCTTTAATACAATTTTTCATTTTGATACTTTAGGTAGATTTATCCTGCGAGTTGAAGATACAGATCAATCAAGGCTTGTACCAGGAAGCGTCGAAAAGGTAATTGTTATGCTTACTATCTGAAAAGCTGAAAACTTAATTTCGTACTATTACCTGCTTAAAATGTAGTATTTAATTGATCACTTTAGATCAACGACATCCTAGATCATTATCATCTCAATCCCGACGAAGGGCCTAAACAAGGTTTGACCAAAAAACTGAATCTATACTGTTTTCAGGTGGAAGCCATGGACCTTATACCCAATCCGAGCGATTGCCCTTATACAAAGAATACTCAGAACGTCTCATTGAGCAAGGTCATGCATATCGTTGTTTTTGTACACCAGAGGTAAACAATTTTTTTTTCAAGCGGCATATCAGTTTTAGCGACTAGAACTACTCAGAAAAGAAGCAGCTCGAACAAACCAAGTCCCCAAATATGATATGAGATGTCGTGCGATAAATAAAGAAGAGGTTTTGCGCAATTTGTTTCTCACATTTCTTTATAGTCTTTAAGACGTGCACAATCGAAAGAAAATTTTGTCGTACGCTTCAAAATTGATACACAGGAGGTTAACTTCCAGGTGCTACTTTCAGAAAATTCCGTTGCTAATAGGTTTATTTTAGGATCATGTCTTTGGAAGTGTATCTCAAACGATTGATGAATCGGATCCGATTCTCCTGAAATCAGACAATTTTCCAACGTATCACTTTGCGAATATTGTGGATGATAAGTTGGTTTCAGAGTTAATTGGAGGGAAATTTTTTTAGATTAATGTCAATTTCACACGTAATTCGAGGTATGGAGTGGTTGTCAAGCACCGGGAAACATGTCCTGCTGTACAAGTCTGAATTCATTCTTTCGGTTTAAAATGTCGTATTTTAGGGCATTTGGATGGAAACCGCCAGAATTTGTTCATTTATCGCTTCTCACACGAGATGGCCGTCGGAAGCTTTCAAAACGTGATGCTGATGCCTTCGTCGACTACTATCATAAGGAAAAGGGATACTTGCCTCTAGCCGTTTTAAATCTCTTGGTGAGTTTTTGGCGTTTAACTTATGCGCAATTCTTTTCCTTCAGATTAGAAATGGAAGTGGAATTCAAAGCTTTGATCCGACCCGACTTTACAGTCTTGAAGAAATGGTTTCCTCTTTTGACCTATCGATTATTGGGAAGCGGAATTTACAAGTAATTGGGGAGCATATTAAAGATAAAACTTTTTTAGGTTGATGTAAATATTTTGGAGAATTATGGTCGTCTCAGTTTTCAGAAAGCGTCTATCGATGAGGTGCTTGGTTAAAGCAAAAAAAATAAACGTAGCTTGTTTAGCTTATTCCTTTGATAAGCGCTCAAGTGAAGAAAGATCTTCCTGATTGTGAGGACGTTTGTGAGGATCGGGTGTATTTGAAGAAGGTTTTTACATGTAATTTTTATTATGATTATTAATTTGATGTTTTAGGTTATAGACTTTTTGCGAGAGAAGGAAGAAAATTTTTCTTCTTTGAGTCTTATAACAACACCGCAGTTTCGATTTTTCTTTACTCGCCCTCAAAATTCGGATGAGGCTAGTTTATTAAATTTTATACTTAGGAACTCTTTTAGTTAACATCAAAAATGCCAGCGGGTATAGCTCATGAGATTTTGTCAGCAATCTTCGAATTACCTCCCCCATGGACTCTTCAAAATTTGCGAACGATTGCTGACCGTTTCGACACGAATCATAAAGTGATTTACAAAATGCTCAGGTGCTTTGGGTGGACAATTTATTCGTTACCATTTTCTAGGATTTCACTTAGTGGCCACTCTACAGGACCACCGGTACTGGAACTCTACGACTTCTTTGGCCGAAATGAGTGTTTAAAACGAATAGCGATGATGATCTCGTATTTGGAAAAGCAATGATCTATGTCAGTATGATGGTTTTTGTTGTTGTTTTTTATTTTTGAAGTTTATTGAAGGATAAAATACGAGATCGAAAATACTTGCAATATCATTTCTCAAACAAGACTCTCTGTCCGAGTGACTTGATATTTGACAATTCTCCAATAACGATAGATGACAATTGTCTGAAAAACGAATAGCGTGGTCTGTTTTTAAATGCTACCATAAAAATCCTTGATATCATCATCAAGACAAGAACACAAACCATCACAATAGCGAATATTCGAGCTGCAAAGTGATGTAAATGTTAAATTTTTGAAACTTTCCACTGACCATCTTTTTGACTACCATCATAGCCAAAATAGTTATTGACTGTTGGATACGGTAATACTGTAAGAGCGAGACATCCAAGTACCAATGCTAGCAACCATGCTATAGAAACAATCTTAAATTCGTTTCAGACTTTCCAAAATCGAGCTCTTCTTACCATATACATCAAGTGAATCTGTACGAATCCTGGTCGTTTATTGAGAGCTCCGTAAACTAGACAGCCTATAGCAAAGAAAGTGAGTATTAGGGCGATTCCTGTCAGCAAAAGGCTCCCTAAACTCTTGATGAGTGTAATTGGAAATTTTTTCTCGTTTGACTTACACCATTTGTGATGATGAATGATACTGAAAAGGAAAAGTATAAATTCATAGAGCCAAAATGCTCCCTCTAAAGTAGCGATGATCAGTACAGCCGTCTAGATTTTCTTTATATCATTGTACACTTTGCAAACTTACATGATAACTGATTTTCCCACATAGCGGTCTGCGATATTCGGGTCCCTTTTCTCTTCGCGGTAGACTGACAAATGTGTCGGATAGTTGTTGAGAGCCTCGAAGATTTCCCATTGATGTCAAGTTTTCAAAAAGGAGCAGTACAAATTCAAAATTTGAAACTTTGCATGGCTTGATAGCGAGTGACTAAGAGTAGGAACAACCTATCTCTTATCAGTCAACACCGAGCAAGTGCTGATGAATGACCGACCGCGTTTAAATTTTCCCGTCGCCAGTGTTTGTTTTTCTGAAAGTTTTTTGAATTGTCTCTTTGTACATTTTATCCTGAAGTTGACCATTCACAGTTTATTGAAGACAATACACTAAAGTTGCAACTTGAGAATAACACAATAAAACTAAACTACAATCATTGGGTCCTAGTGCCATCAAAATTTTCTTTAGGCCTTCGCAATGTGCCGAGATGAGATCGACCACACGGTTTGAGTAGCCATATTCGTTGTCGTACCTAAAAACACAACTTAAGGCTAGTTTAAGCTAGATAGACATACCATGAAATAAGCTTGACGAAGTGTGGATTGAGGGAAATACCAGCTCCAGCATCAAAGATCGACGAGTTCGTATCTCCAACGAAGTCAGTCGACACGACCTTAAAATAAAAACTTACATTATACATTTCCGAAACTATACCTGATCTTCAGTGTGAGCGAGAATTCCCTTAGTGGTCCCTCCGCGGCTTCGCCCGGCCAACCTTCTTGATGGTCTCCATGTCGGCTGGCTTCTCAAGGCGGCAGGTGAGATCAACGACAGAGAGACGTCTGGAATTGGGCACACGGAAAGCCATGCCAGTCAATTTTCCATTAGAGCGGGAATGACCTAAGTGCTGAAATTAAACGAAGCTTAGCTAACAAACTAACTTTTCCGACGGCCTTGGCTGCTCCGGTCGACGCGGGAATGATGTTTTGTCCAGCGCCTCTTCCGTCTCTCCAAAGTTTGCCAGATGGGCCGTCGACAGTCTTCTGGGTGGCAGTCACGGCATGAACAGTAATCATGGGACCTAAATTAAAAAGTTGAAAATAGTTGAAAATATATTCAGCCACCTTCAAGGATGCCAAAGTTGGCCGTGAATGACCTTCGCACGACTGGGGTGAGGCAGTTCGTTGTGCACGAAAGCATTTCTAAACAAAAATATTCGCAAACAATTATGATGTCTCTTGTTTACTGCAAACTAAATCACATACGAAATGATGTGGTCATTCTCGTGGTTCAATAGAGATTCTCGTTGACTCCCATCACAAACATTGGCGCATCAGCGGATGGAGCAGAAATGATGACCTAAATTTAAAGTAACCAATGCAAACTTTCGCCGAGCTGTTTTTTGCTTTGCTCCTCCCTTCAAATGGGCTGAGGCTTTCTCGATGGTCGTGAAGACGCCAGTTGATCAACGATATAGTCCGCACCTTGTGTTCCCCATGGAATCTCGGCAGAGGTCAGCCTAAACAACGGTAATAATTTTCCAATCTTTCACAAATCTTGTTATTTTTAATTTACCAAGTTTGGTACTACATATCTGCTAAAAAAAACCCAATATTACAGTTGTGTGATAATATCTCTTTTGTTCTCAAGCCTCTCATAACCAACACCCTATTTCTCCAGGTGGTCATTTTTTTCTGCCAACTCTGACCCTGAGATCAGGAGAGATAGCGAGAAAATCAAATAAAGAGCGGAAAGAGAGTGTAATAGCCTTCCACCCCTCCCACAACATCTCTTTCAAGTAAACATTTGACGATTTTCCCAATATGTATCATTAGCAAAGGACGCTAATGTAAACCATAGAAATCTCAAAATTGGCTGTTGAAGACGGCAATCTTGTGGGTGCCCTTTCCCTCCTTGGAAACGATGAGGGTGTTTCCATCAGCTCGAACTTCTCCCTTTGGAAGCGTCCGTGAGTGGAGTCATACGTGAACATGTAAACCTAAACACTGCAAATTATTGATTTCAAATTCATAAAGTCAAACCATGTAGCCGATGTCAATGGACGGATCGTGGACGGCAAACAGCATCGACGGTGTCGGACTACGAGCGGCTGCGCCCAACACGAGACGGCCGATGCGTCCAAATCCCTTGATTCCAACCTTTGGCTTTGACATCTTCCTTGGAAGTTAAATTTGGTTACCTAAATAAAATGGATAATTGTACCAAAGTTAAAACGTTGGAAAACAAAAACCATTGAATAGATTGGAGATCCACAAAAGGCCTAACGTTGGCAAAGATTTGAGCAGCGGGTGCCCGAGAGCGACTGCTAGAGGATACCGACTGCTAGGGAGCGTCGGCGACAAAAACTAAAAAAAAGGCAAATGGGGTGAGTGCGGGAATAGAGACCGAGAAAGAAAAAGGAGGCGGCAGACAGAGAATCGATGTGCCCAGCGCCCAGGGAAGGGAAGGCAAAGAACGACCATGTAACGAGCAACCGCACCCCTCCAAAAATTCATGAAAAATAAAAATGCGCAGGAAGAATTTCGTGGTTTGGAAATGCGTTGCATCATTTGGGCACTAGAAGTCGGTTGAGGAACTTTTGATGTGGTCGCTGAAGAATGATAGAAATGAATGATGCAATCGAGATGGGGACGAAAAGAAAATATAGAAAATATTCAACTGAAGGGTAGAAAATCAAGGTCTCTTGAGTCGATTATGATAGACGTATAAAGGGTAGAAGGCCCCACTTATTGTAGATCTTAATAAGTGCAACAAAATCATAAAGATTGACTCACTTAGAAGAAGAAGAAGTCATGAAAAGTTCCTCAAAATTGTAGCCTACCCCATGTAAACTACTCAATTCCGCTTCTCATAGAGGCATTTAACTTACATGTACAGATGTATAATCTGAACTTTTTTTTTACAGATAAAAACCAAATCGATCATTTATTATTTCAGATGACATCTCTGCATTTATCGTGTCAAGATTTCGGATTATATGCTCCCCTAACTCATTTCCTCAACAAGGTAATTAACGTATGAGGCGTACAGTTTATAAATTTTACCTTTTAGATTGGTTCAACTGCCGCAGATTTGACCGATTTGGATTTGGTCTTGGTGGGCGCCCCGAAGTCTTTGACAAGCGAACTTTTTCGATTTTCGAAGCGACGTTTTGGTCTTTTGGATGTCTGATGTTTTGAGGTATATTCTTTTAGCGCCGTTACGGGAAAAACAATTGGTACTTGTGGGGTCAGGGGGCAGCCTCTCTCCCAAAAGTGCTTTTTCTAGAGCAATTTTATTTTTGTTGATCCCGAATTTCATAGTGGTAAAAAAAAAAAAAACTGACCAAATTGCTAGCCAAATTCCATTAGAAAAAATTTTGCAGAAATTTTCATTTTTACTTTCCAAGATCTAATTTTTGCTATTTTCATGTTCTGGACACTCAATTATGCAAAGAAAGTGTTTTTGCATGTTGAAAAAATCCTCTGAAGCCTTAAATGGGCTCTCCTGATACAAACCCGCAGTAAAGTGCTGAGAATTATAGAGGCGGCGACTTCGGGTCCCCCCCAGTTCGTCTAAAACGCATTTTCCCGAGCTCCCACTATGAAATTCATGAGTTTACGCAAAAAAAACTGCCTTAGAAAAGGTTGCCCCCCCAACCCCACAGTACTAAACAATTTTTTGAGATGATGTCCGATGGATATAATATGCCTTGGGCATACGAAAAGAAAAAACTCGAAAACAAAGAAACGCCTCAAGGACTTCTTAAGCGTACGATTTAAATGAAGTATGTTTTGATTTATTATTTTTAGGCGGATAAACCAGTTATGACGATGATTGAGGCAGAAGCACCAGCAAACACCGATGACAGGAGTTTTTTCCATGGTACTTTACGTTCAGTGTTCCCAGTGAAAATGAAAAATTGCTTTTACCCCAGAACGATCCAAACTCCCGATTCTACAACGTGTAAGCAAAACGGCCTGGTGGAAAGGCTGCGATCACCTTAGTCACGAATAATTCTTGCTTTTTCAAATGCAATTTCTTTGAAAGAATAGTAAAAAATGAATAAAAAGTTATTAAAGATTTTTCCCTTTCAATTGTATTTTACGTGTTATGTTGCACTTGATTTCATTGAAGAGAAAAAAAATTATAGGCAGGTCGAAAGTGGAGTGGAATACTGTAGATTGGGTTGCTATATTTTGTTGGCTGTTAATTGAGATGCAGATTTTTTTCATTTTGGTCATTTATTTTTTTATTCTCTAAATTAAGGCAAGATGGTACGAAAGTTGAGTTCCACGAGCAGAAGTTGCCTAGAAAGACCGACTTCATAACACTTAGGAGGTTAGTTTTAACTGTACATGTACGTATTTTCAAATTTGTTTTAGAATCGATCAAAAGAATAAGCAGGCACAAATGATGCAGAAATATCATGTGACAAAACGAGAGCATTATGCCGTATATAATCGACTTGCTAATGATGTAAGTTTAGCTTCTCAATTTTTTTAAGCATCTGACAACGTTTAGGTACGAACGATTGCCAACAAATTGAAAGATCTTCCACAAGGAGAATCATTTCGACAAGAAAAAACAGAAAAGAACTTCTGGGAAAGCTTTACACCCTCAGGATCATCATAACAACCATTGCATACACACTTGAAAAGGCCTCCAAATCTTAAAAAGCGGATTTTAAGCAAAATTAGTTTTACAATGAATTAAACACTTTTCATCACATTAAGTTGTTTACAAAACTCAAAAACTTTTGAATTTCAGGATCTTCTTTTTTGCTCGAAGACCTCTCCCTGTTTGTATGAAGCGATCTGAAATATGGTTCCTTCGGTTCAAACAAATAAGCGGAAAAAAAAAAAAAAAAAAAAAAAAAAAAAAAAAAAAAAAAAAAAAAAAAAAAAAAAAAAAAAAAAAAAAAAAAAAAAAAAAAAAAAAAAAAAAAAAAAAAAAAAAAAAAAAAAAAAAAAAAAAAAAAAAAAAAAAAAAAAAAAAAAAAAAAAAAAAAAAAAAAAAAAAAAAAAAAAAAAAAAAAAAAAAAAAAAAAAAAAAAAAAAAAAAAAAAAAAAAAAAAAAAAAAAAAAAAAAAAAAAAAAAAAAAAAAAAAAAAAAAAAAAAAAAAAAAAAAAAAAAAAAAAAAAAAAAAAAAAAAAAAAAAAAAAAAAAAAAAAAAAAAAAAAAAAAAAAAAAAAAAAAAAAAAAAAAAAAAAAAAAAAAAAAAAAAAAAAAAAAAAAAAAAAAAAAAAAAAAAAAAAAAAAAAAAAAAAAAAAAAAAAAAAAAAAAAAAAAAAAAAAAAAAAAAAAAAAAAAAAAAAAAAAAAAAAAAAAAAAAAAAAAAAAAAAAAAAAAAAAAAAAAAAAAAAAAAAAAAAAAAAAAAAAAAAAAAAAAAAAAAAAAAAAAAAAAAAAAAAAAAAAAAAAAAAAAAAAAAAAAAAAAAAAAAAAAAAAAAAAAAAAAAAAAAAAAAAAAAAAAAAAAAAAAAAAAAAAAAAAAAAAAAAAAAAAAAAAAAAAAAAAAAAAAAAAAAAAAAAAAAAAAAAAAAAAAAAAAAAAAAAAAAAAAAAAAAAAAAAAAAAAAAAAAAAAAAAAAAAAAAAAAAAAAAAAAAAAAAAAAAAAAAAAAAAAAAAAAAAAAAAAAAAAAAAAAAAAAAAAAAAAAAAAAAAAAAAAAAAAAAAAAAAAAAAAAAAAAAAGGGGGGGGGGGGGGGGGGGGGGGGGGGGGGGGGGGGGGGGGGGGGGGGGGGGGGGGGGGGGGGGGGGGGGGGGGGGGGGGGGGGGGGGGGGGGGGGGGGGGGGGGGGGGGGGGGGGGGGGGGGGGGGGGGGGGGGGGGGGGGGGGGGGGGGGGGGGGGGGGGGGGGGGGGGGGGGGGGGGGGGGGGGGGGGGGGGGGGGGGGGGGGGGGGGGGGGGGGGGGGGGGGGGGGGGGGGGGGGGGGGGGGGGGGGGGGGGGGGGGGGGGGGGGGGGGGGGGGGGGGGGGGGGGGGGGGGGGGGGGGGGGGGGGGGGGGGGGGGGGGGGGGGGGGGGGGGGGGGGGGGGGGGGGGGGGGGGGGGGGGGGGGGGGGGGGGGGGGGGGGGGGGGGGGGGGGGGGGGGGGGGGGGGGGGGGGGGGGGGGGGGGGGGGGGGGGGGGGGGGGGGGGGGGGGGGGGGGGGGGGGGGGGGGGGGGGGGGGGGGGGGGGGGGGGGGGGGGGGGGGGGGGGGGGGGGGGGGGGGGGGGGGGGGGGGGGGGGGGGGGGGGGGGGGGGGGGGGGGGGGGGGGGGAGAGAGAGAGAGAGAGAGAGAGGGGGGGGGGGGGGGGGGGGGGGGGGGGGGGGGGGGGGGGGGGGGGGGGGGGGGGGGGGGGGGGGGGGGGGGGGGGTGTCTTTCGCTTTTTTCCAAGTCTAATTGTTGGATTCTTAATGTTTCAGATCCCGTCTCGATTCTTTGAATTAGTTCCACTAATGGAGCTTTGGATGCATTAATTCCCCAAAGGATAAGGCATTAGACTTTTGAGATTCATTAGTTACATATTTCTTAATAATTTTCTTAACATTTAAGGGTTCTTAACCGTTTTCTACCTAGCTAACAGCTTTATCTTTTGGTATAACAAGTTGCAAGGGGTGCACAAGTTGCAAGTTCTTGCAAAGTCAAATTCTATGCCAGCTTTGAACACCAAAACTTGAACAATTTAAATGATAAAATACTGAAAGAATTCAAATTCCGAACATTTAAATTTCACAGAACTTCATCTTGATTTATCCTTGATTGTTAGGAAACTCAAAAAGTGAACACTTCACTGCAATCATTTGAACGATTCAATTGAGTGAAGAGATCGACGAGTTCCTCCTTTGAGAAAATCTCCTTGTGGAAAGAGACAACGCATATCCGATATTCGATTCTTTTTCCCCATTCTCCTTCAAATCTACTCGCTTTTTTTCTCTACGCACAAGTTTGAAGGGCGTATCGGGGTGGAGAATCAAGATCTCTCCCATCCATCGATTCATTTCAATCTCCACACACGCTTTTGCTCTTTACTGCTGAGTGAGTAGCAATTTGACTTTTTTTTTGCTTTTTTTGCTTTTTCGGTTTTGCTTTCTAGGAATTTTGTGGATAGAAAGTATTCGGAGTAATACGTTCTCTAAAAGTCGGTAAGAATCAAGATCTCTCCCATCCATCGATTCATTTATTCGGAGTAATACAGAGAAAGTATTCGGAGTAATACGTTTTCTAAAAATCGGTAATTTGAAATACCACCGTAATCTTTCTTTCAAGTTTTTAAGTTTAAAATTTGAAGAATAGAATGGAACAATGCTAGTAAAGAATTTGTAAATAAATCAACATAAAAGCAAATTTTTTTATTTCTCGTTTAAAATCTTTCTTTTTTTCATTCACGAAATTTTTAACATTTCACTTCTTTTTCAAACGGAATCGTCATGGATTTCGAAATGACGTCACGAGTTTTTGCACGCTGCCAAGCCTGAAATAAAAAAAAGGTTAATTCTACTGTAAGTTTCGTTAGCTGAACTTTCGTTAGCTGTAGCTTAAGGCCAAATCTATCCGCTTACAAGGAAAGCATTCGGGACGACAATTGTGGGAGTGGTGTATTGTGTGTAGATGATGATCAATCGATCCTCATCTTTTGGTTCGACTCCGGTTCCTTGTAGTGACACCTGAAAAGCAGAAAAGCTTAAATGATTACGGTATTTCTAGAGTTAACTGGAGACTACAGTAAATGAGGATGAAGTAAATGAGAATGAAAGAGAGGGTTGAAATCTTCAATTCTGTTCATTCTCAACGCCTCAAGTCTTTCAAGATACTGTAAACGTACTGTAACTGTACTGCACTGTTACTGTGAGATTTTTTTCTAAGTACGGGTTGCTGTGAGCGTAAGTAAGCTGTAAGTAAGCTTTTCTATTTTACTACAGTATGTCCAAAGTAGTCTGATGAATGCAAAGATTTGATTTGCGAAGATATTTGAAATCAATCTCATAGACTGAATACTAAAACTACCGTAAACTGGGGCTGTACAACTCTGTGAATGAATCATAATAAAAGTATAACAATAAGGCTGATGAACATAGTAAAATAGATTCCTATGCTTAAAGTTTACAGTAATAGCTTATCTAGATAATAGATTAGATAATAGAAGTAATAGATTCTCATTTCTTATCTAGATAACCTCATCTAATCAAAAGCCGGTGAAACAAAGTTCGGTGAAACACCCGGTAATAGCTTATCTAGATAATAGAGGTAATAGATTCTCATTTCTTATCTAGATAACCTCATCTAATCAAAAGCCCCTTCACTCACCGTAACCGTCTTATTCTGCATGATCACGTCGGCACAATTGTTGACACGACACCGTTTATTGTTTGTCACTTTCACCTAAAAGATATATAATAAAAGGGTTACTGTCTACAGGTTTAACCCTGAATATCTATTATATATAAAAGAGCAGTGTCTGCCTGTCTGTCTGTCTGTAGTTGTGCCAGTTAAAAAACTAAAAAAATCAATGTTCGGTGAAACACCCGGGAATCGAACCCGGACCGTATGGGCCGTAGACAAGCACACTCTCAACTGTGTCACGGCGACAAAAAACCCCCGGTTTTTCGGTTGGTTTTTGAATAAGATCAAACTTTTCTCCACCTTGAAGAGTATTGGATTGGGCCCTTGATTCTCGATGATCACCTCAGCTTTCCATTCGCCTCCATTGACCTGAAAAAAAAGGCAATAAAAGTGATCACCGATATTAAATTACCGCACCGTCATTATAGAGCTGGGGTACTATTAAAGGATTTACGGTAGCTCATGTTCGAACAAGAAAACAGAATAATTGCTACATCATAGCATTCAGATAGAATTCAGATAGGATTCTATCTGAATTCTTATTCTGTTTTCTTGTTCGAACATGAGCTACCGTAAATCCTTTAATAGTACCCCACCACCAATAATGACGGTGCGGAGTGTCGCGTAGTCTAGCTTTGAACGTTTTTCTCGACACTCATTTATGCTAGAATGCTCGCTGCGGTATCAAAAAATAGCTGAAATTAAGGGTTATTTTTTGAAATTACGAATGCTTTGAAAATGAAAAACTAGAAAAAACTTTTTTTGCGACTACGCGACTGTACTATTACAGTGTTAAAAGATACTCAGTTAAGCGTGCATCACTGATTTGATGACCAAAACAAAATTTAACAAGGATTTAATCTGCACAAAATAAACCAATTCAAAAGCCATATTCTAATTTTATTTTTTAAAAGAGCTTGAAAAGTGTGATAGAGCTTACAAGGAGATCCCACAAAATGACCGTAGCTGCTTTTGACGCCGTGCAAACGGCGTCAAAATTGAGATACAAACGCCTATCGGACACGGGGAATCCGTTTCTCTATTCAGTTTTTGCCCATATTTAAAAATATGCGAGAAAAACGTGTCCAAAGTTTGAGTGTCCACTCGGGAAATCGTGCTGCGGACTTATAAAAGTCCTCTTTTCCGTAACATCATATTAAAGCGAATATTAAGAATATCAAAGCGCATACCGTAATCTTCTCGGGTTTTACGGTGATCGCGTTGAAATTCTTGGGAAATTGTGGGAATTCTGAGTCCTCAACCGCCATCATTTACACAAGTAAGCAAATAAAAATGAAATTCTTAATCCTCTTTAGCAAGTTAAATGTTTCATATGCTAATTTCATATGCAAATTTTGCAATTTGGGGTTTGTCATGTACTTTGTAAGTGTCCTGTACTTTGTAGTGTCATGTACATGTACTCAAGCCAAAGAAAATTGAATATCTTTTTACTGACGAAGAATAAATATCGTTTGATCCTCAAGCTCATTTCTCATCCTTAGCCTCAATCTCATCCACAACCTCATCCTCATCCTCCATCTCATCCTCAACCTCCATCTCATCCTCATCCTCCATCTCATCCTCAACCTCCATCTCATCCTCATCCTCCATCTCATCCTCAACCTCCATCTCATCCTCATCCTCCATCTCATCCTCAACCTCCATCTCATCCTCATCCTCCATCTCATCCTCAACCTCCATCTCATCCTCATCCTCCATCTCATCCTCAACCTCCATCTCATCCTCATCCTCCATCTCATCCTCATCCTCAACCTCAATCATCTTTTGTATTTAAAGATAAATATGTTTTGATTGTTTTGATCCGTTACATTTAAAGATAACAATTGTCTAAATGTTATTGTTCGTTTTTTGTATTTTTTTTATCAACCCTTTATTTCATCATGGGCGTCATTGTAATAAATTATCTGATAAATAACTAAAAATTCAAGTTATTAAGTGGAGAAGTGTTTCTTGTGCGCCTTTCTGAAGGCTTTCTTGTGAGCTCTTTTGTGAGTGCGTCGTTTGTTGGCGGCACGACGAGCGGCAGCACGACGGGCAGCGGTACGCTTCTAGAAAAAGTTTATGGGTTTTCAATTAAGATCATGCATTTAAAAGCTAATTAATTGCATTTAAAAGCTAATTTTGATCCAATAGAATAGCTAAATCTATATCTATAATCTATAACATCTATAACTTTTATTTCTAATTCCATTTAGAGGCATCTAAAGCCTAACCTAGTCTGTTTTGAATTGGGTTTGGAACAGGGAGAAGTCTAAAGCCATCTAAAGCTAACATCTTAAGCCTAACCTGTCAAGGTCTTGTAAAGGCTCACTGTTCTTTCTCATTACCATTAGCAAGACTGGATCTTTAGATCGCAAGACTGGACTGGATCTTTGAAATAATCTAGTGACTGAGACAGAACTTATAGCTGAATGGCTATGTTGACTATGTTGACTCTAACGAACTATAAGACTTTAACAAAAGCTTCTAATCAACAACAAAACATTTTAGTACTATATCCAACAAGTTTTCTTTCCCATTTACCTTCAAGAATCTTCTGCGGGCAACACGACGAGCAGCCACTTTGCGGAGAGTTTTGCGGTGTTTACGAGCGGCGGCACGACGGGCTTTCACGATTGCCTAAAAGCAATTTCATAAGTTTTCCTTTAATTCCACAACCTTTCTGTTTTTCTTCCAGTTCTTGCGGTTCTTCTTGTGCTGTTTGCGGAGTTTCCCCTTTTTGTGGTGCTTCTTGGCGTGCTTCTTGGGCTAAAATTTGTCTAGCATTAAGCTTTCAATCTGAATCAAATCTTTGAACTTTTAAAACAAACCACAACAGCTTTCTTGGTGGTGGGAGCGGCGGTGGACTCAGCTGGAGCGGCAGTTGTTGACTCAGCCACAGCAGCGGTGGTCGCCTCGGTAGCCGCCTGAATACCAAAATATCAATGTAAATTTCATCTAGCTAAATAATCTAGCTAAATAGTCATTAAATAGTAGTCTATTTTTAAGTAAACTGTTCAATTAGATAATCTCTGCGTACTCACAGACTATTTGTTTAAATTAACTCGTCTTCTAGAACTTCTAGAACTTCTAGAACTTCTAGAACTTCTACAACTTACTTCTACAACTACCCCAAGAACTTCTGGAACTTCTACAACTACCCCAAGAACTTCTAGAACTTCTACAACTACCCCAAGAACTTCTGGAACTTCTACAACTACCCCAAGAACTTCTAGAACTTCTACAACTACCCCAAGAACTTCTGGAACTTCTACAACTACCCCAAGAACTTCTAGAACTTCTACAACTACCCCAAGAACTTCCACAACTTCTAGAACTTCTACAACTTACTTCTACAACTTCTACAACTTCTACAACCTCTACAACTTCTACAACTACCCCAAGAACTTCTACAACTTCTAGAACCTTCTACAACTTCTGGAACCTTCTACAACTTCTACATGAACTTGCTAACGCTAAAATAGATGTAGAGTAGAAGTTCTAAGACTGAAACAAGAGTTTTAAAGGGCTAATCAACAGAGAATTGTATTATATTTGTTTTATCTATTGATCTTATTGATATTGATCTTCATTCAAGCCATATTTCTATTCAAATAACTCACATCATCGGCAAACGAAACAGCGACAAAGGCGGCAATCGCCAAGAACAAAAGACCCCACCTCATTGCTGGAAATTTGTTAGATAAAGTAAGAATTTAAAATGAAATATAAAAAGTAATGATATTAGAAGAATCAAGATATAGACCAAAAGAAGAAGAAGAAGAAAGGGATCGTTTCTATTTCCAAAAAAAAAACTGGAGCAAAAATGAGATTGGTGTTTATGGTGGGTTGGCTTTTATGCTATTTTCGAGCCGCTTGTTTGGGGTGGGTGAGGAGAGTGGAGAGGAGGATCGGCCTCGTCATCCTCTCCACCCCCCCAGTCATCCCTACAGCCTCTACAAGCACCTCCTTTAAGGAAAAGTGTCTGCTAGAAGTCATCTGACTTCCTTCCTCCTCCGTTTTTTCTTTTTTTTATGAGACCGGTTCAAATACCCAACATCGCCTCCATCGCATCTTTCTGCTTTTATCGTCTCCCGGCGATCTCCCTCAAAAAAAAAAAAAAAATTGCTATCGCAAAAAAATGTTACCGAATCTCGTTTGACGATTCGATCTTTTCATTGTAAATGTGGCATGCCAGCTGGATTGTGGAAATTGTTTTATTTGTGGAATACTCGTTCGATTTTACGACAACCGGTCATCTAACAATTCAAGAATACAGAAAAACAAGAATACAGAAGGTACAATACCTAACTTACATCGAGAACTTGATCGAAAGGCCAAAAAATGTAGGCCGAAAAATGACTTATAACACTTATTCCAATCTGCAATTATGCAGATTCCATAGCTAAAGTGGTCAAAGATTACCGTAACCACAACTTTACTTACCTGAGCTGGCTGATATAAGATATTAGATGTGGCATGCCAGCTGGATTGTGGAAATTGTTTTATTTGTGGAATACTCGTTCGATTTTACGCCAACCGGCCGGCCAACAATTCAAGAATACAGAAAAACATTGTACCTAAATTACATCGAGAAATTGATCGAAAGGCCAAAAAATGTAGGCCAAAAATGACTTATAACACCAAAAATGACTTATTATCCCAGTTTGCAATTATGCAAATTTCATAGCTAAAGTGGTCAAAGATTATTGTAACCACAACTTTACTTACCTGAGCTAACTTATATAAGACATTAGATGTGGCATGCCAGCTGGATTGTTTTATTTGTGGAATACTCGCTCGATTTTACGCCAACCGGTCATATAACATTTCAAGAATACAGAAAAAAATTGTACCTAACTTACATCGAGAACTTGATCGAAAGGCCAAAAAAATGACTTATAACACTTATCCCAGTCTGCAATTATGCAGATTCCATAGCCAAAGTGGTCAAAGATTATTGTAACCACAACGTTACTTACCTGAGCTAACTTATACAAGTCATTAGTGTCCATAACTTGGAACATAACTTGGATCTTCAAAATTCAAATTTTAGTTCTTTTCTGTTTGTTTTCGTTCATGTTTTTGTTTTCGTTTTTGCTTTATAATCGTTTTTATTTTATACACTGCTCTGTGATTCTTTCTTGAGGTATCCATTTATCTTTTGGGTGTGTTTTGAGTGGTGTCCCGGGTAATTATTGTGATTTTGTCTTGTCGCTATTCAACTGAATAAAGCAACTGAATAAAGAATAAAGCACAAAGGTCTACAGTACTCAAATTACACCAGACAAAATGATTGAACAATGTCTTTATCAGAAAAGTGACAGAACTCTTTTGATCTTTCGATCACAAACGGGCAAAAAAAAAACTGAACTTCTTCAAAGATCACTGAACTTTTTGGTTCCTTTGTCAAATCGGTTCATTTGCTAATATCACTTGATCAGCACCTAGACAATGGCAAAAAAACTGAAAGCATAAGCGATTCTAGAATACGATTGCTTTTTGTGCTCAAGCGTCATTAGATTTGAGCAATGGATGACTCATTTCATTCAAAAAGACAAATCAATCATTTTTCGGCTAGAAAACAAAATCTCACGATCAGCTTTGTCTTGTTTTTTTTTTGTCCTTGTCCCTTTTTTTTGACCTTGTCTCTTTTCATGCACAAAACATCGTTCACGGCGGGATTCTAACTTTGAAACAAGCAATCTTTTGTCTACGAGAAGTCATTTCTGTCTAAGGAAATGAAAAGAAAAGAAAAGCAAATCCATTCTCATCAATCTTTTCGATTCCAAAAATTCTCTTATATCCTTGATCAGATTGAGCTAAAAACCCGTTTCATCAAATAAAGGCAGCCAAATTTTTTTTTTCGTGCGTGCCTGCCAAATTTTTAGATTTTCGCTTTTCAGGTCTGCCAACAATGGCAATGGAGCTCGATTTGAAAACAGATTTCAAAATACGATCGGTGAGGACAGGCTTAATTAAATGACACGATGAAATGAAGAAACAGAGCAGATCAAACAAGATCAAACAATTCTGGCGGCAAGATCAAACATGTTTTCGGAGTTTCTTTGAAATTGATGAAGTTGAGACGAAAAAGAAGAGTCTTTAAGTCTGTTTATATCTTGTTTGTATGTATATTTATTTATTCGACACGAATAATGAATTACAACACAACGGAGGAGATTTTTACCCCTAATTACCCCTAAATGTTGTTAAGAAAAAAACCCATAATAATGGGAAAAAGAATCAATCTTTCTAGCCGCCGGGATCGAACCCTTAACCCCCCGACTAGGAGACAAGACGGGGGATAGTCAAAACAGCGCCATAATAGAAAACGTTCAAAACAGCGCCGTCAAATTTCTCAAAATCCAAAAAACCAAGCCGGTTCAAGTTTTATATCAAAAAATTCCTTGCGTTCTTGGCTACATGATGGGTGAAACAGTTTTTTAGAAAAGTTAATATTTCCCCCTACGAAGAGCATCAAAATGATCTCAAAGATATTCAGTTAACCAACTGAGTATCACTCGACACACATTTTGAAAAGCTCTTTTTATCTACGAAATATTAACTTTTCAGAAAACTGTTTCACCCGCATCATGTGCCGCCAAGAACGGGAGGAATTTTTGACACAGTAAACTTGAACCGGCTTGGTTTTTTGGATCTTGAGAAATTTGACGGCGCTGTTTTGAACGTTTTCTATTATGGCGCTGTTTTGACTACCCCCCGATAAGACTCCTATCCGGTTGGCTACAACGGCTATTTTAAAAAATAAAGTCAAATTTCTTGTCTTAAAATCGGTGATCAAGTCAAAGAAATTCATGAATTTCATAAAATCTTGAACAAACAGAACTACCCTAAAGTCGCGAGTATAATTTCTGTTTGGTTTTCGCATGCAAATTGACGGCTGTCTCCGGTGCGGTGTGTGTCGAGGGTTCGAACCCCGCTGCAGCATAACTTTTTTGCTTTTTAAGAACAATAATTGCATTAGTTAGTTTATTAGTTTAGTTGCATTAGTTGCATTAGTTTATTGTGAACTCAGACAAATCCAGTCACTAGAGCAATATCTTATCGATATCTTACCCCCACCAGATGCATGCCGTCATAGCCGAGTGGTTAGAAGTCTTGTATCCTGGTCAAGAGGTCACGGGTTCGATCCCGTTTGGTTCTTTTGACGTTTGGTTCTTTTCCTTTGGCTTTTTCCTCTATTTTTTAGGGCTTAGAAGTTTTGCTTCTGCATTGTTTTTACCAAATTATTCATGTGAATAAATGTATAATTTGAGTAGACGACCATTTTTCTCTCAAAACAGGTTTTGCCTTACATAAAAGCTTCAGCTTCAGCTCTGTGAAGTGTGAATTGGCAAAAATCATTCATTGGCATTGAATCAAGATAATTCATTCATCAAAACACTCCTTTTCTTGTTTGTTTTCCCTTTTCTTTCCCACTTTTTTTTTGATTCCTTAATTGGATCTAAAATGGCTTCCATTTAAGAGCTTTCAGAAAAGAAATTGCATAAAAATTTTGAGGCAAGCTTTGACATTTGAATTGCTCTAAATTTTCTCTTTAAAATTGTTTTACAATTACAATTCTTGTTCAGAATGCGATTCTTTTTCATTCTCACCATTTTGATCGTTTTTTGCTATTGTGAATCTGAAGAAAAGGTGAGATCAAGGGGAAAAATTGAAATGACAAGCTTGAATTTTCAGAATGACTCGACAGCCTTGACAAATTCGGAACAGGTACAGTACTGGACAATGAAATATGATATTTGAAAAAAGATCGTCACTTTCGCGCGTCTGTAACTCCCTTGTCTTTGAGTTTAAACTATTAGTGTTATACATTTTCTGAAAGCTCTTTTCAATGGCTACACAATGTTAATATTAATATTTAGAAATGCGGTAAAGACAAGGGAGTTACAGACGCGCGAAAGTGACGATCGTTTTTCAAATATCATATTTCATTGTCCAGTAGTGTAATTCTTTTCTTTGAAACTTTTAAACGAAAATCTAGAATCTCGTTCGCACAAAAAGAGAGGACATTTTTGCGAATAACTCGATCGTTCAAGCATTGGTGGGTTATGAAAGATATTCAGGGGAAGAGGATACTGTAGATACAGCTCAGTTTCTTGTCTCATCACAGTATCTCTTTTAAATTCTCTAATTGTCGGCTGAATACTTTTAAATCTGGCACTTTATTGTAAACTCGAAAGATAAGCAAACTTTCGATCAGTTCTATAAATCCCTCATTACCTTTTTTGTAATATGATAAAAGGATTAAAAATATTAAAGTATTGATAAAGATAAAGATGCAAGGCTCACTTGCGACGTTTTTCCGAGAAAATCCTGGGGTTGCGCTTTAAAGCATGGTAAAACTACCGTACCCCTCCAATTTACGCGAAATTTCATCTTTTTTTCGTTCTTATTCATTTCATTTTATTCTTTTTGCGTTTTTTTCAACTAAAAATTCACAACAACAAAGCTTCCGCCATAGAAAATGATAAAAACCACACTTACCGTAAATACTGTAATAGTACCCCCGCGCCCATAATGACGGTGCGGAGTGTTGCGTAGTCTAGTTTTGAACGAGTTTTTCTCGACACTGATTTATGCTAGAATGCTCGCTGCGGTATCAAAAAATAGCCCTGAATTTCAGCTATTTTTTGATACCAAAGACGCATTTTTTGAAAGTACGGGCGCTTTGAAAAAAGTTAAATACTAAAAAACTTTTGCGACTACGCGACCGTACGAGGGGGATGGGGTACTATTACAGTATTTACGGTAACATTAGTTGGCATCAAGTTCGTCGAGCAGATCGTCAGGAAGCAAATGGGTCTAAAAAAAACCCTAAAAACAAAGCTTCCGCCACAGAAAATGATGTTAAAAACGTAGCTTAGCTCTTTGTTTTCTGCAAAAACAAACGCGACCACATCAGAAAAACGCGAAAAGAATCAAATGAAATGAACAAGAATGAAAAAAATGAAATTTCGCGTAAATTGAAGGGGTACGGTAGTTTTACCACTCTTTAAAGCACCAACCCCGGGATTTTCTCGGGAAAAGGTTTCAAGTGCAAGGCTCAACAATGAATTGTATATTTTATTTTTCAGCGTAAAGCTTTCAAGGATCCAAAAGAAGTAAAGAAAGAAAAGCAGCGTCACCGTGCTCATATCAGAAAAGTTCTTCGAGATAGACGATTGAAAAGAATTCGACAAGCAAGACAACAGAGAAAAGCGAGAAAACTCGCGAAAAGGAGGTGAGATTTCGATTGGTTAGCATGAAAGGTATTCAAACTTGACGATTAAACACTTTTCTAGTTGTTTTGTAGTTTTAAACAAGCCTTTTGAATCTTGAACAAGTTCTTTATTTGTCAGCTACAGTTACAACACTTTTCTCGAGATTATAGCTAAACCTTATCAGCTGTGGTTGCTTAATTTTTCTTTAAAATCTTCTTATTCTTATCTCAAAAAGATTTCCCCTATAAACTAAAGATTTCTTTTTTTTTCCAGAAACAAAGTCCGCCGAGCACATCAAAAATTCGTACGCAAAAATCGAAACCTTCTTCGTGGCTTTAAAGCAGGGAAAACATTCTAAAGTTTTTGATTTTAGAAAACTTTTTGCAAAAAAAATTGCAAAGAATTTTTCTAAAAGTTTTTCTTTTTTACATTTCCATAAATTTTTTTATATCTTAGCTTTTTCTTTTTCTTTGCTTTTTCGATATTTCGATTGATTTTTCTCAAATGAGAGGGATTTGGGGAAGAATTTCGAGAAAAGGGCAAAAAAGAAAAAAAAATAGCTGAAGGAGATCTCTAGAGGAAGCCAATTTCTTTGCGAATTCCATCCAGAAATGTCTGCGTGGAAACGATTTTGGTGGCTTTTGAGAGAAAACAGACAGACAATGTGGGGAAATTCGTTGAAAGGGATACAAAAGAAATAAACAATATCTTTAAATGCTGCTTGAAAAATGTAAAACCGTTATTTTGTCTTGTTTTCTAAATATCGGTTTTGCTATTGCCTTTCATTTTTGTTTGTTAGTTCAAAACAGCTGTTAGTTCAAAAATAAATATGACACGTCTGAAAGAATAATACTCGAATATTTTAGATATTTCGATATTTAGATATTTCGATTCTGATGTACAGGGTGCGCCAAAAGTTCCCGTACTTGTATTTTCTATATTTTTGGTGATGTTAGATAGAAGATACGATTTTAGTTACCGGGCACAGTTACAGGGCACAGTTACAGGGCACAGTTACAGGGCACAGTTACAGGGCACAGTTACAGGGCACAGTTACAGGGCATAGTCTTGTGCCCTGTAACTCTCTTGTGCCCGGTAACTATGCCCGGTAACTATGCCCTGTAACTGTGCCCTGTAACTGTGCCCTGTAACTGTGCCCTGTAACTGTGCCCTGTAACTGTGCCCTGTAACTGTGCCCGGTAACTATACCCTGTAACTGTGCGACCAAAGCGCCCCTGAGCGGACCCTCTTCTCAATCACTTGTCTTAAATAGTGTTGCACTTATAAATTAACCAGAAACGTTTTCTAAATCAGTTTTTCGCGAGGAATTCGAATTTCTTACTTTTAAAATCGTATCTTCTATCTAACATCGCCAAAAATATAGAAAATACAAGTACGGGAACTTTTGGCGCACCCTGTAGATGTAAAGTTATAAAGGAATTGAAACGCTCACTTTATTCACTTCACTAAAACAATTCCCAGCACTTCGATGAAGTGAATAAAGGATTCCCTTTTTCTAACTCCCTTTTTCTAAAAAATTACAACATTTCAAAGACTATCGTAATCTGTAATCTTATGGAGCTCAAAGCTGTATTTGAGTTTTTCGTCAAGTTGTAGATCAAAATTCGATCTGTAAGTCGAATATTTTAAACTCAAATATATTTATTGCTCAAAATACTGTATGACATCATTGCGAACGATCACAAGGCAATTCAAGGTAAGATTATGACAAAATAATTTATAAAAGTGAGAAAATATTGTTTTTTTTTCAATGACACAAGCTCTTTTAAATAGTTGCACACAAAGGAAATAAGTATAAAGGAAAGGGAATTGACGCTTTGAAATATAAAAAGAAAAAAAAATGATATGAATCGAGCACAATCAGTTTGTTTATTATGGGAATATGATTGAAAAGGAAAATAATGAAAATAAAAAGAAGAATACCCGCTTTTCTTCAGAAACGATCGGCGAGAGGATTACTGAAAATATTTTATAGAATTTTGTTTTACTATTAGTAGAAAACTAACAAGGAGATGCTATAAAATGGCCTGAGTGTTCAGGAAAGAGTGTTCAGGAAAGAGTGTTCAGGAAAGAGTGTTCAGGAAAGAGTGTTCAGGAAAGAGTGTTCAGGAAAGAGAAGATCGGGTACGCGCGCCCTTACCACTCCGCCATCTTCTCTTTCCTTTGAGATGCAAGTGGCCTTTGAGATGCAAACACCTATCGGACACGTACACATAACGCCTGCAAACGCCTATCGCCTATCGGACACGTACAATTTGTATTCAGTTGTTGTTTGTCGCTGCTGTATCCAGAATCCAGTTTTTGCCCATATTTAAAAACACGAAAAAAGTGTCAAAATTTCCTACGTGTCTACGTGCCGGGGGCTTATAAAACCTCTTTTCCGCCCCGCCAGATGTGACCCGATGGCGGAGTGGTAAAGGCGCGCGTACCCGATCTTCTCTTTCCTTTTTGGCCGCAGGTTCGAATCCACTCCGGGAAAAACTTTTGTTTCCTTTTGCAAAATTAGCGATTTTTGTATTTTATAATTCCTAAAGTATTCACTATCATGAATTACTTAAAAGCCTTTAGTAAACAACAAAATTTAACATACATTAACATTAACATAACTTTAGCAATCATCATGAAAAGCTTCGAAGAAACATTTTGAGAAACAATAGAGATTGTGGCATTTAGCACATTTGATAAATGCCCAAAATCTACATTTGATATTTCCTTACAATCTAGTTCATCACAATCTGCAAGGCCTACATCAAAAAAAACTTGAATCGGTGTTTCGAACAATGGAGTGGATCTAAACTTGCGGCCAAAATGGAAAACGAGGGTCGGCTAGGCGCGCACTTGCCACCACGCCGTCTGGTCATATTTTGCAGGTCGGAAAAGAGCTTATTTGTGTAAATAATGGCGGTTTAGGACTCAGAATTCCCACAATTTCCCAAGAATTTCAACGCGATCACCGTAAAACCCGAGACGATTACGGTATGCGCTTAGATATTCGCTTTAATATGATGTTACGAAAAAGAGCTTTTAAAAGTCCGCAGCACGATTTCCCGAGTAGACACTCAAACCTTGGACATCATGTTTCTAAATATGGGCAAAAACTGAATACAGAAACGGATTCCCCGTGTCCGATAGGCGCTTGCATCTCAACGGCGTCAAAATCAGCTACGGTCATTTTGTGGGATCTCCTTGTAAGCTTTATTACTTTTCAAGCTCATCTATTCAATAAAAAATGGTAAATTTTTCGAAAGTTAATGTTAATTAAAGTTTAAATGTATGTTTAAATGTTTAAATGATTCAAAACTGACATGTTGTTTGTAATCCTTTTCATCGGGATCCTGTTTCTCGTTCACATAATCATCTAGAATGAACAATTTTTACAATAAAACAATAAAACAATAAAACAATAAAACAATAAACAATAAACGATTTTTTTTTAAAGTTTCCTCAACAAACCATCTTGTTTTCGATCATCTGGATGCACTTCGACCTCAATCTTTCTTTGTTTCATTTTCTCGAGTAACTCGTGAGCAGGCACGATTTTCGCTGGCTCGAATTTGATCTCATCACTAAAATAGCCGTTAAAATTACTGTAATATAGAAAAGATTCGTTAGAAATCATTCTAATTCCAATAGAAATCATTCTAATTTTTGCAAATTGTTGAAATTATTCAACCCTTTCTTCTATGTTTTCGCTATTGAGCAGATCAAAAAGCGGACACCTTTTTCTCGCATTTTTTAAAATATGGACAGCCAAAAAGCCATCAATTGACTGAATATCTTAAGAATTATCAACTAATCAATTTTTGAACTTTACCGATTAAACTCGAGCCCATCATCGGCTTTGTGCTTCCTCGCGAAATGCACCGTCTCATTCTGCACATAGTAGGGACCCTTTGGGTGACCCTAAATCATAAAATTCGTTAAATATTTACGTTTTCTACATCGAGTAGTAAACCCTATGCATTTAGAATCAAAAGAAGAATCGAAAAGGCAACGAGAAGTGTGGATGGAAATTCCAACGGATTGACTCATCGTCCCTCATTCACCTTTGGAAAGGGTGCAACAAAAAGGAATGGTTGAGAAACTATATAGTTGAGAAATTTGATCGATAAAAGAGATCTAGTTTTTTTAAAGTTGATAAGTTTTTGAAGCTCATTAGATTACCAATGATCTTCTTTTCTGTAAAGCTACGGGCATTTGGAAGGATGGGCTTTGGAACAATGAAAATCGAAGTAATGATTTTTTTTAGCAAGTTGGCAGCCAGTTATAACCTGCAAAACATGCAGGATTAAAAATCAGAGGAAACTGGTTGACCAAGGGATCGAACCAAGGTGCTTTATGGTCTGGACTTGTAGTCGACAGTTTTTTTACTTGTAGTCGACAGCGACACCACGCCGCTGGCTAGCTCGGTTGGGAAAAATGAACTGAAGTAAGGAAAATCCCTAGAAACCTAGCGCTTAGAGTCCACCTCAATCTATCTAGAGTCTAGGTCTAATTTTCGACCTTTGCGGATGAATGCGATAAATGATGAGGTTAACTCTGATATTTACTTTTATTTTCGTCGTTTTCTTAGAACGCCCCAATCGCTCGCTTGCCTCCACCGGTGGATTTGCCATCGAAGACTCGTTTAGGAATCAAAATAAAGGCATTGCATGTACGTTCTTTAAATATTCCGTTTAAAAAAAACTATTGCTAATTTGTAACAATTTAGGTGGCAGCCGAATGGAAGTGGACTGCTGGCGGAGACGATACGTGTGGCATTTGTCAGATGCCCTTTGAAGCTTGCTGTGTATTGTGTCGAACACCGGGTGATGATTGTCCACTTGTAAGTATGCAAGTTATTAGTTGCTAGGTAGCGCTTGAGTAGTTAAAATACAAAATAAAGGCACCTCAATCTATCTAGAGAAAAGAATCTGTCTTAAAGCGTATTCATTTCATTTTCGGTGAAATGAAATGGTGAAACGGTGGCTAATTTGGGGGCACAACGGTAATCTTTCTTTCAAAATTTCCCCGATTTACTTGATGAGATTCGATGAGAAATCAAATTGTGAATAGAGCTACTGTGAATAGAGCTACTGTGGATAGAGCTACTGTGGATAGAGCTACTCTTTCGATAAGCACTTTACCCTTTGATCAACAACTAAGAACCCTCAATGAACCCATCTGACAGCACTTTTCAGAAAAGTTTTCTTTTGATTGAAATTGATGAAAATTCTTAGTACTTCGAAAAGAATCCACCCCCTTTAGTTTCTTTTTAGTTAGAAAAGATTTGAAAGGAATTTGATATCAGATATGAATCCCCATTTCACTTTGTGGCGTACAACGGAAGAAAAGGAGAAAAGAAAAGGATTTGTTCGATTGGCAAAAAAAAAAAAAGATGTTCGCTTCTGGCCTTGGCTTTTGCCAAAAAGTGCAGGATGGGAAGGAGTGGGGTGAATTTGGAAATATTCCTGAGTTGAGCGGGAATTAGAATGTTAATCCACACAGCCATAGAAGCCGGCTTCATTGAAGTAAGTCAATAAAAAGAATCCTGGAAGGTAACTCATATTCTAAATTATACAAGCCACAGAATTGCCAAAGGATGAAACTTGTGCAAATTGATCCCTCACCAATTCCCGGGGGACCCAGGAAATTAAAGCTCTGCTTTCTATAAGCTTGACACAAAGGGTGTATTACAGGGTGATTAAAAAAGTTCCAATAAACTTTTCAAAAGCTTCTTTCAGATCTAGCTCTCAAGCCAGAGATCTAGCTTCAAAAGAAAGCCTGATTCTTCCAGCCAAAACCCAGATCGAAATTAGACTTACTATAATTATTTAGTATTTTGAAGGGGTGAAATTCGTGTTATTTTTGCTAACAATGCTACAAAAAACCATTCTGCCCAAAGCCATCTAGCTCTTCAAAGAATCACTGTAGTGCGGTGAAAGGAAACGATAATGGGTTCACCCATTTGAAACTATGCTTTCAATTGAAACTTTTTAAAATCGCTTAAAAAGCCTAAAAAACGAATAATAAAATCTCTCTTGTGAAAATGAAATAGTCAAAATAGTCTTCTTTAAAAACATGCGAACTTTGTTTGTTTGGCGTGTTTTCTTTGAATCATGTGCAAGTCTTCTAGAAAAGGCTTGAAATTTCTCACACAATAAAAGTGATTTAATTTATAGAAATTCAATAGAATTTCAACATTCAAAATATTGTAAAATCGAAATTTTCTTTTAGCTTCATAGAAAATCAATCGATTTAAAGCAAATGGAAACTTTTTTGATCTTGTAAGGATTTGGTTGTAGTAAGGATAGAAGCCTAGAACAGTTTAAGATCAGGGACATGGGCCAGGCTCTGACTGGGGCAGACCAAGGTTCAGGTTCAGCCTTAAAACAGACAAAGACTAGTCCAAACCAGCAAAAGTCAGATTAGGGGAAGGACCAGGCTTGGCTACCAGACCAGGGCGACCAGGGTCTGAGTCTGAGCTGGCTTAAGCCTGGAGTCAACTTAATAAGTAAGAACAGATCTAATAGCTCAGTTCAACCAGGTGATACTTTGAAAGTTAACAGGTAGACAGCTAGTTAACAGCTAAAAATCAAAGCATTAGAATAACAGTGATCGGAAGAGCTACTGTACAATTTATGTTTCAAAGATTTGTTAAGGCGGTGGAAAGGTAGACAGAGTACGGTAGCCGAATGATCGAAGAGAGAAATTTCTCAGGGTGATCATCAAAAAAAGTGGGGGGTAAAGAGAAAAGGAATAGAATAGTAGCGATGGAAAAAGATGAAGAAAAAGAGATTTGTGCACAGGGTGAGGGCCTCGGGAACCCCCTCCCTCCTCCCGCCTTTCCCCGTTTCATTCCCATTCCCAATTCCCTTTTTTCTTCACCACCCTTCATCTTCACTCCTTGTTTCTATAGCTTTACGTATCATTTGCATAGCTACATGGTACACGAATTACAGGTAGGCCCTTATCTAGCCCTTGCCCCCTTCCTTCAATAACCCTCCCCATCACTTCCCCTCCACCTGATTTTGTTGAGATACTAACACTCTCGCCTTTTTTCGGCTAATGTTTTCTATTTTGTGTTTCTCGAATTTTTGCATACATAACATCCCCCGCTTCTCAACGCCCCGGCTTTATTATGAAAATTCAAAAATCTTCCTCTCGAAAAGAAAAATAAAATTTAGGGTGATGGATTGATTGATTGAGGTCGAGGATGAAGTGCTTTAAAGTTCAAAGATTCGGGATTAAAGCTTCGAGCAAAGCTTCGATCAAAGATTCGAGCAAAGCTTCGATCAAAGATTCGAGAAGAGACGAGAAAAGATACGCGAAAAGCGCTCAAGGAAGATCCGATCAAAGCTTTGATCAAAGATTCGATCAAAGCTTCGATCAAAAATTGCAACTCTTCAAAAGTTCTACTCTTATTTTGTTACATGGAACTTGGCAAGCAAACAAGGCTTAAAGCCGGCTTAGGTGGTCTGACTTCTGCAGTACGACCTCGGGCCAGCAAGCAACTGCCGGGAAGCAAAACCCTAGCTTTCCTGGAGGCTTGGTCCACAAGAAGTTCAAAGAAGGAAGGCTTCTGGCCTTGTCTTGCCTAGCTGACTCTAGACGACTCTAGAAACAGACTCCAGAAAGAACCTACTAAGCAAAAGTAACCCCAAACAAATGATTTCAGTGATCTCGGCTTTCGAAATCGTCTTATCAAAGGTAACAACCCAATGTGCAACTCTGCTATGGTTACAATGAAAAAGGCTGGTAAACTTAGCATTGAAACCAGAGCTTAAATCTTAAAACAAACTATTATTTATAGCCCTAAGATGGCAATACAACCCCCACTTCCTGGGGGGCTCCGACTACATGGTGATCTCGAGTGTACCTGAGAAGAAAATGACACTCGCAGCCAGATTTACAAGGTGGGGGACAAATGAATTCCCAAGCCCTTCAGCTCTAAGCCCTTCTTAGCTCTAAGCCTTTCAGCTCTAAGTCCCTTCAGCTCTAAGCCCTTCAGCTCTAAGCCCTTCAGCTCTAAGCCCTTCAGGCCTAAGCCACTTCAGCCTCTAAGCCCTCTCAGCCTCTAAGCAAGCCCTTCAAGCTCTAAGCCCCCAGCTCTAAGCCCTCAGCCTGTGCTCCCCCTTCAGCTCCGGGCCCTTCAGCTCTAAGCCCTTCTGTCTAACCCTTCAGCCTGTTACTTAATCTCATTTAAATACTTCAACTCTATTAGCTTTTTTGAAAGTTTATTCTGATATTCTAAATGAAAGATCTTCTAGAAAAGGTCTAGAAAAGGCATTTTTACTTTCTTTGATCCATTTCCATTTTTTCACTTAACTCACAACCTTTCTAAAACAAAGCTTTTCCATTTTTCATTTTTCATTTCTTGTTTATTTCTGTTATTTCTAATGAATCAATTGATCAAAAGCTTCATCAATTTTCCGAAATTGTCACATAAAAAATAGGAAAATCGACATTTTTTTCGATTCAAATTTCCTTCTCCCCCTTTTTCCTTGGGGCTGTTTTTGGTGATGAGTCGAAGGGAAAAAGACAAAACATTTCCCTTAGCTTACAGAGCTTGAGAGAAAGTCTCCCTCTGAACTTCATCGAATTGTCGGAACACCTTAAGAACAACAGAATAAGAAAAGGCTTCTTTCAAGCTCTAGATCTAGAGCTAGAAAGCTTTTTCTTTTGAGAGCTAGATCACAGCTCCCAAAAGAAGTCTGATTGTTCAGCTAAAACCCAGATCGAAACTCGATTTACTATAATTATTTAGTATTGGAAGTTGGAGAGCATTCTGGGAAAGCATTTCTACACTTAAACCATTCTGCCCAGAGCCATCTAGCTCTTCAAAGAAAGGAAAAGACAAAACATTTCCCGCTTTAGCTTACAGAGTTGAGAGAAATCCTCTTCAGAAGTTCATCGAATTGTCAAAAAAACTTAAGAACACGAATAGGGAATATTGAACGCTTAGCAACACAGTCTTGTTTTCTAAAAGATGCAATGAAACTAGAGTACAGTAGCAATTGAAGCCTGTAACTACTGTAAGCTTACTGTAAGCCTGTAGTATCAGCTAAGTAGTACCAGTAACTAGCATTGTAAGCTGTGATCTACCATTCTTTAGTAAATCGAAAACCAAACTACGAGTACTACCGGACAGCTGATCCGAAACGGAAAGCAAGGATGGCAAAACTCGATCAGGTAGAAATAAAGATGCGTTGTACTCAAAATGGAAATACACCCTTCCATGTTGCACTCGTTGTCTAAAGGATGAAGCTAGTGAGTGCAACGGAAAGGGTACATAGAAAAGATTTTGAGCATAGGAACATTGTCTAGGAAAGCAGATACTGAGTAAATGACAAAGTAAATGGCAGGAGTAAAGGCAGTAAATAGCAGAAAATGACAGTAAATAATAGTAAATAGTAACTAGTAAATATTAAAAGCTTACTGAAACCTATCTATTCTAATTTCTAGACACACCCTCAAGTTGAATGATTGTTTTGTGAAGAAGCCAAAAGAGTGGGAGTCAGCTCGGCTCAAGATCGAAAGGCTTGATTAAACAAGAAGCTTTTTTTATAAAATCAATCAAATATAATAGGGAAATTTCTGGTCACAACTCCGGAAAGTGGAGAATATGTTTGACAACAACAATTACAAAAGAAGGTAAAGAGGAAATTAACGTAGCCGACGGAAAGTACTGTAAACTGGCTTTGAAGCATAACGCTATCTTTATTTTAGAGGGAGAATAAAAGAGAGATGAAAAAGATAAAGCTATAAAGAGCCAGGTTTACGGTAGCTTTTCATTAAACTTTTTAGAAAACTAGAAGAACATAACCCCCAACGTGCCCATTTAGAAGCGTTCGTCGCCCACCAGCGCCAATGCTTCCCCAGCAGACTCAAACTCCAACTCTATTCTCAACACCCGTGGTACTCCATCATTCAACAAGCGGAAGAGTTTTAGAGATTTATCAAAGCTCAACTACTGTACCTTCCCTTATTTTACGGTTTCAAAGCTTTCAGTTAGAAGCTCAACACTCAAATCCCCAATAAAGACTCTCATGAAGTCAAAATACATTTTCTAACCCACATCGATAGGTTTCCGATAAGCGGTTTTCGAAATTTCAACAAATCAAGCAAAGCTTTTTAACTAGGGAACTAGGGGAAAAAATCCGGTAATCCAGAGTCCGAGCTCGGTGATGCTCCCACAATCACTAATCCATATCTCCCCTATAAGACCGCCACACCAACTGGATCCCGACCAAAAAAGCGATTTTCAGCCGCTAATCTACACTTGGCCGCTAGCGGATAGTGATCGAGTTTTAGAATTGAGTCGAAGGATCATCGGACATTTGATACGCGCACCTCTTTTCCCCATGGCATCTTTGAGCTTAAATATCTTGGTGTTGAGTTTGCTAGCCTCTGAGGCTTCTCCGATAGATTACTAGATGCGCCAGGCCTTATCTGTTGATTGCTAGAAAAACTATTTCACTTGAACGGCTGAACACCAAGATATTTGAGTTCAAAGCTGGATGGGAAAGGGGGCGGACTACAGTAAGATACTGATAGCTTAGGCTGTACTGCAGATAGCCCTTAGCTGTACCTGCAGATAGCTACAAAGTAAGTTTGATACGCTTAGCTGAATCTCGAGAAGACTACGGTAAATCAACTCTTGTTTTGGGGTAATTTATAAAAGTGTAAGTTCTTGTCTAATGACAGTCGGTTTAAGATCGATTTTTTTAGCGGTCGAGTGAGCTTACTGTAGGCTTATTGTAATGGTATTAGGTAATATTAGCTAATATTTTTTGAGATGAGTGAAAATCAAGGATGTTTTAGGATGAAGCACTTTGTACAGCTGACAAGTCTCTTACTCCGTCAAGTCCTCCTACCAATCCATTGGCGAGCTATATGCAAGGTTTGATTAATATTTTAGGAAGAATAAGGGACCATCTCTGTATAGTTGGTTTACTTACAGTATCTATACTGCTGAAGTACATCTGAGAGCTCTGGAGTTCTAGCGTCTGATGCCAAGTGCATGGTAAGAAGTAAGAGTACAGTGAGAGTGCCCATGAAGAAGCGTATAGACATATAAAAAGACTTGAACAGCCTCCCGTATACAGGCATCTAGAGTGCCACTTCTTTGCCTTTTGAACAACTCTCGTGGACTTCAGACTCAATGGCTCTAATTGATTGACCTGAGCCGTCTGATCGATTGACCCAAAATAAATCCCCTTAGGATCCATCCTCTCGATTTCCTCTCTTCATCAACCTCATCCGGATCATTCAGCGGTTTAGCCGCGCCGATCGCCACTCACGCGGGCATGGATTTCTGGTCGTCAGCTGGTGGGCTAGCCTACGGCGACTACATGGGTGTCTCTTCACTTCAATCAACCCCACCAACATCTTCATACTCATCCACAAGATCCCCATGCACCACTCGAGATTCCCTATCCAACACAATGAGTGGATTATCTAATGTCCAATGATCCGATTATCTAATGTCTAATCAATCAATTATCTAATGTCTTCCATATTTTCAAGTAGAAATATTTGATAGTAAATTGCCGTAAAGATTTCCTAGAAGCACAGCTTTACTGTTTGCTAGCGTACCGTAGCGTACTGTAGCTTTCTAGAATGTTTACGGTGTGTTTAAACTCTGCTTCAGCCTCTCCCCTGCATCCCTCTTTCTCTTTTACAGGTTTTCTTTTGGTCAAAGTTGTGATTTTTGTTTTTCTCTCAAATTCTTTCAAAATCAAAGTCTAAGTCAACAAAATAGAAATCAAATGAAATCAAATGAAATCAAGTGAAAAACTCAAGCTCTTTTCCCGCTTAAGATTACTGTAAAAGTCGAGTTTTTATCGAGCTACAGTCGATAAACAAAATCAATTACAATTTTGAATTTAAAATTTCAAAAAAAACATATTTAGTTTATCAACTATAGTGAGATAAAGTTTGTACCGTATTTGTTCGAATGAAGACCGGGTAAAGAGTATGATCGCGGATACTCCTGCGTAGCAGCCCTTTAAATTTCTTTTCGGGACTAAAAGCTTTCAATCAAGTGCTATAGAGCTGGAAAATGACTCAAAAATACGACATGAGCTCAACAGGATTATTGAGCCATTTTCCGCCCTGTAGCACCTGATTGAAAGCTTTTATGCAGAAAAGAAATTTTAAAGAAGGCTGCTACGCAGGAGTACGGATCATACTCTTACCCGGTCTCTGTTCGAAGAAATACGGTAAATTTGAATTATTTTCGAATTTTTCGACTTACCGCCGCTTGAAGGGACAATTTATTCAGACAATTCTCTGTTGTTATCTAAAGAAATCATTAGTCATTAATCATTAATCATTAATCATATTTCTATATGTTCAAAACATTTCCCCTAACCTGTAATGTTTGTTTCTCGTTTTGTAATTTTTCAATTCCGGGCTCTTCTCCTCAAAATGTGCTTGAAATTATGAATTTTATAATCATTTTTTCGAAAATAAATACCTGTAATTGTTCGAGTTTCCCCTTTAGTTGAAGCACTTCTTAAATAAGACATTGAAAGAAGAAATAGTTAATTAATTGAATAGCTATTGATTGCTTGAATAGCTATTGATTGCTTGAATAGCTATTGATTGCTTGAATAGCTATTGATTGCTTGAATAAATCCTGGATTGCTTGAATAGCCATTGATTGCCTGAATAGCTATTGATTGCTTGAATAGCTATTGATTGCTTGAATAGCTATTGATTGCTTGAATAGCTATTGATTGCTTGAATAGCTATTGATTGCTTGAATAGCTATTGATTGCTTGAATAGCTATTGATTGCTTGAATAGCTATTGATTGCTTGAATAGCTATTGATTGCTTGAATAGCTATTAGTTGCTTGAATAACTATTAATTGCTTGAATAGCTATTAATTGCTTGAATAGCTATTAGTTGCTTGAATAGCTACTTGATTGACTGAATAGCTATTTGACTGAATAGCTATTGATTTGACTAGAAGGCGATTGAATTGAATAGCTATTAGTTGCTTGAATAGCTATTGATTGACTGAATAGCTATTGATTGACTGAATAGCTATTGATTGCTTGAATAGCTATTGATTGACTGAATAGCTATTGATTGCTTGAATAGCTATTGATTGCTTGAATAGCTATTGGTTGCTTGAATAACTATTAATTGCTTGAATAGCTATTAATTGCTTGAATAGCTATTAGTTGCTTGAATAGCTATTGGTTGCTTGAATAGCTATTAGTTGCTTGAATAGCTATTGATTGACTGAATAGCTATTGATTGCTTAAATAGCTATTGATTGCTTGAATAACTAAATACCTTTTTCTTTCAATAGCAGCATCTCGGCTTGTTTCAGCGACGGGGCCAGCGTCGGCGGAGCGTTGAAACCGGCTGGATCGGCTTGGCAATTGTTGAGATCTTTCTGAAAATGGTATTACTTTTCTCAATAAAGTAACTCTAAAGCTATTTAGCTATAAAACCAGATAAATATTATCTAATGTAATCTATTACCTTGACTCTTGCTGATTCCAACTCACACCTCCTCACTCTTGTCTCGAATTCTTCTTTTTTCAATAGAATCTCCCGCCGCTCTCTGTTCAACAAATCCGAGGCCAACTCTTTGTGATCATACATTACTGAAATTAAGTTTTAAAATGAAAATATCATAAGTTTTGATACTATTTACTGTATATAAAATGGAAGGAAGGGAAAAGAGGATCGACGGGAGGAGAACGGAGGGAAATTTGATTTCAATTGGGATTCTTGAATACCCTCAATTCCCCTTTCTTTCTCCTCCTTCCTCTTTCTTCCTCCTTCTTCCTCTTTCTTCCCATTTCTTCCTCTTTCGTCAATCTTTTAATTTTCTCACGGGGGTTCTCGGCCCCCGTGAACCAATTTACATGTTTAGGCTTAATCAAAAGTCATCACAGCCGGGAGTCGAACCCGGATCGTGTGGACCGTAGACAAGTGCGCTACTCACTGCGTCAAAGTTGGAAATAGCGAAAATTTACTTACGAAAGTTAGCAAGCTAGTTATTTTGACATCTACTTATCTAATTTATTATATTATTACCGTAAATACTGTAATAGTACCCCACCCCTATAATGACGGGGCGGAGTGTCGCTTAGACTAGCTTTGAACGAGTTTTTCTCGACACTAGTTTATGCTACAATGCGCGCTTAGGTATCAAAAAATAGCCCTGAATTTCAGCTATTTTTTGATACCAAAGACGCATTTTTGAATGTACGGGCGCTTTGAAAAAAATGAAATACTAAAAAACTTTTGCGACTACGCGACTGTACGAGGCGGGTGGGGTACTATTACAGTATTTACGGTATATTATTTTATTAAAAGAGCAGTACCTGTCTGTACTGACTTTTTCTCAGGCTTTGGGCCAAAAAAACTGATTTTTTTAAAGTTCTAATATAGTTGTGCCATTTAAAATCAAAAATTAAAAAGTTAGAATTGGGTCGAGCCCGAATCGTGTGGCTTGTAGACAAGACTTGACAAGGCTTGTAGACTCCCGACTAGGCCACCGCGACCCCAAATACCTTTCCAGAAAAACCCGCAGTTACCCCTAACAGCGGGTTTTTCGGATGGTAAAAAGATAAATAAATAAAAAAGATAAATAAATAAAAAGGAGAAATATTATAAAGCTTTTCCTTAGTAAACAAGAATTGATTACATTGTAAACGCGCGATGACACTGTCCGTCTGCTCTTGACATTTGAGGAGATCGGCTGAGATTCTGAAAGGCAATTTTTGTAAATCATTATTGGTTTATCATGAGAAATTACGGTAGCTAAGTAAAGCTGACTTTTAATCTATCTACTAGCCTCTTTAGCCTTTAGTTTCACTGTAAACTCTCCCTTCCATTTGTCTCCTTAATCCTCCAGAAACTAAGCCATTACAGTACTTAAGAGTACTGTAAAATTACAGTACTTAAGAGTACTGTAAAATTACAGTACTTAAGAGTACTGTAAAATTACAGTAATCCCGTTAAAAAGTATTTCCTAATAATTGCTTTGATTACAAAATAATCGACCTTAACGGCTGAGAAGGAACCTTGAGCTTTATTCTAAATAAAAATTTACCTTAACGACCTTAACGGCTGAGTACTTGGCATACTATAGACATACTATAGACATACTATGGACATACTATACTTGGCACAGAGTATAGTATGTCTATAGTATGCCACAAGACAAAAGACTGGGATTAGTATCTTTGGGCTTTATTCTAGATAAAAATTAAAATAAATTGACCCCTGTGCGACAATCTCGAGCTCTTGTGTCCTGTAGTGATAAAGAAAAGAAAGAAATACACGCAATGGCAAAAGAACTCTCAAACGGCCATTGCTCATCAACGACATCACCCAAAAGACATCTGAAATTGAAAGAGAACATTTTATGATATTCAGAAAATCATAAATAAATCATAAATCATAAATCATAATCATTAAATAAAATTACCTAAAGAATTGTTAATTTTCAGACTAATTTTCAGATTTTCATATTTGTTTCTTTTCAATAATCTTTCAAGGTTAAAGGATTTGGATGAGAAAAAGAAAGAGAAAAAAAATCATTGATTTATGCTGGATATAGGTCAAATCTTAAAAAGAAAAAGGTAATAATCGAGATTTTATTTGCGAAAGTCAAGTCAACCCGAGTACAATTTACTGTCTATTAGTAGAAAAATTGAAAGAATAATCAATAGAAATAAAATAGAAAAGATATTTAGATATTTAGCTCAAGCTTTGAGCTTATTCAGCTGAGGACTAGAAGCATCTTTTCCACAAATCTCGAGTTTCTATAACTAGAATGCAATTCTTTCCCAATACAATGTTTTTTTCTAAAAAGCAACTAAAACTACCGTAATCAAGCATCTAGTTTTCATTTGATCAACTCAATTTATAGCTATCGATTTATAGCTATCGATGAGGCACTGATCGACAAGGCACTGACAAGGCACTGATCGACAAGGCACTGATCGACAAGGCACTGACAAGGCACTGATCGACAAGGCACTGACAAGGCACTGATCGACAAGGCACTGATCGACAAGGCACTGATCGACAAGGCACTGACAAGGCACTGATCGACAAGGCACTGATCGACAAGGCACTGATCGACAAGGCACTGATCGACAAGGCACTGATCGACAAGGTACTGATCGACAAGGCACTGATCGACAAGGCACTGACAAGGCACTGATCGACAAGGCACTGATCGACAAGGCACTGATCGACAAGGCACTGACAAGGCACTGATCGACAAGGCACTGATCGACAAGGCACTGACAAGGCACTGATCGACAAGGCACGACAGGCACTGATCGACAAGCACGACGACAGGCACTGATCGACAAGGCACTGATCGACAAGGCACTGATCGATCAAGGCACTGATCGACAAGGCACTGATCGACAAGGCACTGATCGACAAGGCACTGATCGACAAGGCGTCGACAAGGCACTGATCGACAAGGTACTGATCGACAAAGGTACTGATCGACAAGGCACTGACAAGGCACTGATCGACAAGGCACTGATCGACAAGGCACTGATCGACAAGGCACTGATCGACAAGGTACTGATCGACAAGGCACTGATCGACAAGGCACTGACAAGGCACTGATCGACAAGGCACTGATCGACAAGGCACTGACAAGGCACTGATCGACAAGGCACTGACAAGGCACTGATCGACAAGGCACTGATCGACAAGGCACTGATCGACAAGGCACTGATCGACAAGGCACTGATCGACAAAGGTACTGATCGACAAGGCACTGATCGACAAGGCACTGACAAGGCACTGATCGACAAGGCACTGATCGACAAGGCACTGACAAGGCACTGATCGACAAGGCACTGATCGACAAGGCACTGATCGACAAGGCACTGATCGACAAGGCACTGATCGACAAGGCACTGATCGACAAGGCACTGATCGACAAGGCACTGATCGACAAGGCACTGATCGACAAGGCACTGATCGACAAGGCACTGATCGACAAGGCACTGATCGACAAGGCACTGATCGACAAGGCACTGATCGACAAGGCACTGATCGACAAGGCACTGATCGACAAGGTACTGATCGACAAGGTACTGATCGAAAAATCGAATGGAATTGGATCGAATGGAATTGGATCGAATCGATTTGGATCGAATCGATTTGGATCGAACGGAAATGGATTGAATCGAATTGGATCGAACGGAAATGGATCGAACGGAATTGGATCGAACGGAATTGGATCGAATCGAATTGGATCGAATCGAATCGAATCGAATTGGATCGAACGGAATTGGATCGAATTGAATTGGATCGAATCGAATTGAATCGAATCGAATCGAATCGAATCGAATCGAATTGGATCGAACGGAAATTGGCGGTTTGATTACGATAGGTTTCGAAAATAGATGCCTTTTAGAAAACGTTAACCCAAATAAAATGAAAAAAAAACGTTTATTAAAAATGATTGATTCGAATTTGGGAGAGAAAAAAAGAAAGAGAATTTTTATGGGGAAAAGAGTGACCAAAAAAAAGCGAATGACCTTTGTTTCGTTCTTTTTTAACATTCTTTTTTGCTTTTTTCCTATAAAATGCCAAATTGTCATTTACTTTTGGTCTTTTGCGCTTCTCAAAATCGGACATCGTTTGAATTTCTTTTCTCATAGATATTTAGGGAATCGAGCTTTAACTTAACCAACTGTGATACTGTGGTAGAAAGCTAATTGGCAAAGCTTACTGTGGTAGAAAGCTAATTGTAAAGCTTTTACAGGATCCTTACCATCATTTTTAAATGTAAATTCAAATTTATTACATGTATTCCCCAGTCGAAAAAGCAAAAAAAGTTATGCTGCAGCGGGGTTCGAACCCTCGACACACCGCACCGGAGACAGCCGTCAATTTGTATGCGAAAACCAAACAGAAATTATACTCGCGACTTTAGGGTAGTTAATAATGATTTTTCTAAGTTAAAATTTAAGAAATAAATGCAAATTACATGTTTAAGGTGAGTTTTTCCGCACTCTTTTCCCTTTCACACGACTCAGCTAAGTGCTCATAATCCGCAAGGGGGTTTAAGAGAAAGGCTTAGTCAAGGGGTTTCGAAAATAGATGCCAAGGCGTTTTCTTATCTTTCTTGCTAGAGAAACATTCAAAAACATTGATGAATCGGAAATGAATAGAAAAAGAAATAAAAATGAAATAAAGTTGGCTATATTAAATTAAATAAAGTTGGCTGTACCAATATACCATTCATTTTCAGCTTAAATGACTTAAAAAGGTCGAATTAGAAGCAAAAATAGTAGAAATATTTAAAAATGGATGAAATTTGTAAAGTGGGTAAGCGGAGGGGAGAGCTTCTTCGTGGAAAGGGTTTAGTTGGAAAAGGGAAGGGAAAAGAGGATCGACGTGAGGAGAACGAAGGGAAATTTGATTTCAATTGGGGTTCCCTCGATTCCCCTTTCTTCCCCTTTCTTCCTCTTTCTTCCTCTTTCTTCCTATTTCGTCAATCTTTTAATTTTCATAAGCTTTCGCCAGGATTGGGCTATGAGAATGAAAAAAAGAAAAAAGCAAGTTGTTAATCGTTAAATGAAATGGGTTGCGCTATTTCCTGTAAACAACAATATAAAGTAATCTTGAAGAATCTCAAAATCTTGAAGAATCACTGCTAATGCTGTAGCCTAGCCATGATACAGTAACTTAGATCTATTTAGGTGGAAAATACAGTAAATTGAACAGCAGACAACCTACAGTAACTTTGGAGCTTAAGGGTGGTTGTTAAGTGTTGCCAAAGAAACCAGCCAGGCTTATAATCCACTGATTTTCTAAAGAATTTATTTAAAAAATGAATTAAAGCAAATTGAAGAAGTTATTTAGCTCTAGAAGATTTGAAAAATGAATTTAAAAGAATTCAGAAAGTGTTCAGGATGTGAGATGTTCAGGATTCGAATCTCAAAACTCAAGAAAAGTTGAAGATCATAGGTTACAAGTTAAGCATTGAAGATCTTTCTACTAATCTCAAAGCAGTCAGAATTTTTCATTTTCTATTTCTTATAGTCTGTAGTGCATTCTATTTTATGCCCCATCGAAAAAGGGAGCGAACAATCCGAGAAAGAGTCGCCCAATTGATGTGCACGATTGTCACCGCAGCGTCGCGTGTCTGTGAGAGGGCAGGGCAGCCAAGAACACAAAAGAATCAAGAAAAGAAGAGTTTCTTCGATGCGGAGAGAGCGCAGAGAAACATTCGGTTCTCTGCCATCCAAGAGAGCACCGAGACATAGATCTAAAAAGAGCAAAGGGTGCGAAATGGTGCAAACCATCCTTTTAAAAGCGATTTTCTAATTATAAAGTGGATCTATAGTTGGGATTTGGATATCTAGTTCGATTTATTCTCCAGTTCCAAATGTTGACTGTGCAAGTCTAGACTTGGCTCTTGGGGGGTAAGCGACGCACTCGCCACGCGCGCTCTCCCCGCCCCTTTGCCTGTTTTTCTCGCAAATGTCCATCGTTTTTCAAATTCACGTGTTTATTTTGGTTTTTTAAAAATGATGAGCTTTTCTTTTCTTCTTTTAAGCAAAAAAGGTCATATCGATTTTTGCGGTCTTCTTCATTTTTTTTTGCGCGGGGAAAACGGCGCGCAAGTTTCGCCCCGTCTTTGCCCTTTTCTTTTCATTTCTTTCGCTACTTGACGCTCTTTTTCATTTTTTTTGAAAATTTTTTATTAATAAGTACTAGTTCTATAGTTTATCTTAAAGGATTTAAATTTTTAAACATTACATAAAAGTTTACATCATCGGTAAATGTAGAGTGAAAGGATTGTATGTTGCATAAAATGCTATAGAGGCTATAGAGGCTTAAAATCCTATAGAAAGAGAGGTTTATTGTAGAGATTATAAATAAAATCTAATAAAATCAATCTTCTCTATAAGATGAGAAAGCCATGGTTTACGGTTTTGAAAGTTTTAAACTCTTGTATGTAACTTAAAATGAGCAAAATTATTAACTAGCAATTAACCAGTTTCCATAAAACTCCGTTCTGAATCTTAAGGAAAGCTTAAAAAGCAATTTCTATACAGTTTGACAAAACTTTCTCCCAAATCTCATTGGTCGCTAGAGTGAAGGGATCAAAAATCCATCGATTAACCCCAACTTTCTACCGTTCCACTCCTCATTGTCACCCATGCCAATCTCTCTTTCCCGCTTTCTTTTCTAAACATCGGCCAAGTGCCAATATGTCTCCTCCAACAATGCCTATATATAGCAGTTTTGCTTCTTCTTTCGCTTTATCAGCACCACCAACCCGCTTCTTCGACACTTTCTCTCTCTGCTTTGCTCCACATTTTTTCGCGTTGCTCCCTCGCGAAGTGTTCACTTGGTTTTTCTTGAGCTAACTTTTCTTAAGGAAATTTATCGATTTTGTGTCGCTTTGAAAACATTTTATTTCGATTTTTGCAGACCGTGCGGTGCTAGGTGCGGCGCGTATGAGTGTCGCACTCACCGTGTCGACTACAATTATTAACGAAAGTGAATTCCCGTCCCTCGTCAATCGAGGTTTGTCACACGAAAAAGTAGCAAAAACGTTTCTTTTTACGATCCCGGGAGTTGGAAAATCAATAAACTGGCCACTCGGAGTCGTAAAAGCTGGTTCAATATATCACATTTCACTACAAATTCATGCCAATTTTTAAAAATCGATATTTTAGGGACGCCCGGTGCCTTCCCGAATTTGCCCACAACTAGCGCCTACTCGTCATCAAATCATCAATCACCCGTACCGCCTGGCTATGTGCAAAACAATAGGCCGAACTATGGTTTGTTTAAATAAAAATAATTCCACCAACTAAATTCTTCAATTTCTACGCTTTAACATCATGATCAAAATTGTAAAATAAAAAAACAAAATATTAGGTTGGAAAGAAAGTTCTCGGAAAAAGTTTGCATGATGCATGACTTTTCAGAACCACCTATTTTAGCAAACACTCAGTGCCAAGAAGATGACACTAAAAAATTCTTGGTGATTTCTCGAAAACCAAGCCATCAATTCTTCCCAGATTTTTTGATAAACTTGACTATATTTTAAAAAGTTTTTGACAAAAAAATCAGAGTGGGCTTCAGGTAAAAAATAAGAGATTTCTTCAGTTGAAGTGACTTGGTCACTTTTTGAGCGATCAGCCTTTACACAAGTTTTTAATGGGTTAATGAATAGGCAATGGGTCCCATTCAAAACCTAAAATGAAGTACTTAAAATAGGGAAAATTTGTGATAAAGACAAATTTTATCTAATGCTTTTGACTTTTCAGAATCACCTATTTTAGCAAACACTCAGTGCCAAGAAGATGACACTAAAAAATTATTTTTTGAAATACAGCTTCTCCGTAAAAATTGTTTGGCCAAAATAGAGATTATAGAGATTATAGAGCGTATTGCTCATTTATGCTAGCTTTACCTCATAAGGAATCGTTTTTCTAATGCAAAAAAGTGAGCTGAATTTAAGCTGGAAAATAATGATTTTTCAAAAATCTCGAAAATTTTAAGGAAAAGCTGCACTCATCTTTTTTTACGAGTAATTTCTTGGAGTCGACTTGTAAATAATAGAACAAAATGTTCTTGAATCGGTGAATTCGTTTTTAAGAAATTTCAGTCTAACTTTTTTCAGAGAACTTTCTTTCCAACCTAATATTTAGAAAAAAAAAAGGAAAAAAATTAGAAACAAATGTTTAGCTAAATAGTTGCGAATTAATAAAGACCTAGAAACAAAAATATTCAGTTAAGTGGTGGTATATAAATACCGCAAAAGCTCTAATAGAAGCAATCATTTTTTTCTAAGCGCTGGTTAATGCTGAAAATGTGTGTTATATCTCATATTTGAAAGTAAACTTAGGCTACGCGACGCTCCTATAGGGGGCCCTTCTATTAGAGCTTTTACGGTAGTTTAGGGGGTGGGACAAATGCTATCTTTTTTGCGCACCTGGACATTTGTGCACTTTTTTTCGCTGGAAAACGCCTTAAGAAAGGCCGTAGAGCTTAAAAAATGTTTCCATATTGGGGAATCGTATGCGTAGATTCCGAATTTTGAGAAATCACACCTCGCGGACAGGTCAAATTTGGGTTAAAAGGCAAAAACTGCGATAAAGCGCTAAGTTGCGTAGTTTTTGCCTTTTAACCCAAATGTTGACATGTCGGCGAGGTCTAATTTGTCGAATTTCGGAATCTAAAGATACAATTTCCTTACATGAAAACATTTTTTAAGCTCTACGGCCTTTTCTAAGGCCTTGTCCAGCAAAAAAAGGTCGCATTTGTCCCACCCCCACTTTGCGCTTTTTAGTTTCCTCCAACGTTTTTGTTTTAGTTGCACCCGCATTCTCTGTATTTTTTAAACATTTGTAAATTTTAAATCATTTAAGTTAAAGTCAACAATATTTATGTAGTAAACAAGGCACTTTTACTATTTCATACGAAACTTGTTCGGCCTCATTTACGAAACATTTCCATTACATTTTTTTCTTGCCTAAATTGATTGCTAATCAATTTCTTGCATTTCAGCGAATCTAATGCGAAGCGGGAGCGAGGGGCTCGGAAATAGCGGGGAATTCCACATACAATCCGAGGATTTCCCGGCCCTACCAGGAGCGACAAGTTCTTCAAAGGTGGCGTCAGCTTTCGTGGGTGGTATCGGACCTTTGCAAGCATCCGATTCGGCTACGCACGCGCAAACAGTGGTAGTTTTGGATATACATTTCTTGAATTTTTCTGTTTTAGATGCAACTGACGACTGAAATGGTAAATTCAACAACTGAAGGAAGGTACGTGGAGCAACAACGGGAACGAGATGAAGGCTCGATTCGGACTGGAATCATCACTCATCCCGATGGTAGGTTTAAGGGTTGATTGTTCTAGAATATTTAGCAATGCATTGTCTTATTTAGGCGAGGTGTCGAACATCCCACCTGGGATGCTCAATGATCAATATGGGATGGCCGGACTTGTGACGTATCTTCGAGCCGTTGACAACCCTGCAATTGTTGCTTTGGCTCTTGGGCATGATCTTACGACGCTTGGCTTAAATCTGAACGCTCCAGAGTAAGTGTATTTTTATTAAAACTTAGTTATGGCTTTAGTTCTCTAGTCTTTTTTTCTTCAAAGTAGATCGCTAGTCTTTATTCATTTTTAGTCGAATGCTCTACTCAACATTTGGAGGACCTTGGGCTGATTATCCGTGTCGAACTCAAGATATGGATGCAAAAGTAAATTCGATATGGTTTAATGTCTTTATGCTTTCATTATAGGTGCCCGTTGAGTATCTCACAAATGCAACAATACGAGACAAGCTTCCAAATATCAAATTGCAGAAGTTGGGGGAAGACGTGCTATTCTACCTCTTTTATAATTGTCCGGGTGAAGTTTATCAAGTAGCAGCCGCTGTAGAATTGTAAGTGAAATTTTCTCTCGGTCCAAACTCGCTGTCTTTCTCAGGTATTCACGGGATTGGCGGTTTCATAAAGGCGAATGTGTTTGGTTAACGAGATCTCAATATGGAGGTGTGAAGGAGCAAACGGGAAGTTATGAGAAAGGCAGCTACAATGTTTTCGATCCAATTCAATGGAGAAAGGTATCTTACTTCAGATTGGTTGTTTAGTTTCTCTCAAACCAAAACGACTAATGGGTTTACGTTATTTTAGATTCCAAAGGATATGACGTTAGAGTACAAGCAGTTGGAGGAACGGCCGAAATTACCAGCCTCGCTTCAACTTGGTGTCAATGGGGGGGGACTGCAAGCACACAACCAGCTTCAACTAACTCAATGGCTCCAGGGAGTGTTCCGGTGAGTTTGCTTTCCTGCTAGCTTTTTTCTTATGGATTCTTTAGTTGCCTTCCACGTTGTAAGAAATTATTATTCTCCATAGAAATTCAGTGGAAATTTTATACAAAATGTTTTGGTATTTCCTCCAATTCGTAAATACAGGGTGTGGCATATATAGTTGTTGCGCTTAATGCATCTTTTTGGCTTTCTAAGATAATACATTAGCCTAAGCTGAAAAACAACAATTAATCATAAAATCTGCGCGTAATTTTACATAGAATAGAAGAATTGTAACATTTTTCTAATGACTTTGACAACTCAAGCCGAGCAGTGCAAAAAATGCTATGCGTCATGATGATGATACTGGAAAACAGTTAAATCCGAGTTTGGGGTATCTAGAAACTCGTATTTTTCTGCATTAATACGTTTTTAGAGTTAGTTACTATAAAATTAGTGCAGCAGTCACGTTTAAAGTCTTGTATGAAACGAATGAAGTTTTAAATTTAGTGAACAACTCATGAATCTAGTGAAAAAATGTCCGTAGATTTTAAACATCTAAACGAAAAAACCGTCAACTTTTGAGGTTTTTGAGAAAATCATCCTTTTGTAGAGCGCAACATTATATATGCCGCACCTTGTAAAATTATTCTTTGATACTTTTAGTTTTATAAGCTTTATAACTTGGATACCATGATTTATGTAATAAATAATTTCTAATATTTCGTCGGATGGTGGATACAAAGTTATTGCTGATATACTGAACTACCACCGATATCGACATTGATGTCGGACTGCCACTGATACTAAATCACATTCATGCAATCCAATGTTAATCAACTACTTGCTTCGTTCTTTTTCACGGGGCTCTACTCAGTTATTCGTGCTTGAAGCTTTTGTTTCGAACAAAGCATCATTTCAAAACTGAGGACCGAAGAAAAACTCCTTGCCTTTTTACCAACAAATCCTTGATAATACTTTTTTGCCCTTCCAATGCCGACTCTACTAAAGACACTCATAAGTGATGAAACTAATGATTCATTCAATCCCCATCGATCTTCAGCCACGCTCAACAATGTGTTTTTTTCCTATTCCAAATGTATTTCCTCCAAATTTAGATAATTGTGAACATGGCTTAACAAAAACACTCACAATAGCACTTATCGAAAAATTATTTATTTAGTTGTCTTCCCACCGACTGCCCTAGGCTCTGGACAGCCACCTGCAACTCTAGTACCTAGTCGCACTTCAAATGTACAACAAATGCTACCTTGGTTGGTTTTGATCTCTACCAAACATCTTTAAAGATCGACCATATAAAAACTGACATCATTTCAGAGTTGTCTTTGGCGAGGTACCGGTGCGTAAACATCTGATCTTTCTTCATTCATATTGCACCTTCTCAAGTCATTATCAACGTTGTTATGTGTATGATTGTATGTAATAAAATTTATTTTGCTAGTTTAACGCTAATATTTACTCCACATGGACTCGCACAGGAAAACTAATAGGAGTGCGGGCAAAGAATAAATCCCTGGAAAATCGAGTTGGTTGAGGAGCAGAATCCGAAAGTGGCACCACATCAACTGAGAGATTGCAAGCACAAGGGCCCACGGGAAGAGACAGCTCGATCTAGAATGGCATGAAACGACTGTTCAAAACTGAAAAGTCTTACATTTTCGCTCTTTGATGGTTCGACAATTCCGCAAAATGGGGTTGCATCCAATCCATCGAGCATATCAGCTGTAAACGCACTGTAGGCATAGATTTGCGTCATGAATTACCTTTGATTGCAAACATGATTACGACATCAAGGGTGTTGCGTAAACGCAGCGTCTGTGGATACGGATGAAAACCGTTGGCTCGAATCTAAAGTCATTCGGTTTCAAAAGAATTTTTAACAAAACCTCAATAGGCGTTTGTTTCAAAATGTGTCCCATAACAATATCGAGGCTTTGCCAGATCTTTTATATAATGAATAGTCGCCCCATGGAGTGGCCGTCTAAAACTCTGATAAGACATCAAAAATATTAAAGACAATTACGTGAACAGTGAATTGGCTCAATTCCGTTGGTATAAGGACTCCGGAGAAGCGCATCCTCAATGCAGTCATGTTTTGTGTAGTGTTCCTTGAGCGTAATTTCAGAAGCAAGAACTGATGGTGGATCCGTAAACTAAAACAAAATAAATAAAAAAAAATAACTTCGCAACATACGATTCTAGCACTTCCAACTAGTGTATTACAATTTTCAGCCAGAGAAAGTGTCGTGTCGCGAGTGTCTTTATCACTTTCCGAATTTCTCACTTTAACGTCTTTCACATTGTTTGCTTGCTAAACTTTTTCAATACAAAATGTAATTTAAAAGGTTCACATGTCCCTGAGGGGTGATGAGAAAATGGGATGTCGTTGGTTGAGCGTCCTCGATTTTTAAAGCAAGAAGTAGGCATAGAAGTAGGCAGAGATGGAGCTAAAAGATAAAATTGATTATCTAATTCAAAAAGATTTACTGCTTCTAGAAAGAAAAAGCCAGTAAGATGTTCAAGCAAGGGAGTTCCGAGAAGGAACAGCACTTTTCCAGCCCAATGCCAAGTGATGAGTTTCTAAAAGGAAATTAAACAATAAACAAAATCAATGTTTCCAACCCTGATTGTCTCGTCATGAAGAAAATCTGCGGCTTGCACTGTCACAAACACAGCTGGAGTGAGAGTTAGAAACTGAATTTGTATAATGTTACCTAAAACTTTTTGCAAAATTTACCTCACAGAGTTGTCGAGCGTTTGCCCCATATGTGAGGATACAACGAGATTGCGCCGATAGCTGCCCCAACACAAAGCCATTCTTTAACTAAAAATAAATTGTACAGCAAGTGCATGCGGCTCGGAGTAGAGACAAGAAACATAATAACATACCGCTCGCCGGTTTTGGTCCAAAGCAATTTCAGTTCGAGCATAAGGGCAATCCAATGTCGCAAGTATACAAAATGACTCATTTTAAGCGAAGCTTTCATTTAAGACGAACGGCGAAAAATTCCAATGCAAATTTTCGGTGCAAAGCAAACCATACACAACATGGATTGCTGAAAGTACGCCCTACACCCAATGTCGGTGATTTTGTCTGGCGGATTGTCTTACGGTAACAAAATCCTTTTTGGCACGGAAAAAATTCATTTTTAACTTGCTCCTTTGTGCTTTCGGAATTTGTTAACCATGTTAGATTGTTAGAAGTTTTTTCACATTTGATCAAAAAAGTATCCCACTAGTTAATCAACCCTTCTTGCTTTTCTCTGTTTTACATTCTCTGTTTTACTTTTCTCTTTCATTGTGTCGAAGCGATGTTTCATTTTTTAAGTTAGCCAGAAGGGTAACAGAGATGGCACCAAAGGCCGAAGCTCCAGCCGCCGTTTTCCCCAAGAAACAGGTTAGTAGGACGCTCCGGAGCCGGGCTAAGATGGGTGACTTTTGTCGCTCGGAGCCTGTGTAAAGAAGGAGTTTTCCTACTTGACACTCGCTCGCTCGGCTAGGTTTTGTTTTTTACTAGGGTTGATTTGGTTTTGTTAAATTAAAGTTTATTTTCTTTTTTTAGAAGAAGAATGCCGAGAACATCAACTCGCGGTTGACGATGGTGATGAAATCCGGCAAGTACGTGCTCGGCTACAAGGAGACCTTGAAGAACCTCCGCAACGGAAAGGCCCAGCTTGTCCTCATCGCAAAGAACACACCTCCAATCAGGTAAAAGCTTTAATTTCTTAGTATTTTTGCCACGTAGCGTTGGAAATTCTACTAGCTGTAAGCAAAAAAAAAAAAGAATATATCTAGGTCGAACTAATTTTTTGTTTTTAGGAGATCGGAGAGTGAGTACTACGCCATGCTTGCCAAGACTGGAGTCCATCATTACAACGGAAACAACATCGAGCTCGGAACCGCCTGTGGAAAACTCTTCCGTGTTGGAACCCTCGCTATCACAGATCCAGGAGACTCTGACATCATCAGAAGCATGCCAGCTGAGACCGCCTAAATTTTGTTTGTTGTTATTCATGGTTAAATAAATTGTTTCACTCTGTAACGTTCTAAAATTAAAATACAATGACGAATCTGAGACTTTGAATTACAAAATCACAAAACTCATTACTGGGAAGGAAAGCAATGTATTTCCGAGGAAGAGCTCTGGATTCTGGATTAATGACAGACAATCTTCTTGGAAAAGTTTTGCTACCGAATCTGCAATTTTTTTGCATTCCTATATTTGGGAAATTCAGAGTTTTTGAAAACTAACTGTTGCCAAATGTTTTTTCCAATTTTCCCAGGGGTTCAAAATAATGATTAAGTCTCCAATGGCAACAACTGATTCGCAGCTGGAAAATTTTGGAGAAATAGCTTCATTTACAGCTAGCTGGAAATCATAAGCGTGAGCTTGGCCAAAAGATTCTGTAAGATTCTTGTGTTTCTAGACTTGTCATATTGCCCTTTAGGAAGAGTTCGATCGAATTCTTGAGGAGAATGCCTCCAGTCTCGTCGTCATCGATTTCTTTGCAACATGGTGCGGTCCCTGTAAGATTATGGGACCGAAATTCAACGTAGCTCTTTTCCGTAAAAGAATATTCTAATTTATTCAGAAAATGTCTAACGAGTTCACTGATGTGATTTTCGTGAAGGTGGATGTAGACGAGAATGTTTGTTTCTATGCACTGGGCTAGATAATTTCAATTTTGTAGGAGGATATCGTCTCTCGTTTTCAAATCAATGTCATGCCTACATTTATATTTATGAAAGGCGGCAAACAAATTGTAAGTTAAAACTTCTAAGGCAGAATTATAATATTTTCCAATTAATCAATTTGCAAATTGCAGGACTCTGTCGAGGGGTCAATGGAGGATCAACTTCGGCAAAAATTATCAGCGAATCATTAACTTGACAAAAACTACATGGTCTTATCTATGCTAAATTAAGTAAATCCAAATACTTTCATCCTTTTATATGCAGTTTATGAAAAAACTTGAAACAACCTGAATTTTCTTTATCATGTTAGGAAATAAATAGTACATACTTATATCTACCAATACGTACAGGAGAAACCTCAAAACTAGCGAAATGTACACAACTAAAAAGCTGACAATAAATTGTGAAACAATCACGACCAAAAAAATATTGGGCAAACAGTTGACCAAGAAAACGGCAAATGGCAAAAGAGGGGAGAACATTGGGTTGGACATAGATTTTTTTTTCGAAATTTGAATAATAGACGAATCGAGACACATTTTCTCATGGCAAAAACAGAAAATTTGGCAAAAAGTAATACCTAGAGGTTTTCACAAGAAGAATCCTTTGGAAATGAATTTTTTTCTCACTTGAAAAGAACACAGACTACTGACCCTAGTAAAAAATTCACAGTGGTAGAGAACACAAACGGAAACCCAAATAATGGGGAAAATGAGGGAGAAATAAAAGGATTTTTCTAGCCATTTCTCCTAAACTAAAAAGCACTAACTCCGCGGAAAATTCTCTAATCGGGAAAAAAAAAAAAAAAAAAAAAAAAAAAAAAAAAAAAAAAAAAAAAAAAGAGAGGTGGGATAAATGCGACCTTTTTTTTGCGCACCTGGACATTTGCGCACCTTTTTTTGCTGGAAAAGGCCTTAGGAAAGGTCGTAGAGCTTCGAAAATATTTCCATATAAGGGAATCGTATGCGTAGATTCCCAATTTTTGACAAATCAGACCTCAATCATTCCACGTCAGGAATTTAGGGCGCAAAGCAAAAACTGCGGAAAAGCGTTAAGTTGCGTAGTTTTTGCCTTTTAGTCCAAATTTGACGTGTCAGCGAGGTCTGATTTGTCGAAATTCGGAATCTACGCATACGATTCCCTTCTATGAAAACGTTTTTGAAGCTCTACGACCTTTCCTAAGGCCTTTTCCCCCCCCTCTCAGGTGCGCAAATGTCCAGGTGCGCAAAAAAAGGTCGCATTTATCCCACCCCCTCTAATCGTTTCTAATTGAAGCTGTACAAAGAGTTTCCAATAAGCACCAAATCACAAAAATTATCAAAAAAAAAGAATACTGTTTTTGGAAACGTTTTTTATATAGATTTTGCACTTTACTTGAGCACTAGAGTTGGAAAAAAAGATTTTTCTGATTAAATTAATGATGAAAATGATCCGGATTTCCCATCTCATCAGCTGCTATCGATGAATGGTAGTCGTCCAGGGAATCGTCTCGACGGAGAAGTGGAGCCGAGAGGAAAGCTTGACCGCGACGAGAACGATCTCGGACTTCTTGACAAGCGCGGAAGATTCGACACGATGAGCCGCCGCTGAATTGGGAAAAATTACCGAATACTTTCAGTTAGGCTTGTATCAAAGATTGTTAAAAAGCCGAAATAAACCTCTCACCTTACTCCACATTGCCTCAACTCCTCCCTTGTCACATATTCAAGGAGATCCGATTTTGAATACCTGAAAAACTTGTGTGTTTGATTAAAATCATCTCCTATTTACCCCTCCCGTAAAACACATTGAATTGAGTGATCATCAACGTCGAGACTTCTCAACCAAGAGACTACTTCTTCGGTTGATCTAGAACGATTCACAGGATTAAAAAAGTATTCTTTTTATTATTGGCCCTTATTGGCAACTCTTTGTGAAGCTTTAAATTGACAAATGGCTGTCTTGTCTTGTCCGTTGTCCGTCCTTGTCGTGTCGGTTAAGAGTCTTGTCCGCTAACCGAAAGGTCGAGACTACTTCGATGGGGTTCGATTCCCGGTGGAAAGGAAATAACTTTTTTTCCTGTGTATGGGTTTTTTCTTACCAACATTTGGGTAATAGAGGTTGTGTGTTGAGTTGTGTCTATTCTATTGTGTCTTGTGTGTATTGTGTGTTGTGTCTTGTGTTGTCAATATTGTGGGAAAAAAAAAAAAAAAAAAAAAAAAAAAAAAAAAAAAAAAAAAAAAAAAAAAAAAAAAAAAAAAAAAAAAAAAAAAAAAAAAAAAAAAAAAAAAAAAAAAAAAAAAAAAAAAAAAAAAAAAAAAGGGGGGGGGGGGGGGGGGGGGGGGGAGATCGCAATTATTCGTGTTGAATAAATAGATTAAGTGGGCGGTGGGACAAATGCGATCTTTTTTCGCTGGAAAAAGGCCGTAGAGCTTAAAAAATGTTTCCATATTAGGGAATGGTATGCGTAAATTCCGAATTTCGACAAATCAGACCTCGCGGGCAAGTCAAATTTGGGTTAAAAGACAAAAACTACGCAAATTAGCGCTTTTTCGAAGTTTTTGCCTTTTAGCTCAAATTTGAATTAAGTTCCTGTAAAGTACGGTATGATTCGAGTATTAGTCTACAATCAGTGAAAGATTGTAGATTATAGTATGCCAGCTGGAGTCATCACTAAATATCTTGACGTTTCGTTTGGAACTTTGAAAGATGAAAGCCAAATTCTTGACTAACTGCGGTAACTACAAATGGCTAAGACGCAACAATATCTCTAAAACGATTGTAGAGCTCTAGCATTATGCCAGAATGAATATTATGCTCTAGTATTATGCCAGAATGCCAGAAGTCAGAAGAAAGCCCTCAGGAGTCAAGACTGAATGTCATATCTTTTGCAAACCGTGAACCAACCTTGGCACGGATGTTCTCGGCGATGATCCATTGCTGATTGGTTGAATTGATTGAGTCGATCCTCCATTTGTCAATCCATTCGGAAGAGTTGAAAGTGATGGCAATTGAGAGATCATCAATTCTGGAAAACAAATCCCTGATAATTAAATCTGATTTCCAAATTTCCAAACCCGGTCTCTCAGTGAATTCCTTCAAATTCGCAATTTTTCTTTTCTTATCAGTGATGATGATTTGGAGTAAAGTGTTCAATTCTTTCTCCACTTCGAGTAAGCTAAATTTTGATTTGATTTTGAGTGAAATTTTGAGGCTTTACTGATCAAATAGTTGTTTATTATCATCATGGACTCCTCGTATGTTTTCTCGTTTTTCTCGAACGACTGTTGACTCGAAAGCTGGTGGAGCTGATGGAGGGCGGCTGTCCGTTGCATCACCTAGAATTGTTGGCTTGGAAATTGATTGGTTAAAGATTTTTGCGATTTCAAAATCGATTTGCGATTTTAACTTTAAAGAAAATTTGATCCCGGGGGGGGACGTACCCTTTCATCGATGGGCGGACTAAGACTGAGGTGGTCAAAAAAAAAAAAAAAGAGTTTGTTTTAAAGTTGTCGAAGCTATACTTTTGTGGAAGATGTAATGCTAAATTATGTTTCATAGATTATAACATTGTGTTAATTCTTGTTATTTTGTTCGTGATCAATTCAAAGATGTCACTACTTATTGTAAAGTTAAAATAGAGCGAATTCGAGCGGTTAAACTTCAAAATAAGATGAAAACAAAAGGTGGGGATCGAACCTGACGACAAAGCCTTGAAGTCCAGCTTTGGAAATCCCGTGTCCTATCCACTATATGTTTAAATATGTGAATTCAATCTTACCTTCACTCACGGCACTGTCTCGGCTAACAGACGGCCGTTGACCGGTCGCCGTCGATGATGGGGTCGCGGCTACGTCGTGAACCTGAAATTCGAAACTATTTACCTTTCTTTTTTATTTTATTTACTTATTTCTTTACTATTTTTATCATCCATAATAGCACCACTCACCTGTAAGACAGCCGACAAATCAGGGCTCAAAATTTGCACGGCAGCCTGCACAGCTGATCGGATGAGATAATCCAGAGCGAACATCCTGAAGGAATGGATTTTGATTTGATTTTGGCTCTAATTAGATAATTATAACTAATTCTTATTATCTAATTATGATAATTTTTTAAAAAACCAATGGGGTTTGATGATTTGTTTCCGTAAGACCAGCCAAAAAAGAGGAGAAGGCGTACACAGAGCGAGATTGATCTAAAATGTTTAGGTTTTTGTTTAGGTTTTTGTTTAGGTTTCTCTGTAATGTTTGTATATGTCGTATCGATTCTGAATCAGTGAATCTAGGCGCGTCCAACCATCAAGTCTTTGGTATCATTCAACGCAGAATCATTGATAATTATGTTCAATTTTTTAAATTAGAAAGATTGGATAAAAAGAGAAAAAATTACGGGGTTTCAAAGTTTTCTCTCGAATAAACAGTTTTTTTGCTCTAATTTTTTTCTTTTCATTAAATATTACTAATTTAACATAATTATTTAAATTGTTGAATGATACCAAAAAAAAAAAAAAAATACAGGGGGAGACAACGTTTTGCTCCCCATCGGCGGGACCTCACGTAACCTCCCGTAACCGATTATGAATGAGTGGATCTCGAGGCGTTGGTTACCAAATACTTGATGGTTAGACGCCTCGAGATCGGCTCATCCCACTAATTCAAGAGGGCCAGGCGCTACAACGTTTTATTCAAAATCGGCGGGACCTCCGTAGCCGATTATGGATTTTAACTGATTATGGATTTTAGCTGATTATGGATTTCAGCTGATTATGAATGAGTGGATCTCGAGGCGTCCAACCATCAAGTATTTGGTAACCAACGCCTCGAGATCCACTCATTCATAATCGGCTGAAATTCATAATCAGAAGCGATTGCATAATCTGAAATTCATAATCCGCTGAAATCACATAATCCGGTCAAAATCATAATCAGTTAAAATCCATAATCGGCTACGGAGGTCCCGCCGATTTTGAATAAAACGTTGCAGCGCCCGCAATTTTTAAACTAAACTCACAAATTTGATATCAATCGACGCAGAATTGAATTCGCTACGAAATTTTATAAAATTGTCCTCATGCATTAAAGGCACTCGCTCTAGAAAGGTTTTCCAAAAAAAATTCATTCATAATCGGCTACGACCTTATACATAAAATTCCAGGAATGAGAAATTTTGGGGTATCTTTTTTTACCGCAAACCTGTGAAACGGATGTCGGCTCATAGTCGAGTTGATGACGAATCTCGTTCAGAGCGTCCTAAACGACAAATATTATTTGAAATTTCTGTAAACTAGTCAAAATTTCAAGAATTTTCAATAAAATACAGTTTATGGATTATTTATGGATTTATGAATTTATGGATGCCTCTTTTAAAGGGGAGGTAGTCAAATGAGCGCCAACAATTGGGCGCCAATCATTTCAGCGCCAACGATTTGGCTCACGCTTATTTCGGCGCCACTCATTTGAGCGCCGTGCCAAAAATGACTGGAAAACAATCATTTGAGCGCCCCTTTAAAAAGACCTAAAAACGTTCATTTTAAGCGCCGGGCCAAAAATGACTGGAAAACGTTCATTTCAGCGCGACTAAATTTTAATATTTTTGCTTTCTACGCTGCTTTTGCATGTTTTTTAGGGTTTTGCTTCTGTTTTTACACTTTTTTTCACTCATTTGACCTAGGGCACGGTAGTAGGCATCAATGCGCGGAAAAAAATTGTTAGATAAACTCGTATTTAAACTTTTTTGATGAAAATGTCCCCATGGTGCTGGTTCATTATATTTTCCCCCAATAGCATGCTTTTTCACCGTTTCTTGCCGTTTTCGTTTACAATTTGCTTACAGTTAACATAGTTCTTTGCTTAGGCTCGTGAACTGCGCAAGAAGTGGCGAGACAAAGGAACACTCTGAGTCAAAGTTTATTTGTTTGGTTTATTTTGCTGCCAAGAATTATTTTTATCTTTAGATGATTTAGATAAAAACATACAGTAAAAACTTTGAGATCATGCAGAAAATGCAAAAATAACATGCATATACAGAATGGGCTGATTCGGCGCTGAAATGAATGTTTTCCAGTCATTTTTGGCGCGGCGCTGAAATGAACGCGCGCTGAAATGAACGCGCGCTAAAATGATTGGCGCTGAAATGATTGGCGCTGAAATGATTGGCGCTGAAATGATTGGCGCTCAATTTTTGGCGCTCATTTGACTACCTCCCTTTTAAAGCCTTCAGCTTTTTTTTTCTTCCCGTCTTCTCCTTTTTAAATTTTTTATTTTAAAGTTTATTTATTTTAAAAACAATATTTACATACCGTAAATACAGTAATAGTACCCCACCGCCCTCGTACAGTCGCAAAAGTTTTTTAGTATTTCATTTTTTCAAAGCATTCGTGCTTTCAAAAAATGCCTCTTTCATATCAAAAAATTGCCCTGAATTTCAGCTATTTTTTGATACATAAACGCGCATTGTAGCATAAACCAGTGTCAATAAAATCGCGTTCAAAGCTAGACTACGCGACACTTCGGACCGTCATGATGGGGGTGGGGTACTATTACAGGAAAAAAAAAAAAAAAAAAAAAAAAAAAAAAAAAAAACTCACCTGAATCTTTTCGTTATTCTTGTAGACAAGATAATCTTTCATTCCCATTAAAAGTGTCATCAACATGTTTCTGAAAAGATTTTTATGATGAGGATTAAGTGATTGACGTATTGTAGTGACGTGTGAATTGGTTAACTGCTCCAGAACTTATGTTCTCTGTGCTGATTCAAGATTTTATCAAATGTCAAATGTTAAAAGAGTAACCCGAAATCTCTACTATTTCTTGATATTAAAGAATGAGATAAAATACGATCTAAGTCACGATCTAGCTCATCAAATGATGGTAAAGAAATGAATGGCAAAGAATTGAACCCTCGATCTTCTGCTTACCGGATAGCTCTACCACTGAGCTATCGATGCCTTCTTTCCTCAAGAAATAGAGAAGACAAGGAAGAGAAGACAAGGAAGAGAAAGAAAGAGAAAGAAAGATAAAGAAAGAAAGAGAAAGAAAGGAAGAGAAGACAAGTAAGAGAAAGAAAGGAAGAAAGAGAAGGTGATTTAAACTACGAGACGCTAATATAGGTAATAAGTTTTTCCTAAACTTATAGTTCAAGATTTACAGATGAAAGACCTTGTAACACATGGGCTCGATTTTGCCGTGTGCATCAGTTGAGTGAACCAAATGTTGACAATCTGAAAGTGTACAAGTTTCTGGAATGCTCTGGAATACTTTAAAACATTTAAACCCACCTCATCTTTCTCTTCATTCATGAAACGAGCCAAATAATGTCGTCTTTCCGAATCTTTCTTCAACATAAAAAAGCGTTGATGGCCTGTTTCATCGGAGATTGTGCTGGAAATATGTGAGATCATAAATGATAATCAAATATTTTGACAATGAATGCAGAAATTTTCGTTGAAAGCTATTAGAGAATATAGAAAAAAGTTTCTATACATTGATGCTGCTTAAGATGCTGCTTAAGATGCTGCTTAAGATGCTGCTTAAGATGATGCTTAAGATGATGCTTAAGATTTCGAAGATTGCTTTATTGACTTGTAACGGCTTATTTCTATTTGAGCTTTTGGTAAAAAAGTGAAATGTTTGACTGGGGTCGGATTCGAACCCTTGACGTCTCGATGCGAGCACGCTAACCATTTGATGCGATGCGAGCACGCTAACCATTTGACCACTGCACGCCGCGTGTGGCACAACAAATTTCTGTTGATATTTTTGCCTATGGGGAATTAGCAACGCTATAACTTGATCTAACTGAATAAGTTGTTGAACTTTTTAGCTTTTTACAAGTCAATTTGTTCTTTCACTACATTTTTATTTTACTTGACTCTTGAGCTTCTGATTTTTAAACTAAGCTTTTCCATTTGTTTCTTATAGTCAATTAATGGTACAATCTACCAATCTTTCCTTTTATCAACGAGTCTTTGAGTGCTCTCTCTTTGAGGAAACACAAAAAAAGATAAATAGCGCATTTCATTTGCGCTTGTGCAATCAAAAAATGGAATTTTTTCAAAAAAACACGAAAACAGCCAAAATGAAGATTTAATATAGGCAAAATCAGGGAAACATGCTTTGGTTAGCTGAAAATTTTGAGAGATTTTGGTTTCAGGAATTTGAGGAAAAAGAAAACGAAGTTTGGTTTACTTTAAATCTCATAACTTTTCTCGTCTTGAAGAATTTAATTTTTTAATAGAAAAGGGTTTGAATGTTTGTTCAAAATCCTAAAATTTCATCCGATAAATCTACAGTAATTTCTCTATATTAGAAAAGTTATAAGCTTTTACTCTCCTTTCTTTGTTGCCTGAAATTCCCTTAAACCTTTTTTCCTCTCATTTCCCTTCATTCCCTTTTTAGTGAAGCCAAGATCCTTTCATATTTTATATAAAGCAATCCGTAAAAATCACTACAAAAGGTTCACAACGGTTCTACGGAATTTTTTTCAGAAAGAAAAAAAAACGATTTTTCTTAAACACTAATGTGAAACTTGCTCTGTGTTATAGGTGAAAATGCGAGGGCCGCTAGTCCTGTAATCATTTTTTTTATAAGAAAATGAAATTATTTGTTATAGATTATCGGATCTAGTTGTTTGGATTACCGATTGAGCAATGGTCCGTGTCCGACACTCATTGGAGTCGAGAGAACCGAGCCGGGACTGGTCACCAATTGTGGCTGTTGAATGTCGTCGGAAATCGGGCTAAATGTTGGGAATGACTTCAATTTGTTTAGTGATTTGTAAACACTAGTAAAATCTAATCATCGGCTTTTTCCACTCAGTAAAAGAACCAAATTTCTAGGCCAAGCTAAGCCAAGCCAAGCCAAGCCAAGCCAAGCCAAAGTTAATCCATACTTTACTACTTTACCATTAGTTAGGAATTACTAATCACTCTAATCCTAATTACTAATTAGTTTAAAATCAGTTACCTATTTGGCTGGCTAAACGGCAAGAACATTGGATTTGGCGAAGAGCAGACTGATGGAGGATCGACTGGTGAAGCCGAATAGGTACGATTTCTGAAATCATTTGGAAAATCATTTGAAAAATCTTTAGAGAACTTCATCAGAATCACATCAAAACGTTGCAGTTACTTTTATAGACAAAAAAAACATTCAATGATTGTAGTAGATTTGACAAAAGGCTGTACTTGTGTAATAATCATCGCTAAGTTAACTCTAACATGCAAACCATGGGATTGAGGTTAAAACAAATCGAAATGGGCAAAGATCACACATACCCGCCATCCAACCTGGGATGTTCAATCTTCAGATGGAGTTTCTTCTCATCTTTCGTCGTCGTTGAAATCGTTCTCGTTTTTGGCTGTGTTTGTGTGGTGTATGTCTGTTGTATTCCATCTCCATTTCCTCCATCTTCTTCTGTTTTCTTTTCGATTCCCATTCCGCCAATGTGCGATGTGGAGCGCGCGAATTCTAAAATTCTCCCCATATTCAAGTAGATCTATCACTCTTTACCTGAAAGCTATAATAGAAAGGTATTTTTTTTTTAATTAAAGCGTTTTCTAAAAGAAAAAAAAGCTATCTATGATAGATTTTTTTGGCAAACAGAGTGCTCTAATGCTTTTCTCATCTTTTAGAAAACATTCCAAAAGGTTAACTTGAGATATTCAATCATTCAGGTAAAAAATGATAGATCTTATTGAATTTCTTTTCATAAGCAAAAGCATTTCAAACGACAAACTCTTCGACGATTTCGGTAGAGATACAAGACCCGAGAATTTTCTCATTCTCACTTTAAATGTAAATATAATTGTTGTCTATTCTCTAATGCTCCATTTTCTAGTGTCGTCTTTAATACTGTAAATATAATTGTTGTCTACTTCCTAGTGCTCCATTTTCTAGTGCTGTCTAACCTCCTTTATGTTTCGAGTCGGTCGGCGGCTTCTTGCTGATCGAGCCCGCTCGTTTTCTTGAACTGAATTATTGAGAATACGAAAAAGAACACAAAACGACAGTGAGATCAAAAGAAAAATGTTTTTTTTCTCTTGATTGAAACTCACAGAATGTCTCCAATCTCATCATAAAGTTTTGAAGCTGTTGGTCTCAACATGGCTTCGGGTTCGAAACAACTAAAAGTGAAGAAAGGTTTAAAATTATCATTTTAATCGTCACCTTTTTATAAATTGAACACATCTCTCAGAAAGTCTTTCCTCTGGAATTGGTGGATGACATTTAAACATTCCAACACGGAAAAGAGCAGCTTCAGGAGAAAGAAGCTGAAAAAACAAAGATGATGATTTTAAGAGGAAATTAAAATGAAAATTAAGGATTTTTTTCTAATTGTTAATCTTAAGAATGGTTTTAACTCTAGTTTTTATTGAGAATATATTTTGAAAGCATTTTAAGACTAGACCACGACTCTGGAACAGAAAGAAAGCTCAATTAGATAAAATGATTAGTCATTGTTGCTTTTACTAGCCATATTCCTAGTATTAAATTGATTACTGGAGTAAGAGCTTCTAGGCAAAGATTTAAAAACATTGATACCTCTAGAAATGGTGGTTTGCCGGTGACCATCTCGACACAAGTACATCCGAAACTCCAAATATCAGCCGGTGCTCCATATCCACGTTGACCATGATCGATTACCTCGGGAGCCATATAAACAAGAGTACCTAGAATTGCCATACTGCTAATGTTCTTTCTGTTCTAAAAAATATATTCTTAAACTTAAGCAAAGCAGAATGTTTGTAAAAGCTGTGTGAATCGAAAAACTACCTGGTTTATCTTTAACTTTGAAAAAACCCGTTTTTCCTATAACATTCCTATTTTATATTTATTATCTAGTCCATTTTATGTCTATCTCTATGTCTATCTAGTTCTTAATCTTAGCTTAATCTTAGCTTAGTCTTAGCTTAATCTTATCTTAATCTTAGCTCAATCTTAGCTTAATCTTATCTTAGTCTTAGCTTAATCTTAGCTTAATCTTAAAAACTTAAAAATCAAGTCCTAGACACACTAAAACTTTTCAATATTCAAATTACAAAGCACTAAAGTTACTAAAGCACTATAAAGTCCTAAGCCTACTAAAACTTTCTAATATTCAAATGACAAAACAAAAAGCAACAAACCAGTAAACGATGCTGTATTCGGATTAAGTCCAGCCAAACGTTTGCACGTTCCAAAGTCCGAAATCTTACAAATCCCACTATAGGTGTTGACCAAAACATTGTCGCCTTTGATATCACGATGCACAATCTTTTGCTCATGCAAATATCTAAAGAAAATAATCTTAAAAATGATCTTCAAACTTACTTTAATCCGGCAAGTATTTGTCTTCCATAGTTGACCATATTCTGCTCATTAAGGGCTCCCCATTTTTGACGCAAAAGATTCGACAAAGATCCACCGGGAACATGTTCCATGAAAATCAAAAACACATCATTTCCCGTGTCTCTAAAACATTTCAAATATTGTTTTACATTTAAAATAAACAAATTGAATAAAATTGAATCAAATTGAATCAAAAATTTTTAAAAATACTTAGCTTTAATAGAACTTAATAAAATAATAAGGTACTTTTCCAATATCGGGGGAGCGGAAAGATTATCGGGGGAGCGAAAGGAAGCGACGATGCGCTTCTCCGATATTTGTGCGTCAAGAAATCGACGGCAATCGTTTATTTCGTCACCAAAGGAGTCATCCAGTCGTGGATTTGCAAATGTGGCGAATCGATGAAAGTCCGCTCAAAGGGAAAAGATCTATTTCGCTGGGTATGTGACACTTGCGCACGGCGAAAGGTCCCCAAGCATTCAAGAGGAATTCGAGTCGATAACTTTTTGCAACCCGTTCGTCACAATTTTAAAGCTCCCGTTCGTCACAATTTTAAATAGGACATATGTAGCGCTGCCAAAATTTGCTCCCCCGATAATCGGACCGCTCCCCCGATATTGGAAAAGAACCAATAATAACATCAACTCACCTCTTTAACAAATCACAACCCAAATATTGAACAATATTTTGATGAAGAAGTGTAGAATGGAGTTGAATCTCTTCCATTAGAGGTTGAACCTAGAAATTGAGAGAATTTAGATGACTTTAATTACCTACTTAAATCTTAAGTTAAACTTAAGTTAAAATCTTAAGTTAAAATCTTAAATCTTTAAATCTTAAGTTAAAATCAAATAAAAAAACTGCACCTCTTCATCGAATTTCACTTCGATTTCCTTGACAACAATTTGGCGTTGAGTGGTGAGATCGCGAGCCGCGTAAACGGTACCTAAAATGAATAAAAGCTTTAGAACAAAAACATTTTATGCTTAAAAAGTTGGCATCCTACTAAGCTAACGATCATTTTCACAAAAAAATAAAAACAATCGGCTCATTGACTTTATTTCACAAAATTTGCAAAACCTCAAAAAATTTGACCCTTCTTCCTTTTCAAAGCAAAAAGTTCTCAGTTATTTGCACTATGAACATATTTGTGACAAATTTCGGCAAGGCCCCCAACGGGTCCCTTGGTGTATTGGTAAAGCATCACCCTTCCGGGTCTCATCGCACGGGTTCGACCCCAGCCCTATCCAAAATCCTTCCTTTATCTCTCAGAATTGAACCAAAAAACTACCTTTTAGTTTGAAAAACATTTTATTTATTCAAAACTTACATTTTCCTACCTTAAACAGTTGAAATTTTACAAAAAACGCGCGTTTCTCAACCTCTAACCACGGCCTTATAAACGTTAATTCGTCGGGGCTATTCGCGCACGTATGGGCTAGTGGTATAAGCTTCTTCACTCCCATGATCCCGGAGATATGGAGAGACCCGGGTTCGAATCCCGGTGCGTGCAAAAATTTTTTTTTTTTTTTTTCTAAATTTTTAAAAAAATATTCTTTTGGTTTATATAAGACAAGTCTGTCTTTCGATTTTTAACCTTTTTCGACTTATTTCAATGGGAAAAATAGATGGATTAGGTGTCGAGTTGAAAGGTCGACTTTAAACAACGATATCTTGGTTGATATGATCTTTAAACAACGATATCTTTGTTTGATTGGTGGCTAAAAGCTTAAAAACATCATTTTTATTAAGATATTAAGATATTAAGTCATAAAATATTAAGTTTACATAAAAATAGCTTTAATTTATCAAACTTTTTAGGTTTTTTAAAAAAGAAAACCTTTATTTTAACGTTTTTTCGTTTTGTGATGCTTGTAAATAGCCAAATTTTTGTTTTATTTTCAAAAAAACCATTTCAAATTTTGATTTTCTATCATTTTTTTAATAGCTTTTTCCAAAAAAAATAAAAGTTTGTTAAAAATTTTGTCTTTTTTTTAAATTCGAAAAGATTCGCCTTCAAATTCACAATTTCTTCACCAAATTTTCTCAAAAAACTTGTGAAAAATGAAAGGGTTTTTAAAGAAAACTATATAAATACCACTTTTACATTAATCGATTGAATATAATATTTTAAATTAGCTAAAATCGGCGCCATCACCGCCCCCATCACTGCCCCATCACTGCCCCCTCACTGCCCCCTCACTGCCCCATCACTGCCCCATCACTGCCCCCTCACTGCCCCATCAATGCCCCATCACTGCCCCATCACTGCCCCATCAATGCCCCATCACTGACCGTATGTTCCACTGCCGAGATTCACTCGATTTCCCTGTTTGTCCGTCTCGTATTCGAACTGAAATTTCTTTTTTTTTGTTCATTTCCCTCCCCTTCTCGCATTTTCAATCAAAATCTTGCTAATAGATTGCTAATAGAGTTGCTCATTTCAGAAACTTTCTCAGAGACTAAACAAAAACCATTGAAAGAGTCAAAATTTGCACAAAAATGGCAAATGACAAATGTCGTACACCGTACGAAGTGGAAATCAAATTGAAATCGATATCCACCAGATAAAAGTGACTTTTTGATTTCGCTAACATTTGAACCACTTTTCCCATAGAGAGAAAGCGGATGGAAATGCAGCCGCCGGGGTCGAACCCGGCTGGTCGAGACCGGGAGAAAAACTCGCTAACCATTCGGCCACAAAGGCATCGACCCCCGGGATCACAAGAGGGTCTATGAGGTCTCGGAAATCGCTTATAAACTGACAAATATCAGTAGCTGCAGTACTCTAAGATAAAAGCTACAGTACTCTGCCGTACTGTAACTTTTTGGCTTTCTAAAGCTTACCTGCATTTGTCCATAATCGATATCATTTAGTACTTTTCCACTGTTTCCCTCAGCTCCCTGAGTCATCTCCTCAAGAGCGCTGATTACTCTAAAAATCGATGATCACTAAAAAATGGATATTCAGTGAAACCCAGGCGACGGTAGAAGTCACAATATACGGTAACTAGTAATAGATACAATACTTTAGCTAGACTAGACCTAACTACAGGGCTGAGCAAAATTATTCGGACAACTTTTTGAAAAAGTTGTTGTGTGCTTAATTTATTTCAAAATGTCAAGTGTTATATAGAGAATTGTAGCCCTTAATCTTGGCTATATTTATCTACGAAAAACTTCGCGATCGGATGAATACAGCTCATTTAATCCTCAAAAATGGCAGCGCGGATACAGATCGACTAGTGCTCATTCAAGGACTTGTTAAATGAGCTGTATTCGTTCGATTGCAAAGTTTTTCGTGGATAAAAGTAGCCAAGATTAAGGGCTACAAATCTCTATATAACAATTGACACTTTGAAGATTAAGCGAAGAATCGATTAAGCGTACAACAACAACTTTTCCAAAAAGTTGTCGGGGTAATTTTGCCGAAGCCTGTAGTTCACAAAATACAGTACCACCGGTCCTGTGTCACCTATGCGAGCAGCCGCTTGAGGTTGATAGGGATTTTTTTGGCTAGATCACTTACTTATTACAGTGTGGTGCTGATGGGAAGACGAGATTGAAATCATCAGAATTCTCATGTACATAAAGAAAAAGACTTCGATCATCCCGTTTGCTTCTCGAAACAGCTTTGATATTACCCGAAGTAAAATGCCAACGATGGATGCCTGAAAAGTTGCATATAAGAAAATAAGGAATATGAGGAGTACGGTAGGGTTTACTGTAATGTTTTGAAGAGCTTTACACTAAAGTCCGGATCATCTTTATCACTATCACGGACTAGGCTGTAAGCTTTATCCATAAGCTTTATCCATAAGCTTTATCCCTAAGCTTTATCCGTAAGCTTTATTCGTAAGCTTTATCCGTAAGCTTTATTCGTAAGCTTTATCCCTAAGCTTTATTCGTAAGCTTTATCCGTAAGCTTTATCCCTAAGCTTTATCCCTAAGCTTTATCCGTAAGCTCTAAGCACTCTAATATTATCCAGAATAATTACTATTTACAGTACTCTATATACTAAAGACTCTAAATGAAGTACTGAAAAATTCTCGTATATTAAGCCAGTACCGTTGCCTTATTTTAATCCTACCGTACTCCCCGTTTTTTCAAATCATTGAAACAACTACAAAAACTCTTTCAAAAAAAATAAACCAATTCCTCATTTTTGATTTTCAAATAAACAGAGGGAATAAGAAATAAGAGAATAAATGTCAATTTTTTGGCAAAAATCTCATGCAAATTTTTGTTAGTTTTTCTCTTTTTGTTTTCTCTACCATCCAACGGTTTTCCAAAAGGGAAGTTGCGTAGAGAAATTTCTCCTAAATACTTTTCCTTAAGAGTTATTTTTTTTTATCTTTTAAATGCTTTAAATTTGGTGAGTGATCGACAATTATTTGTTAATTTCTTAAACGGAAATTGTTTTGCACTCTTTTTTCTCAAAATACCCGACACATCGTTGTGGATGTAAAATAGCGGCTCTATGAGTGAGGCGAGGAAATTCGTTTTTTGCTCTAAAATTTCCAAAAACATTTTCTCAAAAGATTTGGTTCTTTTCCTTTACAGATCTCTATGAGTTTTGCTCCTTATCTCTCTAAATTTGTTTCCTTTTCTCTCCACAAATTGGTTTCCTTTTCTCTTTCATTTGGTTCCTTATCTCCCTAAATTTGGTTCATTATTTCAACAAATTTGGCTCCTTATCTCTATAAGTTTGGCTCCTTATCTCTCTAAATTTGTTTCCTTGTCTCTCCACAAATTGGTTTCCTTTTCTCTTTCATTTTGTTCCTTATCTCTCTAGATTTAGTTCCTTATCCCTTTTCTCCAAAAATTTGGTTCCTTTTCTCTACAGATTTGCTTCCTTTTCTCTACAGATTTGCTTCCTTTTCTCTACAGATTTGCTTCCTTTTCTCTACAGATTTGGTTCTTTTCTTTTACAGATTTGATTCCTTTTCTCTATAACTACGGTTTTTGGGGATTTATTGAAACGCTAGGATACTGTAGGATGGGGTTTTGTAAGTTGAGCTGTTGTTGTTGAGCCTCTTTGTGTGAAACTTTAGTGAAGAAAGAAAAAAAAAGAATTAACACTTGAAACTTCTAGAGGATTTGATCAAAAAATCAAGTGCACAGAGAGGGTTTTTTTAAATTACACTTTTTAAGCATAAATTTTCACTCAATAACAAATTCAATGATTGTTATAGGTATAGCTGAAAATAATAATTTTAAAAAAAAAGTCCTTTTCTTTTTATTAATTACAATATATGCAAATTTTTAAATCCTTTACCTGGTGGCGGTTTTTTCTGTTGTGAATTCTCAAGTACATGACTCAAAATGATCGATCCTTCTTGCACATTCATCGTCAGAAATGATGGAGTGAATTGCTGAAAGATTTATGTTTTTTTATCCTCAAATCAACCCCATTTCACCGCCAAAAAAATTGGCTAAGCTGAAAAAAAAAATGAAAGAGAAAAAAGTGGAGGGGGAAAAAAGAAAAGAAAAGTGGAAATCGCTTCTTTGCTTGATTTTCTCTTTAAACTCCTTTCTATTGGACCTTTTGTACATTCTCGGCCACAGCAGATCCACAAGCAAAACAATGAATTGTCATTCCGGATTTCGATTTTATCTATTTTAAAAGAAACTTTACAAAAAAAAAACTCAAGTGACAATTTTATCTACACTAATCCAATCTGCCAGCTAGCTTACCCCAAAAAATTTAAGAGATTTTTTGTTTTCGATATCCGCCCTCATTTTGTAAATTTTATCTACCTTGAGCTCTTGAATGAGTACAGGAAACCGGGCACAGTGAATGGGAGCCGTTTCACTCTCGGTAGCCTCCATGAAGAATTCAGTCCAAAAGAGGAATTGTTGTTTGTCCTGCAAAGTTTCAAATCGCATCGTTTTCTCTCATTTCTAGTGCCACCAATTTCAGTTAACTTTTCAATAATTTCTAGAGTCCTTTTTTTGCTAAAGAAATAGTTTAAGATGTCATTTTCTTAAAGATCTTTTACCTTTTCAATTGGGCTCATTGTGGCCGCACATCTGTTGATTAATTTGATGTTCTCCATTGTTGATCGAAGATGCCAAACTGGGGGCTTTAATTGGGACATTCGCAACGCGGCTTGACAGGCTTTCGAGTAATCTTCGGCGAGAACGGAGACCTGTGAAATGAAATGAAATGAGCTTGGTGAAAAATGGCGAATTGAGTTCGCCAGAAAGGGTGCATTTGAGTGGCAGAACTTTTGAGCACAAAGAACACCTCAAAACAGTCAGCTTTCTGTTTTACTACAGGGTTCCGATCCAAAAGTTTTCGTAGAACTTTTTATTTTTCAACTGACCTCAAAGAAAGTGGCCACATCCCAGTAGTCTTGCAATGATTGAAGGGCTCCTTTCCGGCCGAGCAGCGAATTCAGGACAAGACCTAGAAATTTTGATTAGAATTTCAATAAATACCGTACGTAATATAAGGCCCATAATTACAATATTACGGCAATTCTTTTCCAATATCTCACCAATTCTCGACATTTCCGGGTTATTCTCGAACGTTTCGCCACTTGCGCGAAGCAGAGTCGCCAAATTGATTCCCGAGTACTCCAATGGGGATAATTCAAAAGCTTTTCGATACCTAGAAATTAATAATAGATAAAATATCATATGATATTCAATCATTTACCATTGAATCGCACTATCCAGACTCGATTTATCCTCATAACCACTCGCGCAGAATTTATCTTTATAAATTCTCCCAGCCAAACAAATCATATCCGGACTTAAAGCATCCTAAAAAAAATTAGCATTTAGATAATTAGCATATTTTGAAACCTTTGGATCTTTTCCATCTTTTACTTTCTCCGCATCGGTCATTATTTTCAAGACGGTCTCCAGCGAGCGATCGCGATCGTTTCCCTTGTTTCGTCTGGAAAACATAACTCTTGGATATTGAACTCAAAAAAACTACTATAGATTTCTATGTTAATCCTTAAAAACGAACCGATTTAACGCAAAGGCATAGAGAAAACGAATCGCTTGTGCCTGGAGGACGCCACAACCCGGGACTTTCTTCAGCTCATCGATCAACGAGATCATTCCCTCATAGTTCTGCTTGTCTCTAAAAATGATACTTGTTTAAAGATTTTGAGTTTCATGGAGAATATACTAAAGATTTTTTGAAGATATTTATCGTAAATACTGTAATAGTACCCCCCGCCCTCGTACAGTCGCGTAGTCACAAAAATTTTTTAGTATTTTATTTTTTTCAAAGCACTCGAGCTTTCAAAAAATGCGTCTTTGGTATCATAAAATAGCTGAAATTCAGGGCTATTTTTGATAACTAAGCGCGCATTGTAGCATAAAACAGTGTCGAAAAAAACTCGTTCAAAGCTAGTCTACGCGACACTCCGCACCGTCATTATGGGGGTGGGGTACTATTACAGTATTTACGGTAGGCAAATACCGCATCTATTCTAATTGGTGACCGTTTTACAGGTTCTGAGTTTTCATCGAAGCTAATACAAGATCTGAATCTGTTACATTTGTCCGACTCCACGTCGATAGGTTCTAATCAGCGATTTTCGTCATTTTGATTCAATTTAAGTAACCCTCCGGGTGCACTACTTTATAGAAAAATATACTGTATTCAGAGAATAAATAGCTTTTTTGAAAGAATTCCAGTCATTGCATATTTCTCTAAATTCTCCTCACCTGTATCCCAAGAGCAATTGATGCACCGTGTCCACACTCAACACATCCGGATTATCGAGTCGAATGCGCATTTTGTCAAGGAAAGCATTCGCCTCGCTCACATCGGTGATTTCGCGCACTTTTCGGATATCCGAGAGGAATTTCTCGCGAGAATGAGCACTGAAATCGATGGGATTTGATCGAAAGTTGTGGATTTGAATTGAAATTTGAACTAGGCTTAAGGTAAATATTGCAGCTTTTTGCAGCAACTTATCGACCTACTTTGCCTCGACTTGCACATTTTTGAGCGCCATCTTTAGACGATGCTTGAATTGGACAATTTTCCCGCGGATACAGTCAGATTTCGTGAGATTCGTCGATTCTCCGAAATCAACGCCTTCCTGAAATAATCATATTCAGCTAATGTAGATTTGTTTCTAACATTTACGACTATTTTTTAAAATTCAAACCTTTTTCTCGGTTGACATCAAATGCGCCGAGTCGGGCGTTGTGAAGTAGACGAGAATTTGATGGCGGAGGGTTTGCTAAAGAAAACTTTGTTTAGATTTTCAACTTTTGTAAAAAAATTATTGACTTATAGTAATCAATTTGTGGTTTTATTCAGCCACTTCTTTATATTTGTTTTATTTTTTCAAAGTCAAATAGTTGACTTTGCTGAAATTGCTATTAAAGCCTTGTTTTATGCTGAGCTTTATAAGTAATAGATTTCAATTTTTAAAAATACAAACCTTTAACGTCTCGAGCTTGTTATCGGTTTCGTCGAGAAGTGTGAGGATGAGATTGTAGTTTTGACCCATACTTTCCCGGACACCTAAATATTTTATCGAGTAAGCAAAGTGCTGTTTAAACTAAACAAAGGTAAGCAATTGTTTAAAAAAAAACAAACCAATATGATAACATAGTGATGCTTGTTGTTGCGGCACAGAAACATCAACAAGCGCCACATCAGCGCTGTAAAAAGTGTCCAGCGTGTTCGTCTCACCGAAATCCAAACGATCGAACTCGAGTTTCTAAAGGGGAAAAATGTTTGCTTAAGCTTAAAGAATAAATGTAATAATTGTCTAGAATCTAATAACTGTCTAGAATCTAACAACTGTCTAGAATCTAATAGCTGTCTAGAATCTAATAACTGTCTAGAATCTAATAACTGTCTAGAATCTAATAACTGTCTAGAATCTAGTAACTATCTAGAATCTAATAACTGTCTAGAATCTAATAATTGTCTAGAATCTAATAACTCTTTAGAATCTAATAACTGTCTAATAAGTCTAAAAAACTTAAAAATTTAAGTACTTTAGACTTTAAAACTTTTACTTGTACTTTAAAAAGAAAAACCCAAACCGTCAATTGAACATTCAGCTGATCAGTCACTTTCTGCACATCATTTGCCGCCAATTCTCGAGAACGCAAATTTTTCTGAACCTAGAAAAGGATAATATTGTAAAATTTAAATATAAATCCAAATTCAAACCTTTAAATCCATAACAAGAACGACTTGAAGGCGGCGACTCGCTGGACTGCCTGTTTTATCGGGAGCCGGCGAAACAACCTGGAAATAAAAGCTAATAAAAAATAAAAAAGCTTAGATTTCAATCAAAGTTTAAGCTTTTTAAGTTCAAGCTTTTTAAATGTAATATCTAAATTTATTTAAAAGGAAGATATACAATAAATAGATCATTATAAGCAAGCAAACTGCTGCTTCGATTCCAATCAAAGTTCAAGCTTTTAAAATCCAATATCTAAATCTATTTAAAAGGAAGATATACAATAAACAGATCATTATAAGCAAGCAAAACAAAAAGTTCTTCTTACCTGACGAGCTCGTGCCTGTGATTGGCCAAAGTTTCCCGTTGAAAGGGTCAACGGAATCTAGAAAATTGGGTATAAAAGAACAAATTTTCTTTTGAAAAGCTTAAAATATCTAAAAAAATGTCGGGAAAATCACTGTAAAAGCTTATTCTAAAAGAAATTCACTTAAATTAATAGAATTTTTCTCAAAACTAGTTGACCTCTCGATCCTCGTCAGACATGATTTCACTCGCTTCTCTTCCTTTTCTCAAAGAGGCATTGCCTAAACAGAAATTGAAATTGAAAAAGATAAAAGATAAAATATTAGGGAGTAGGTTAATTTCCGCCATTTTATTTGCGCAACAGGGTCATTTGCGCAACTGGGTCGTTTGCGCAACTCGCCATAACTTCCTGTTAAGTAGACCAATCTTTATGATTTTGGTTTCATTTTGTTGCACTTATTGAGATCTACAAAATGAAACCAAAATCATAAAGATTGGTCCACTTAACAGGAAGTTATGGCGAATTGTGCAAGAGACCTAGTTGTGCAAATGACCCTGTTGCGCAAATAAAATGGCGGAAATTAGCCTATCCCAATATTAGAAAAGTAAAAAAGTAAAAAATTTCAATAGTAATAAATCTCTTTTTCCTTTTTTGGAATGTGTTTGTTTTTTGGCATTGAACCGAGATCATATGAGGGAGCGCCGAATCTAAATGTAAACAGGAAAGAAGCGTTCTTTTTGTCGGCGAAATTAAAGTCCAATTACTGTAAAAAGTATTCAATTATACAATAACAAAGATTTTGAAATGCTTTTTTCTTAATGAATTTTCTTTTTTTTCTTAATGAATTTTCGAGTGATGATTCAACAAATGAATGATTAGATAGAGGGGAAAACAAGGTGCAAAAGCTGCTCTATGACTCACAAGCCGACACTTTATATAGAAAAAAAATGGAAGAGGAAAACGTTTCCGTTCAAAAAAAAAAACCATGACTTTTCGTGAAAAACAAAAATTTCTTTCGAAAATCATATGGAAACGGAATTCTTGAACCAAATCGAATCAAGATTCTTTTAAAAGTGATTGACTGACCAAGCAAGCAAACAAGCAAGCAAAGCAAGACCAAAGACAAATATCTGGGAGTTAATTCATATGAAAATTTAAATTTAAAGCTTCAACCCATTTTCGAGGATGAGGTGCTAGCAAAAGCGCGGCGTTTTTTCCCGAAAACTCAGGTTGCATTTTGCGAAAAAGTACGCAAGTTGGACCGCCAACGATTGGGCAAATGTTTTTTCACTGATGAGTCAAAAGTCAATCTTTTTTCAACCGGATGGGAACCATTTGGTTCGGAGAACTGTGGGATAAACGATTCAGCTCTAAATACTTGCGTCCGACGGTGAAATTTGGTAGTGAAGCGGTCATGGTATGGGGTAAGAGACTCTCTCTTGTTATGTATATTAATCGAGCTATGGCAAGAAGTTCACCGGGTCCATTGGTCCTTCTCAGCTCGACTCTTGATGCCCAGCGCTACAAGACGATCCTGGAGAACAATCTTCTTCCTTTTGCGACCGCTGACTATCATTTGTGCCAAATTTGCGCTTATGAAAAATCACTTTTCCCCAACTTCTAACCAACTTTTTTCTGTTTTCTGCTTCACAATTTTAGTTCTCACTGTTTTCAATTAGAAAACACGTTTAAATGCATATACAACCCCCAAAACACAGTCAATTTATGTGTCACCGATTGGACCTTTCTGCTCTTTATATCGATTTTTTTTCAGATTCGACGAAGGCGTCAAAGTAGCGAGCATCGTCGACAAGGAAAAACTGAAAAAAAAATATAAACGATCAGTCAGAGTTGGTAGGAAAGTTTGTTGAAAAGGACAAATTTGGCGTAAATAATTTGGCCAATTATTTGGGCCAAATTATTTGGCGTAAATAATTCGGCGCAAATAATTTGGCGTAAATAATTTGGCGCTTAGCACCTCGAGGATACCGTAGTGTGAAATAAACAAAAAAGTTTTGCTGAATAACTTTTAAAGATTGGGGGATGATATTTTGAACGTCATTATTCTGGTACGGTCATTATCTACTCGACCTTGGTCGATACTCGTATCATAAGATGATATTTGGCATTCTTGACTGTGTCCTGACTCTGTTTTGTCTTAAAATTGCAATGAAATTATCTAAATCCTTTTCAAGATTATTGTTCGCTTCGAATTTGTCTATTTTTGGGAAAACTTTTAAAAAAGCATGGACCAATCGAATTCCGATGGAGGCTCCCACAGAGTTGAGCTGAGGAAATAGAAGCAGATCTGCAAATAATACGATACTACATATTTCTGTATTCCTCCTTCTCCTTTTGTATTACAGATACAACCTGGATACAAATCTCTTTATTGATCCATTGCACTCCAGCAAGATATTGGAAATAGAAGCAAATCTGCAAATATTACGATACTACAGATTTCTGTATTATTTGATAACTGCGATATCACTCACAATTAACTTTAAATTACTCTTTTACTTATATATTTATATTTATATATATACTTAAATCTAGCGCATTTTATCTTAAAACTTTATCTTAAATCTAGCACAGATCCTGAATAAAGTATCTACACTACTGGACAATGAAATATGATATTTGAAAAACGATCGTCACTTTCGCGCGTCTGTAACTCCCTTGTCTTTGAGTTTAAACTATTAGTGCTATACATTTTCTGAAAGCTCTTTTCAAGGGCTTCACAATGGTAATATTAATATTTAGAAATACGGTAAAGACAAGGAATTACAAACGCGCGAAAGTGACGATCTTTCGTCACGGAAAATCCACATATCGATCGACAATTATTGAACATGCAGCCGGTCGTGAAGCTTTGGCACAAGAAAGCCCGATTGGAGTTCGCCAAGGCTCATATGAATCAGGATTGATCTATGGTTAGAAAGCCGCTTATGTTTTATTATTTTTTTAGCGTTTAGGTGATCTTTTCCGATGAGAAGAAATGAAATTGGGATGGTCCCAATGGCGTCGACTACGATTGGAAGGATCTTCGACGTGATCCGATAGTGTTTGGAACTCAAAACTTTGACGGTGGTTTTGTGATGGTTTGGGCCGCCTTTTGTGCTGATGGAACGGTCGCTCTGAAGATGGTTTCGAATCGGATGACTAGATAGATATCTTGAACAATTGCTTGTTGCCGTTTTTGCTCCTAAATCCAACCGTTCCGGACTTGTTTCAATACGACAACGCATCAATTCATCGAGCCGGAGACACCCGAGACTGGCTGAACAGCAACAACATTGCAACTTTGGACTGGCCCGCTCAGTCTCCTGACCTCAATCCGATAGAAAATTTATGGGAAATACTTGTCCAAGCTGTCTACAAGAATCATCGTCAGTTTCAAGACGTTTCTACACTTAAAGCAGCACTTTTTTCGGCCTGGAGCGATCTCGACGTCTCTGCTCTTCAAAACCTCATCAATTCAATGCCAGACCGCATTTTTCAAGTAATTAATCGTTCTGGTGCGCGTACAGATTATTAGTTTTGATTTTTAACCTTTGATTTTTAATTTGTGTCGATAAATAAAAATATTTTCATAGTGCGTTTAAGAATTTGAAACGGTCGATTTAGCAAAAAGTTTCTATTTTGAAAATTTTTACTTTTTACAGTATGCTTCTTTTTCGTGTTATTTAGGTTTTAAGACATGCTCTTTCTAATAGAAAAAGACTAATAGTTGTAGCGGTGGTCAAAATGCAAAATCCGCTATTTTAGAGGGTGCGTTTAAGAATTTGAAACGCACTGTACGACATATATTTAAAAACTAGCCAAAGTCACACTCGACTTGTCCTTTACAGCCACGAACATCTTTTGTATAGTCCACGATTTTCGAGCGTTCGCCCGGACCATGTACCTTTAAATACACTATTCGAGTCAAAAATCGATATTTCTCGTACCAAAAACCCGAAATTCTTCACTCCATTGAACTCTCCCATCAAAAAAAATACACTGTTTTCATTTTTTTTTTGCCTTTTCTGTAATTTCTGCAGCCGCAAGTAATTGAGGTGTGAAAAAGAGTAATTCAGAAAAAAAAGAAACCTAATCCATCCCAAAAAACCAAAGAATCATCTCGTCAATCCTCTCCAGTATTTTGTGATTCTTTGTAAATCATAAAATCTATATTTTCTTTAAATCTTTATCATTAAAGAGCTAAAATTCTTTAAAGATCTTTGATTTCTCAATTTCTCATCTCAAAGCTTCAAAAATTATCTGAATGGGGGGAATAATTCCAGGCTAATGAACTGCCACGGGAAATAAATGGTTTTTTTCTTTCTTTTAAAATGGGAAATTCAAAAAACAGCTACCCGAGCTTATTTATTGGGTTGGCGCAGATGAAATGTCGGCTTTTTTATGTCCTATTTTTTTTCTTCAACCATAAATCTTTATGATTCTTTTCACAATTAAATAGCTAAGAAATCAATCTTTTTTAGTGGAGAATGAAAAAAATCTATAGTAAAACAATTAAAAAAAGATTGTTTGAAAATTAGCGCTCTCTCTGAGTGTTCTCTGCCTACCCTCTGGCACACAACCGGTTCAATTACCCAATTTTGTGGTTATAGGGCTTTTATAACCTATTGCCGGCCTTTGCTCGAGTATGCCACCATCATAGGAAACACAGGTACAAAAAAGATTAAATATAGGGCAGATTTGACATGACAATAAGTCTAGGCAATTAGACATAGCAATGCTATGTCTAATTCGTTTGACATAGCAATAAGATCTAATTTCGGTGACCTTCCATTAAGAAACTTATCACCCTGGATGAAAATGTTTAACGGCTTTTCACTAAAAAAAAAAAAGCATACACTCATTGTTTCCCTTCTTCTCTTATTCCAAATTATGAGACTAGACTTACCGTATTTTCTGTAATAGTAGTGCAGACTGAAGGGGGTTGAAAAAATAGTAGTGCGCACTACTATCTTTCTGTAATAGTAGTGCGCACTATTATTACAGAAAATACGGTATAGTTTTTGATTGAAAACCCCTTTTATATCGCCGTATTTACTTTGATTTTTTTTGCTATAAAATTCTTTTCCACCCTAAATCGCATCCAGAATTTCAAAGCCTCTTGAAAATTGTGGAAAGTCCTAGAAAGTACATGTAGTCATCCTTATCAAATTTCATGCGGTAGTTCGATGCGCTAAGTATGAATATGGAGGAAAAGAGAAGCGTCGTCAAACTCCGACTCTCTACCCCCCCCCCCCTAGACAAATCTCTAGGGAAGGGTAGACACTTATCTCGACTTTGATCCTAATTTTCTTTATGTTTTTATCAGTAAGTTTACAAAACAGATTCTATATTTCTAAATTTCATGATTCTAAATTTTATGTAGATTCTAATATTTTGACATCCAAGATCGATATTAAAAGTTCCGGACAACTTATCGAGATTCATGTACGATAATCTCGATAGCTTGGCTTGAAAGCGGGGAAAAAAGCGGAAGATTGAATATCTTTTAATTTTCAAAGGAAAACTCAACAAATGGGGCAGCTACGCACTGCGACGGAAAAAGCGGAAAAAATTGCGGAAAAGCGTAGCTGCCCGATTTGTTGACTTTTTCTTTGAACATCAAAGATATTCAATTTTTGCTTTAAAGCCTGGTCTCGATAGTCAAGTCTAATGCGAACTCTTACCTTTTCTCTCGAGTAATCCGTTTTCTAAAAGGCAATGCTTAGAATTGATTTAACAGTACCACTTACAAGAGAATGGATCCAACTCAAGTTCGAGATCGATTCAAGATAGATTCAAGATCGATTCGAGATAGATTCAAGATCGATTCGAGATCGATTCAAGATTGATTCAAGATCGATTCAAGATCGATTCAAGATCGATTTCTTGTTAGAGCGTTTTCCTGTCAACTGCTGCGTTTTCTAAAAGACAAGACACCTGTATTCGAAACTACCAAACAGCCATTTAATCATTTAATTAAATTCAATCAGCCGAATTTTGATATTATTCGATGAGGAATCACAAAGCTCTGTCAATGCTCCAAAATTAGGGGGGTAGTCAAAACAGCGCCATAATAGAAAACGTTCAAAACAGCGCCGTCAAATTTCTCAAAATCCAAAAAACCAAGCCGGTTCAAGTTTTATATCAAAAAATTCCTTGCGTTCTTGGCTACATGATGGGTGAAACAGTTTTTTAAAAAAGTTAATATTTCATAGATAAAAAGAGTACTTAAAAAGATATTCAGTTAACCAACTGAGTATCACTCGACACACATTTTGAGTGCTCTTTTTATCTATGAAATATTAACGTTTTTTAAAAAACTGTTTCACCCATCATGTAGCCGAGAACGCAAGGAATTTTTTGATATAAAACTTGAGCCGGCTTGGTTTTTTGGATTTTGAGAAATTTGACGGCGCTGTTTTGAACGTTTTCTATTATGGCGCTGTTTTGACTACCCCCTCCTGTTTTGACTACCCCCCTGTTTTGACTACCCCCCTGTTTTGACTACCCCCCTTCTTCTAGAACCATTTGTTTTCTATTTTCAATAAAGGTTAAGATAAATTGTATTCTTTTGTACAATGTATTCTGTTTGCCCACTTCTAGAAAATTATACCCCTGCAAAATGAAGAGAGAAATGGGGGATAATTAAGAAAAGGGAGAAGATTTTCTTAAATGTTTGATCAATCGTAAAAAAAAAAGGCGGAATTCAAGCGGAAAAATCTAGTAAATCACTTTCCAAATTCATTTTTTTTCGTAAACATAAAGCATTTTTTTCTCAGCATTTTTGTTCTCTAAAAATTTCTCAACTTTTTTCAGAGAATGGCCAGAAATGACATTGAAGTGTGGCCCTATTATCGACCGGATCTCGTTTTTATCTATCGAGTATTGAAATTGAATTTGACCATTAGAAAATCCAATTTCAGATTATCGAATCTTCAACATTTTCCCTCGTATTTCTCGTAGTGATTTTCTATATTCGATTATTGTTAAAAAAAGAGGTAAATGAAAAAGATGCTTAACATTCTTAACATTCTAACATTCTTTTCATTCCTAACCCCATTCTTAACATTCTAACATTCTAAAATTCTTTTCATTCCTAACCCGATTCCTAACTTCAGTTTTGTCATCCGAATCTCCGTTTCCTCCTCATCACACAACCGATTTGTCATATTTGCGGTGAGAAGAAAAATTTCTGATACTTGTTGGGGATTTTTTCTTTTTAAAAGGTTTTTAAATGTAAAGTTTAACGACAAAAAAAGTAAAATGACCTCCAAGAGAAAAGTATCAGAGTTTTTAACTAAACTTAACCAGTATCAAAACGTTTAAAGTTTCATTTCAGCGCTAGCACTCCGACCAATCCGACACACAATCGACTATTTCGGATTGATGAACCCAATCCTTTTGAAAACGATCAACTATTTCTCGGACTCTTGTGAGCTTTTCTGAAAATTGTTCAACTAAATTTAATCGAGTTCTGAGGTTTAGATGTAAACATTCCAATAGAAGCATACTCTTCAATAAAGGGTACTGTAGCTAATGCAGGGATACGGTACGACTTTTACGGTAGTAACTGTAGTTTGACATTAGAGTGGGCTGTCATCGGAAAGCTGAATGAGTATAAGTCTCAACTGAAAGCATCGATTTCCAGTGCTCACCATCTGCTTTCAAATCGTTCTCGCCTATTCGGTGGAGCGAATCATTGCCATAAAATACGTAGAAAATTACGAGAATCGATGGACAAAAAGGCCAACATTGGGCATTTTGCTGTTGATAGGATCAGTGAGTGCAGAAAAGCAGAAAAGAAAGCTCTTTAAGAACTGTTATAGATATCAAGTGAACAGGGATTGATAATGCTTTGGTATTTTGGATTGAACAATACATTGGCGTATTCTCTGCAATATCTCTTCTTCATCACAGCGGCTATTGTAAGTATCTTCGACTTTGATTAGAGCTGTTCTCAAAAGGTTTTCTAAAAGGTGACAATTTGCGAAAACTACAGTAATCCTACCCTAGCTTTTTTTCAAGTTCCCTACGTTTGCTGGATCCTGTCTTAATATGTAGTAGTGCGAAGTCTTTAGCAGTCTTTAGCTTCATCAAATCTAAACGTTCTGGCTAAAAGTGTTTTAAAATCCATATTCTGATCCAGATTCAAATCCAGATCCAATCCAGCTTCAAATCCAGATCCAATCCAGCTTCAAATCCAGATCCAATCCAATCCAATTCATAAAGATTTACAAAAAATGGGTAAAACTTTGTAGGATTACGGTAGCTTTCAAAAGTCGGTACGTTTTAGGAAACACAATCTTATCTTATTTAGTTTTTCATTGTTCTCAACATTATCTGCAAACGAGCCTACGCAACAGTGGCCAATCGTAAAGAATCCACCATCAATGAGAGGTTTTACAGGGAAATTTTCATCAAATTTCACTCATCAATTCATCATAGATTTCAAACAGCTCGGAATCTTAAAGCAGCACATTTATTGCTTCATCTGGCACCATTTAAATGTGCAGCCAACTTTGTTTCACTTTACGTTTATCATTGGATTTTTGAAGAGCAATCACCCACATACTTCCCACTTTATTCCACATATTATTTTTGGCTAAATCAGTTACAGGTTTGGGAAAATTTAAAAAAAGAGAGGACTCTGAAATTTCAGTTGATGATCCAAATGGTACTAACAGTTGTCGGACAAGACTGTCTCAAAGAAGAGTTATATCTGATGATTGGTCGACGACATCGCGTTGATGCACAGGGGATCACAACAATTCTTGGGAAACCCATGGTGTTCACCGCCGAACAAACAAATCAAGTACAGCGAGCAACCGGTCTCTCCATTCAGTCAAATTACAGGTCTATTTCGAGCAGATTCAACAAAGCTGGGATATCGTCCTGAACAATAATCAAACGACCGGAAAAGCCAAGTATAAGGAGCCAACATAGTTTATTGCTTTAAAATTAACACGCGATAAAAAAGAGATCAATAATATGCCCCTATCCATTATGAAGTCGAACAGTCGAAAATTTGCATGCAATAGCTCAAACCCTTTTCTTCTTGGCAGCACTCCTGAAGGTCAGTTTTGCTGGGAAAAAGTAAAAACCCTACCTTGCTTTCTTTTTCGGTTTAACATCTTTGTGATTTTCCGAAGTGCTGGTCGGTGAATCTCCGTCAGCTTCCTCTTCTTTTTCAACAACTTCCTAGGACCCTATAAAATGAAAAAGATTTCAAACCACAACCTCAGCAGATTTAATCTTGTTCGAAGCCTTCAAAACTTTAGCTGGCTTCTTGGTTTTAACTTTGTCTTCGGAAGTGGAGGATTTGACCGTCTGAAAACATACAGTAATTTAATGCAACTGTGTTAAACTACGTCTTCCAATCCATGAAGTAGAATCATCTCCTTTGGATAGTTGTCTCCAATTTCTGGGGTTTCAAGAATAAGTGGAATATTGTTCAAACGATCATCATTCATCATACGTCTAAAATTTAAATAATAAGTCAATCATTGATGATGCAGGCAGCTCACCGAAATCCATCTACACCAATGTGTCCTTTTCCGATCAGTTCATGTCGATCCTTGCAACATCCTTTAACATCTAGAAAGCCTTCACTTTAGTTTTTACCACCATAAAATTACCTTTAGAGTCGTTAATGTGAAAGCCTTTCAGATATTTGAAACCAATCTTTTCCTCGAATTCGTCCATCATTTTGTCGTAACCAGTGGATGTATTAAATTCGTATCCTAAATAGTTAACGTTTTTGTCAAAGTGTTCACTACTATACCAGCAGCAAAAACGTGGCAAGTGTCAATGCAAACTCCCACACGATCCTTGTCATCCACATCTTTGATCATGTCCGCGATCTCGGCAAAGGATCTGCCAATTGTATCTCCCTGTCCGGCCATTGTTTCAATGACTAAACACCAAAAATCAAGCTATGCTATATTGAACCTCACCAAGGCAGATTTGTGATGTATTAGAGTGAATATAGTTAATAGTTTCGGCAACCACTTTACAGCTTTCTTCTGGCGTTCCAAGGCCCGTTGTTGATCCTGAAAAAGTAGTGCCAAATACAAAAGTATGCAAAAGTTCTACCTGGATGAAAATTATATAGACCAATTCCTAATGTTTCAGCTCGTTTGCATTCTTCAAGCATTGCTGCACGTGATTTTTCCAGGGTCTGGAATAAAATTCTAACCTATAAGCGTCAAAAAATTTACCTCATCCTTCAATGAACCGGGATTAATTAGGTACGAGCCGTGAGGAAGAATCTTCGTTAGATCGAATCCAGTTTCCTAGTAAAATGTATTTACCAGAACCAAAAATTTCCCTACATTGATTGTATCGTGCCAGCGGGTGATAACTTCCTTTTCCAATGGATTGATATTCCATGTTCGACCGTTACGAACAAAAAATGCAAAAGCGCGACAACCGATAGCACGCGCGTTGTAAATAGCTTGTTCAAGGCTGCCTATATACAAACTATTGTAATCTACCAAAAATGTAACAACCTACCAGCTCCACTCACATGTACTCCCAAATATTTTTGACTTCCTTCAGCCGCAGCAAGGACCTGAGAAGTTTAGGTCCGCAAATATCAGTGACATAAAACCTCTTCACCGACGGTTGTCCTAGACGCTTCTTGTTGTTTACTCTCACCAGCATATACGCGCTCTACATTAAGAAATAAATTTTTGAAAGAGAAACACCCAGGGTTTTTTTGAAACCTTCTCACTTTTTGTTTTTGGCTTCACTTCTCCGTCTTCCGAATTCTTTCTTTTTCCCGATTTGGCCTCCTGTTTTGCATTTTTCAGTATTTTTGACGTCATAGTCTAAATCTTCGACTAAGCTCCCCATTTTTTTTTCTTAAGCCATACGATAATGTGTACGTGTTTTACATTCCGAAAATAAAATCGTTAAGTTAAAATATTTTATCACCAGTTTCTCAACAAACAAATCATAGAAGTCGGAAATAAACAATTGATCAATAGTTAAACCATAAAATAGGAGTAAACAATTGACAGGTAAAACAGTGTGCCACTTTTCAGTTTTCAGAGTTAGTCGCGTTCGTCCTCTTCAGATAGCACAGCCAACGTCTTTTGAGTAGAGAGTGCCACAGTAATTGTCTCTTCAACAAGGTCTTCATTTTGTAGATCAGCTTCCGTATCAACACCATCTGAACCATCAGTAAAAATTGCTCAAATGGTTAAAGCAACTCACTTCTAAGCCGCTTCCTTTCATCTTTTTGTTTTTCGATCAAAGCATGGTTTTTCTTTCTGATGATATCGAATGCAAGCCTGAAATTTATTTACTGTTGTGCATAGACACTGTGCGAACTGATATAAAAAGAACCAACATAATCTTTCGGCGTTTGTCGATAACTTCTTGGCTGGCCTTCACCTTCTCCTCATTATCTTCCCGATCGAATTTGGCCGAAGTTGTTTTCAAGTTCTTTCTAAAAGAATAATTCATGAGTGAAGCGTGAAACAGTAAAAACCTGATCTCCTTGACCTTCTGTTCTGAAAGTTTCACGGGTGGTCGTGGTCTCCACTTGAACTGCATCATGCGCTCAAGGTTTTTCCTAAGCAATTCTCGGCCCTGAAAATTTAAATTAGTTATATAAAAACTTATACTATTTCCTTACTTGGAAAGTATAGAGCCGGTAGCCAAGGTCCGCTCCGACTCTGCATCCAACCGTACAACAAGATACAAAGTATCGACCAGTTGGATCCCAATAGCCCTTGTTGAAGCCAGGATGCTCCGTGATGGAAGTACGTTTGGCCTCTTGTCCGTTGGTATCGATGAACAAAATGTTGCCTCCGGTTGACATGCAGGCCATGACGACAAGCCTGAACGTTATACATCTAAGAAAGTCAAATAGATCTTACCATCCTCCTTGTGGAGCAAAAGACACTGTGTTCAGTTGTACTCCAGCATCCAACTTTCCGAGGCAAACAGGTGTATGTTTCATGGCATCAATACGATAAACAAATGGAGTTGCTTTAGCTTGATTTCCGATCAATACGCAAAATTTATCGCCTAAACAGTTCAAACTTTCCAAGTTATTTGAACAATTATACCATTAGGTTCCCATCCAAAATTGATAAAAGCTTCGGAGAGAGGCAAGTTCATGAGTGCAACATCTTTCTTGCCAGTCAACTCGAAGATTTCAATGTGTGAAGTCATTGCACCAACAAATTTCACTTCACCATTTTCTTTGAATGTTCGCTTGTTATACCTAAGAGACACGAGTTAAATACGTTTTGCTAGGAGATCACTAACCTCAAATTATGCACCGCCAGCCGCATTCCACTTTCTTGCCAGAACATTTGAGCTTCAGCGACATTGTAGATGCGAGCAGATCGAAGCTTTTCTCCCGTCGGCATGCTTATTAGACCGAATTCAGCAGGTAATTGTTCTGTTGACTAAATTGATTTTAGTCAGAGTAAGATACCTAGATATTACCTCCGAGTAGTAAGCAATAATATTTTTGCCGCCAGGCGCCCAGCTGAAAGTGCGAATGTTCTCGATGACAATGTATCGGTTGCTAACAAGTTGCAACGTCTCGGCATCATAAACGGCAATTCCATTGACTTTCTTTTGCTTCTCGAGTTTATCTTTTTCCGGAACTTTCAAGCAGGCGAAGAATTTGTCGTCATGAGACCACCTCAAACGCTTTACATAGAGATGTCCTAGATAAGGGCAAACTCACTGGAAAAACGGCCAACCCTCCAATTCGTTCCGCAGGGTGAGTGCATACAATGAGAAACCCTTTCGCATCTCTCCCGTGCGTACATCCCAAAGTTGCAAACAGTTTTCATCTTCGTCCCATTTGGCATTGGAAGGAGCATAGGTGACCATGTACCTAAATTTTTTTAATTATTGCAGAAATACACAAGGATTCTCACGTTTCGCAAGGAGAGAAATCGAAGTATTGCACATTGAGATGTTCAAATCGCATATATCGCTGAAACTTTGGACCACCCCACAATGCAATTCCTCGATTGTGAATAGTAGCTAAATAACTTCCATGGGGAGTCCATTTGAATACGGATTCGGTCCAGTTCTGAATTAGTAAATTCATACTTGTCAAAATTTAACAAAAATAAATTTGATTTTGAACGTACTGGTTTAGATCCATCTTCTGCTACTTCAGGTTCATGTCCCTTCACGTGCCAAAAGATCGAAACGGTTGGGCCGGCGGAATTTTCATATTGAACCGAGAATTGATCACGACATCGAGGATTTTGCATCCACGACCACAAATCTCCCTAAATGCAGAGCATTTTCAACAACAATTATCAAAACAACGTACCACGTTAGCATACTCGTTAGGTTTTGGTGGTTCCCAGTTCTCGTCGGGTTGAGGCATGTTTTTCATGTCAGCTATCTTAAAAAACGAAAATAAAAGTACAATTCAAAGAAAGGCTTACAGTGATAGCAGAAAATGTATGGACTTTGTCTAGCTTGTATCCATTCAACACCGTCAATGCATACTGGGCCGTTTCTTTGTTCTCCCATTCCACAAAAAGACACCCCTAAAGTTTTAACGTAAACAAAGTAAAAAAGAAAGCATACTTTTGTTGATCCATCACCACTTGAAGGATATTCGATCACGTGATTTGGGTTGATACCATTCAAAATCTTGGACATAACCGTCTAAACAAATTAATCAGATAAAACATATTTTCCAGCAGCTTACTTGAAGTTTTGCGAGCTTTTCTTTGGTGACACTGGGAATGCCAAAAACAACTAGACAATTCTCTTCGTACTCATCTATGAGCGGCTCCTGTCGTAGCACATCGCCCAATAGTTCTAAATCCACAACATTAACTTTAGTTGTAAAAAGCTAGCCTTCATCGCTGATTGGGTCGTTGTAGCCGGGAGGATCGTCAAAGTTTGGCTCGACTTCTTCGTTTTCTTTATTATTTATTTCAGCTTCAACCATTACAATTTCTTCAATCAATAGTTGATGTTTTACCTGAAAAAAAATAAAATGAAGAACTTAAAAGAGTTTAAAATTTCTAAAGTGAAATAAATGTCAATTAAAAACGGCCCCAATCCTATCATTTTCTCGCTAAAACGTCTTTATACAAAACCAGATTCTTAACAAAAGCATTGTTATCGCTTTAAAAACAAGATCTAAATGAAAGCGCATTTGTAGTTGATGCAAATGAAAATGTCTTGAAAGATTGCCAAAAGACGTCTCGACGCGAACGGGACACCGTAATGGAATACTTTGGAAGTGGCCAAAGAGAACTGAGTAGAGCATGTTCAAAACACAGTTTGTGATTCCTGACGTAGGGGAAAGCTTTGCAGATATTAGATCTTTATATAACAATGAATTAAGAAGCCAATAAGATAGGCAAATCACCCAATACCGGATCACGGAACAAAAACAGAGTGACGGGCAAAAAAATGAACGTATGAAATGAAAATTTAATGTTTAGATTTTATAGCCTATTAGCTTAGTAAAAGTATTCAGTTGAAAAAGTGGACAATGATCAATTTACAAAATGTGCATATAAATTCTTGCATGACAACTTTTAGCATTCCAGAATGGGCATTTCGTGTACTTTTTTTTCTTTCTATCTTTTTTTCTTTATTAATTGAAGTACAGAAAATCAAAATAAAATAGCAACCCCGTAGGGCATGAAAGTAAGGCAAAGAATATTTCTGAATAATAGTTCAAAAAAATAAAGGAAGAAGAGAGTTGGTCAGATCAATTGATCCCCCCCCCCCCCTTAAAAACTAGTTTACAATGCAGCTTCCTGGCGGTGTAGAATTTATAAGTCAAAAATATAGAACAAAAATGATGCTTTCCGGTTAATAAATGGAGGTTTATCTCCCAGAAATCTGCATTTAAAAAATTTAAACTTAAACAATAAAATTTGGCTTTGAGATCGAATTGTGTTTTTTTGTATTTTCAGAACTGATGAAAGCCCATTGATGAAAGTGGAAAGTCCAGGGAAAATTTGTGAGATGCGAAGTAAGGAAAAAACCTGAGTAAGGAAAAGATTGCACCTAAAAGTTGTGTAAATTAAAGAACTAAGAACTTGCGATAAACTTTGAATCTTTAAATTTGTCTAGAAGTTGTTCTCGTCTAACAATTTCTACAAAATCTCTCAAATTTTCAAAATACCGTCTTTTCCAAATCCATTTTCTGGGCTTTAAATTCGTTCTCAAAGCCGATAATTCAAAAATGAAAAATTCGTTTAACTTCGCGCTTCTTTTTCCTCGTCGTTTTGGAGATTTGTTGGTGGTTCGTCATAGTCATGCCAGTCAGTTCCAAAAAAGACTCTGCAAAAATGTGATTTATTAACCAACTCTTCTCTTCTCCTTACCTCTAGGACTTGGCACATTGTGAACCTCGTCATATTTGCGCTGAATTCTGATCTGTTGTCTCAAACTTTAATTTCTCTCACTTACATTCATCACCTGGAGATATTTTGCCTCCATGAGACATTTCTCGGCGTTTGGCCGCTTTCGTGGGTCGACAGAGAGCATTATTTTAACCAAATCCAAGAAGTGATCCTCTGAAATGAAAATTTTTGATGATCCTTGTGATTATTATTGCTTTTGTCTACTATAGCTCTGCTTAATAGTGAGCTACAATGGCTACAATGGCTACAATTGCTAGTAAAAATCGAGCTACACTGGCTACAATTGCTAGTAAAAAACTGTCTTTTTGATTACAAGAAATAACTTGGCATCAGCTTAATAGATATCGTATTCCTTCAGCTTATAAAATCATTCGAGTTATAAACTTTTAAATAAGTTATAAACAAATTCTCTCCACTCACTTGTCAACGGTCCCCGATCTGGCTCCAGCCGTTTCGTCGGAATCTCCTTTTCAAATTGTGGCAACATCGGTTTACGTAAACCGAGTTCATCGTGGAACACATTGTCATACCTATAAGATATTAGATTTCAGTTTCTTTTATGATCTCCACTTACACTTGCTCGTATTGATCACTTTTCTGCCATCCACAAACTTTCAGAATCCTTTTCAACATATCAGCTTTAATCGTATGCGGACTCCATCCAGTTGGAGTCAACACTTTACAACCTAACATTTCGATTCCAACGACAGCTGTTGACCAAATATCGACTGGAAATTGGCTTTGACGAATAACGGTAATAGTACGTCAAAGTAAAGTAAAGTAAAGGTCAAAGTAAAGTAATTGACTGACCCTTTGTATCGTATGGCTTTCCAGCTAACATTTCTGGTGCTTGATACAAATAATCAGCTCCCGGTTGCAGTGTGTGTTCAAGACTCGGACTTTGCTTTCTCGAGCATCCAAAATCGATCAACTTTATAAGAAAACCATTTTGATTGACACCAATATTTTTTGGGGAAATATCCTAAAATTTGTGTTTATCAAAGAAATGAACTTTTCACTCACTCGATGAATGATATCATGTTCTTGTAGAAATTGGAGAGCTTTCAAAATTTGCACGAATAATGCTGAGAGTAGCCGGTGATCACGTTTGCGCTCACCACTTGAACCATCATCTTTAGAGATATGTCTGGAAAGAGTTATTGAGTTATTGAGCTTCAAATGGCAAGCTTCAAATGACAAGCTTTAAATGACAAGCTTCAAATGTTTCAATGTTATATAAGTCAACGACAATTTCTAATGAGAACTCACGCGTAATATTTGTCCAAAGAAAAATCAAGTCTTTCACGAATTATATAGAAATAAATTGGCCTTCTTTCCGCTATTTTCTTCCCAAAAACATTGATAATAGCGAGCAATCTGAAAGATTTTTCATAAAAAATCAAATAAACTTTAAAATCGTTTCTAAATCATTTCTGAATCATTTCTAAATCATTTCTAAATTTAAAAAAAGACCAACATGACGATGTTTTATAAGTCGTGAGAGTTCAATTTCTCGAATCAACTTTTTATAATCATAGTCACCAAATTGAACAAGATCAAAACGTTTTGCGACCACTCGGCCGCCCGCAGGTAAGAGAAGGCGTGCGGCTCTGAAAGAACAAGCTTGGTAGAGATTAAGAATTTTTTGTGTGCTGTGTGAACGTCAATAGGTGTTCAAAGGAATGCCATATGCCATCACTCCAATCATTTTGTTTTTGATTTTGAACAATAAACAATAAACAAAACAAATATTTTGAACAAAACTCTGCTTTAATTCATATAAAAATCAATCAAAATCAAAAAGATCGAAGTGAAATTGACAAAGAGATGCCATTTTTTCCGTTGAAAGCCTATTAACGTTCACATTTCTCAGATTTACTTGACAACTAAAGACTTTTCTTTTTGTAGAACTTTACATATCAATTCATTCTATCTTTAAATAAAAACGGAATTAGATTAGATTAGATTAATTTGTCTATTTTCTAGTTTAGAGAACTATTACTAGTTTACAGAACTAAAATACCTTTTATTTCAAGTAAAAAGTGATTATGAATGTCAAGTACAGTTGAAAGTACAGTTTTTGCTTTGAATTTATAAAGTAAACTTTTGTTTTGTTTTGTTATAAAGTTTTGTTAACTTAATTACTACTAGATTGCTATCTATGAAGATTGTTTTGTGGAAAACAATGGTTTAGCCTAGGTTTTAACTTTACCAGCAGCTTTCACCCCAAACACACCCCATTTTAGCACACCATAAAAGACTTTAAACATATATTATAGATGTATTATAGATGTATTATAGATGTATTATAGATTATTATAGATATTTTATAGATAAATACTATAAAATGATAGAATTTTCTATTAAAAAAATCGAATAAACTCAAAAAAAACGCACTCGAGCTTAAGCTTTCCTTTAAAATTGGCTTGTTTGATCTCTACGACTTTCGCTGTCTTCTCAACTCGAATCAACGTTTGCATTTAAAGCGAAACAAGTTTTAAATAAGAGTTTTAAATTTTTAGAAAAAGGAATAAACTCAAAATGCAAGCCAAGAATGAATAGGAATTTAGATTTCGTTTCCTTTTTGTGCTGAAATCAAAATGCTGTCTGTCGTTTCAATTTGATAAGGAAATGCTGAGGGGAATCAGCAAGGAATATTTTTCAATAAAATCTTATAAAATTTTGTTAGATAATAAAATAGAAAAAAAAAATTATCAGAAAAAAAAAAATAAAAAAAAAAAAAGAAATTATCAGAAATTATCAATGAAATTTATTTCTACACAAAACTCGGAGGAAATTGAGATTGGGTCGAGTTTTATTGAGAAAGTAGAAAATTGAGAAAGTGTTTAAGGAAGTGTTTATGAGAAATGAAAAACCCCCGGTTTCTACTAAATTTTTATCCAGCAATCTTTAGCGCAAAAGATAAGAAATCAAAAGAAAACGTATGTTGACATTAATAGAATTGGCTAAGTTTATGAATTTACAGTACTCTAATGTACAGTACAGTGTTACAGTGCACAGTACGGTGTTACAGTGTACAGTACGGTGTTACAGTGTACAGTACAGTGTTACAGTGTACAGTACGGTGTTACAGTGTACAGTACAGTGTTACAGTGTACAGTACAGTGTTACAGTGTACAGTAACAGGTGAAATTACAGTGTACAGTACGGTGTTACATGTGTACAAGTACGATGACCCACAGTGTACAGTACGTGTTACGGTGTACAGTATCAGTGTTGCACAGATTAATGAGTACGGGTGTTACAGTGTGGCGTACAGTACGGGTGTGTTGAGGTACAGTGTTACAGTGTACAGTAGTGTTACGGTACGTGTTACAGGTGTGCACGGTTTACAGTGTTACGGTTACAGTGTACAGTACAGTGTTACAGTGTACAGTACAGTGTTACGGTAACAGTCTAGTGGCTAGAGGTGTTCTCAGAGATGTTTTCAAATGTTTTCTCTTTCTCAGAAAAAATTCTCAAAGAGAAATGTTTTGAAAACGGGATTACGGTAAGTTTGAGACAGACAGACAGACAGACGGACAGACGAGAACAGACGAGACGGACAGACGAGACGAGACAGACGGGACAGACGGACAGACGGACAGACAGACGGACGAGACAGACAGACAGACAAAACAGTACAATAGATTTCAAAAAACTTCAGTAAGACGACGATATTTTGAAACAATCTTAGACTCTTCGAACTTGGGGACTTCAAATTGGTGCAATTGTTTTGTTTGTACTTGTTTGTTTGTTTGTTCTTATTAATTTATCGGAAAACTCACATGACCATATGTGTTGTCAAGATGTCGATGGTGTGAAATTTTTCCTTTGGCGTGTTCTCATTTCGCGAGACTCGATCCTGAAATAAAAAAAAAAATCAAATGAAACTAGCTCAATTTAAGAATTTGCTCTATTTTTCCATTTCCATCTCTTTTATATTTTCATTGATTGTTTTTAGATTTTATCCTCAAAATCGCACCTCCAAATCAACTCCAAAATAGTCAGGAACTTGGCAAGGGAAGGTGTAATCGTGAATCTGATCGACCACTTCAACCCTTTTCATTTCACCCGTGAAAGGCGGTGAATTGCTTGAATCGTCGAAAATCCATTTTGAAGTGATATCATCGTTTTCCTCAATCGGCTCCTCTTTTACTTGAACAGTCTTGCTTTGTTCATTTCCGATTTCTTTCTCTTTTTGTGGATTTGATGACATCGGTTCGTCGACTGAATGTAAATTCATTTTTTAAATTCATTTTAATTCGACCATAACCCACGATTTTTCTCTTCTTTTGGGTCCTTTTGACAATTCCCTGAATCGCCCATCTTCTTTATTTCAGCATTTCTAAAGTTTTAGAGATTCGAGATTTTTAAAGATTATTTTTATAAGATTGATAAGATTAATAAGATTTTTAAAAGCTTTAGGAAGATAATTAAGGAAAAATAGATTTATTTTTATGGACCGGATTTGATCAGTTTACGGTAGCTTTCTCTAGAAGAGACTTTTTAGAAAAATGACTTACCGTAAAAGAAAAATGACTGTAAGAGTACCCCAGTGAATTAGGTTCAGGATCAGAGATAGTAATTTAGCTATTTTTCCCCATTCTTTTCTACCGTAAATACTGTAATAGTACCCTACCCCCCTCGTACAGTCGTGTAGTCGCAAAAGTTTTTTAGTATTTCATTTTTTTCAAAGCGCTCGTGCTTCCAAAAAATGCGTCTTTGGTATCAAAAAATAGCGCTGAATTTCAGCTATTTTTTGATACCTAAGCGCGCATTGTAGCATAAACCAGTGTCGAGAAAAACTCGTTCAAAGCTAGACTACGCAACACTCCGCACCGTCATTATGGGGGTGGGGTACTATTACAGTATTTACAGTAAACAAATGGACGTTGACGATCAGTAACTGATTGATTCTTGAGTTTCTAAAAGATGCGCTTATGATTTTTAAAACGCATCTCTAGGCTGGTCAAAAGCTGGTCAAAAATACGGCAAAAATAGCCCTTCGCAGTGAAGTTTCTAAGTGTTTCTTATTCTTATTGAGTGCAGAATAAAATCATCTACATCTTGCATACTTTTGGATCACTTAAAACAGAATTAATGTCAAGAAAAGCTCAGTTAACCTCTTTTCTTCTTTTTTTTTGACATTTTCTCATCTCAAATTTATTCTAAACGTTTTAAACGGCTCCAAAAAGATTCAGTAGATAGCTGATTGATTCTTGAGTTTCTAAAAGGTGCGCTTATGATTCTTAAAACGAAGCTCGCCCGAGTGCACTACTATTAAGAATCATTTTTTACATCCAAAGAAAATAAGAAACACAAATAAAGGTGAATTTTGAAAACGCATTATTTTGGCCGCGCTGTTTGTACGCTTTTTTTGACCAGCTCTCCATTTGTAAGGTGCTGAAAAGTGTTTCTAAAAAGTGCGCGTCTAAAAAGCTACCGTACACGGTGTCGATTTTAGGAATTTTTAAGCTAATCGATGAGCTAGATAGTGACTATCAATCCAATGACAATCAGCTAATGATAGCAGCTTCAAATGTTAAGTTTTAAGCTGCTCATTAGCTGCTCATTAGCTTCTTTAGCCAGTGGATCTTTCAACTAAAGTATACTTTTTAGAAAACAACTTAATTTAGCTCAAAATGTAAAGAAAAAACTAAACGATTACCCATGGAAATCCTTGTGATTCATGTCTAGAAGTCTAGAAGAATAATTTCCAAAAAGATCAGATTCAAAAATGTTTCAAAAATGTTTCAAAAATGAGAACACTTTTAAAATGTCGTGAAACTGGTCAGTGATTCAGGTTTTTATGTGTCATTTAACCGGTTTGAACCAAGAGTTTCAAAATTTCAAGATTCGAAGTGTTTTGAAAATGATGTCATTCAATTTTTACATGAAATCTTCAGTTTTTTAGGAAAATTTAAGAAAAAAATGACTGTTTTTTATTAAATTCTTCAATCAATCATCAATCATTAAATTCTCCAATCATCTATTAGGCTAATTGCTGAAATTTCCCCCGAAAAGCAAAGAAAAACACGAAAATTTCGCCATTAAACGGATGATCATTTTTCTTGTGTCAGAAAATTGTTTTGCGCAAGGAAAATATCAAATGAACCGAACCAAACAGAAGCATACAAACAACGCTCTTTCCGGAGGAAGACTCAGTTTTGTGGTGTCAGCAAAAACCTTTTTTTCAATACGTTTCCGGAAGATTCTATACGTATCAATGATGAAAATCCGGTTTAATTTATTTTGAAATCATTTTTTTGTCACCAAAATTTCTCAATATTCCATTTCAACCGGAAATGCGATAAGAAAAAGAATGACCAAGTGACCCCGATTGAATTGTAGAATTGTTTGAACAAATAGAAAATAGAGAAATAAAGATAGAAAAGCCACACATTTGAAATCATTGTGTGAATCACACAATGATTTCAAATGAGTGAAATGGGTGAAAGACTCAACACAAAAGCGTAAAGGTGATTGGAAGAAATTATAATTCATTGAGATTCAATCCAGAAAATCTATTAATTAATTCAGTCCAGAAAGTCTAATCAATCAAATCCGGTAATCCAATCAGTCAATCTCAATATCAATCAATCCAATTCATTAGAAAAAAAGGTCCTTGTCGGTTATATCTAGAGTGTGTTCCTCGCGAGTAAGTAATTTGCGTGAGTAAATTTGCATGAGTAATTTTTTTGTGTTGGTCGAGTAATTTGGCGTTTTCTAAAAAGTGCGCCTGCGCGAAAAAAAATACAAAAGCAATTTTTTGCGCAGGCTTTTCAAAAAAAATAATTTTTTACATTTGAAGGGGATTTCCCACCAAATCAGCTAAACGGTTGAGTATCTTTAAAAAGTGTCGTATATAATGCGGGGCTCATGGTTTTTGCGTCATTTTTTGCAATAATTTTTGCTAAAAGTACGGTAATTTTCTCCCAAGTGTGCGCTTTTAAAAAACGCATTACTCGCGAGGAACACACTCTAGTTATATCCCCCAAAGAATGCCTTAATTTGTGATTATATATGAACTGATTTATGAATAAAACTCTTTTGCACCGACTATGATTGAGTGACACTGAAGAAATGAAAGATATGTGAAAGCTTGATTCATTGCTAAACTTTTCTAGAGTAAATTGAGCAACTGTAGGACAGTTTAAATGATGATTTTTCGACTATATGTTTGGAACAATGTTATAAATTTAAATCTAAACAAGTTAAATGCTATTGATATTGAGAAGTAAAACACATAATATCGTAAAGAAAAGCCAAATTTCATCGAAAAACCGTTTACAAGAGCTGCCCAGAGCAAAGAGAAAATGGCGTGATTGGAGATAAGACAGGGAAACAAACGCAGCTATAGCAAACAGATAAACAATGGTATTGATAAATAAATTGATCAATAGTAAAAAAAAAAATCGTAAACAAAGCTTTTTATGAAAGGAAGCCTTATCAGAAAGGAGGCACGTGGCACAAACAAAAAAAAGGCAAAAAAGCAAAAAAAAAAAAAACTTTTCAAGTTTTCATTTTTCATTAGCTAACTGGCATTTTTCTCGTTTTGTTTAAAATAATAAAATTCTTAAATCCTTATAAACCCGAATATTCCCTCATTTAGCTTAAATGTTCAAAAATTTGCCTAACTGTGACGCCCAACAAGTGACGTGTTCACTCCGCCTTTTGATAGACAAAAATGTTTGTCTTCAGTTTAAAGGTTGTGAGTTCAATTTTTATAATTGGCTAGATGCGAAATAACAGTTCTAGGTCAATCTATCGTCATAACAGAACACTATTCTCCTACAAAACTCAAGCTTTGTTTTCTACTTTACTTGCCGTATTCTCTCTAATAGTAGTGCACCCTGAGCGTTGCCTAAATTCCTCGAAATCTAGAAAAACGCTATCAGAACCCTATCGATGTGAGGTCGGAAAATGTAGCTGACGATGAGATCTAGCGGGGGATTGGAGTGTTGAGCTTCTGCAAAAGATCGGAAACCGTAAAATAGTCGCCAGCATCGGCTCGCCCGGGTGCACTACTATTAGAGAGAATACGGTAACTTTATCGTATAAGATCGTAGTCTAAAAATAGTTCAAATAAAAACAAAAATATTATCTGGGGGAGGGACAATAGAACCAATGAAACTATAGTCAAAAAAGAAAATTTAGAGACGTATAACCCCAACAGTCTGAACCAACGTTGCTAAACATCAGCCAATATGGCTTTGGAGCTTTAAACTAACGCATAGTTCCGATCTCTCGAAGTTAAAAGGATCCCTTCTCTCAAATTTATAGCTTCAACTTCACATTTAAAGCAAAAAGTTTGAAGAGCAGATTGAACCCACCATCCCCTTGAGACAATCAGTTTTGGCCTAGAAGGGGGGGGGGAAAACGCTAATCACCTCGATCACGAGGGGACGTGGTCGAGGTGATTAGCGTGGTTAGGTTAGCGTTTTATTTGAAAACGATTGCCCGAAGGGCCGTTCCAAGGGCCGTTGAAAGCAATAAGCGACATAGCTAAGTGGCTGGGCTCAAGAAAGTGGTCTCAATCTAGATAATATTATCGTTATTCTTGCCTGTAAACCATGGCTTGATTGGCTTTTGAACCGAATATCAATAAGTACTCCAATCCATCATCTTACCAAATCTTTATTTACACGAATCATTTCCTTTATCTCGTTTACAATCTCCAATTCATACCTCCCCTTGTTGACGAGCATCTTCGTGAGCATTTCCTCTTTCGTTTGCTCGATCGTTTGCTCGATCGATCGTAATCTAAATCTTTTCTTGTTTCCAAAAAAAATAACTATTTTTATTAGCTAAACAATTTGTGAAAATTTATCGAAAAAAGTTGGCGATAGGGGATTCGCCGCTTAAATAGGTACGTGTTCGCAATCTTTTTGTGAGAAAATAGCTACGTGTTCGTAATCTCTTTGTGAAGAAAATCTTTAGCAAGAATATTTTGGGGTAAAGTTTCTCAACAAAAAATCCCTTTATTCACCTCTTTCATAGGCCATAGAATTTTTTTTTACCCTTTTTTTTTGTCTTTTTTTGGATTTTTAGATTTATTGGGGTTTTGGTCTGTCTGAACTGGCTTTCTGAAAAAAATGTCTGAAAATTTTGACATTTCCCCCTGAAAACCCCAGAAACCCCAGAAACAATGCCCTTTTCAAGGAAGATTTGCGAATTTAAGAACTTTTGCAAGTGTTTACAAAGTGAATTTTTGATTCAGCTGAGCTGGTTTTTGCCAGCTCAGTCCAGAGTCTTTTTTGACACGTACTTGATTGTTATCTTTTGGGCGAACCGGGAAGTACCAGTTTTTACTGGATTCTCTCGAAAGTTCTCGTTTGATTGATTGTGAGCAGCAGAGAATGAAATTCGTGTTGCAATTGTATCAAACTTATTCGTGTCGGAAGGAAAATATTTGAATTTCTAGTTTATAGGAATTCTAGAGTTTAGAGAGTTTAGCGGAAGGTTAGAGAAAATTATTGCTAAATGTTTGCATATTTTGAACATGTTGCAAATCATTTACGTAACTCATTTCTTGAGTCACTGGTGGGAAAATTGATAATCACAAGTGGAAACCAAGTGATTTGTTGAGAAAATCAGAAATTATTTGAAAAACTCTATGATGGTATACGGCCTCGGTATATGGTGCTTCACTTTTGGAGTCCGTAAAGGGGAAAGAGCGGCCGTCTGATGGGCCGCTGTGGGCGTTGCTATACCCAAATCTCTGGGAGCTGCCTCAAATTTGACTCTATTTTTATTACAAAATTCACTTGAGCCGAGCGTTGGAGTGACTAAATTTTAATAATTTTAAGGGATAATGGAATGAGTTACGTGAATGATTTGGAAAATTTTCAAAATATGCAAAAATTTAGCAATCATTCTCTCTAACCTTCCTCTAAACTCTCTAAACTCTAAAATGAATGCAGCAAAAACTAGTACTTTTGGATTTGCCCAAAAGATAAACGCCAATCAAGTACGTATAAAAAATTCCAGAGGGGAAACTTTTGACAAAATGCCACCAAGAAATGAAGTTTTGATATCGTACAATTAAACTACTCTTTGAGTTGTCATTGGTTAGAGGATCTACAATTTATAGCAAAAAAATTCTAGCCCAGAAGGGGAACTTTCCACAAAAAGCGGCCAAAAAACGCCGTTAAAGGAAACTTAATTTATCTACTGTTTGAGTGACACAATGGTTCAACAGGGTCTCAAATTTGTAACAAAAATAGAGCCAAATTTGAGACCAAAATTGGTCCCAGGGATTTGGGCATGATGACGCCCAAAAATGGCGAAACCACCTCACCGCTCCTTCCTCTTTACGGATTCCAAAAGGGAAGCCCCTATACCGAAACGGTATGTCAGAAAGCGAGCGGTTACGTGGCCAGACAAAGAACACCTCGCTAGAACATATGATAGATTTTCACAATGAAAAGACCCGTATTTTGTCGAAAAGACTTGGATTTCCAAGAAGAATCTTTTTGCTGTTCAATTGAGATTTTCCCCTAACTGAAGTACTTTCTAAAAAGTGCGTTTAGCCACTCTCGATTTTAACTACCGTATTCTTAAGGGCTAAGCCAGCAAATCCTTATTGCTATTCATGCTCAGAATTTGCTTTATTTAGAATTTTTAGAATTTATTTAGATTAGATTTAGATTTTAGAAAAATTTAGAAAAAAGGTATAACCTCCGACAGTCCAAAGCAAAAAGTCTTGATACCTTTTCTCTTTTTTCTTTTTTTTTGTTATGCTAGAGCTTTGCTGATTTTTATGATATTGTTTCTTTTTAGAGATGCCGTACAAGCAATACGACAGTCCCACAAAGGAGCGAATTGTTGGAGCTCGAAAAGCCGGACTCAAAGTCAGTGTGATTGAAAAGCTCTTCTTTGTTTTGAAGATGACAATATGGAGGCTCTGCGAACGGATGAAAGAGCGTGGAAATTGCATCGATTAAAGAAAAAGGCCGACAACCAAAAAGAATGTCTCGAGAACTTCGACTTCGACTTCTGGTACTTCGACATTTCCTCGCCTCAGAAAAGCTACTTAAAAAGGGAATTTGGGATTGATTTACTCTCGCAAACGATTCGAAAAGAATAGAAATTTCTCGAGTTGTTTCATAATGACGACCGCTCGGAACCTTTGATGCTTCTTGGACACAGGAGGCTCTTGCTTGGAATTCACGGACCTACCAATACTGTCGACGATCGCTGAAAACGGGCGTTGTGGAGTGATGAGTTAGGTTCAAGTTGTTCAATTTGTTCAACAGTAATGGCAACTACATCATCAAGAGACTCACTCGAACACGATAATAACTTTGAATACATCTGGACAGACTGTCAAATTCAATGGATAAGAAGGCTTTGCATAAGCCATCAGTTGGACCTTTAGTGCCGAAAGATGGAATCATAGACAGTGGAAATATCAGGATATGATATAAAATGATATGCTTCCTTACATAAATGTAGCAATAAGTCCAAACTGGCTGTACCAGCAGGATGGGGATCCAAAACATACAAGTGAATTGATGTTTGGAAAAAATTGAAGATCCTATCACGAATTTTCGTGAGATTGCCTGGCTGATTATGCCTCAACAACGTCATTTTGCTGCGAACACGACCCTATTTGCCGGATTTTAACCCAATGAACATTTATAAGCTCATGTCAAGCAAAAATTTCGAGAATTCCGCTTTACGTCAAAAAAAGGAGCCTTGAGACAAGGCTCAGGACATTTGGAGTTCCATTTCACAACGAACCGCAGAAAAATTGATCGCAAGTATGCGAAACCGACTTCAAGAGATTTCAAGAGATTGAAAAAGCTTCAAGAGATTAAAAAAGCTAAATAAGGCTCGACACGATACTGAATTTTGTTAGAAATAATCAGCTTTTAAAAAGAAATCAAGAAAAGATACCAAAACTCTTTTTTGTTTATTAATAGTTTTTGTAAAGAGTCGATCTTGTGTTAATTGCAAGTTTCTAACTTTGTTTTATTTAATGAAACAAAAAACGAGGCTGAATCCAATATTTCTGGATACTAATTTGCTACTAATTAGTACTACTACTACTTTTCTATATATCAAGACTTTTTTTAGCCACTGTATATGCTCAAGTATTCTATATTAAAAGCCAGAGCCTAGTCCTTAAGTGAGACGACTAGTTTGCTAGTTAAAATCATAAGCAAAAATGAAATCTTACCGTACTCCAAGTGATTCTTTGCTGAGAATATTTAAGCACAATAATGTCTTTTTCTATTTTCATTTATCTTTTATATAGTTTTAAACTTAGGTCATTTTTTTCGTAAAATATTACTCAAGAAATTGTCTACAAATGATTGAAGGGTTTTTTTAGATGATCGTCTAGGATGAACTCATTTTTCCTTTTCCATCATGGAGTTTTTCAAATAATGTCTCATTTTCCCAACAAATCACATGGTTTCCACTGGTGACTGTCAATTTTCCCACCCAAACCAGTTTTGTCAAAAGTTACCCTTTGTAGACTCTATATCATGACAAAACTCCTATAAATTTAGAAATTCAAATATTTTCCTTTCGACACAAATTTCACTTTTGAGAAAAGTCTTTGCTTCTCTGATACTCACAATGAATCAAACGAGAACTTTCTGATTGCGAAGCATTTTTGAACTTGACTGATTGTGAGCATCAGAGGAGCAAAGGCTTTCCTCAAACATGAAATTCGTGTTGCAATTGTATCAAACTTATTCGTGTCGGAAGGAAAATATTTGAATTTCTAGTTTATAGGAATTTTAGAGTTTAGAGAGTTTAGAGGAAGGCTAGAGAGGATGATTGCTAAATTTTTGCATATTTTGAACATGTTCCAAATCATTCACGTAACTCATTTCTTGAGTCACTGGTGGGAAAATTGACAGTCACCAGTGGAAACCAAGTGATTTGTTTGAGAAAATCAGAAATTATTTGAAAAACTCTATGATGGCATACCAGCATACCGCCTCGGTATAGGGTGCTTCACTTTTGAAGTCCGTCAAGGGCCTGAGGGGCCGTCTGATGGGCCGCTGTGGGCGTCGCTATGATTTGGAACATGTTCAAAATATGCAAAAATTTAGCAATCATTTTCTCTAACCTTCCGCTAAACTCTCTAAACTCTAGAATTCCTATAAACTAGAAATTCAAATATTTTCCTTCCGACACGAATAAGTTTGATACAATTGCAACACGAATTTCATTCTCTGCTGCTCACAATCAATCAAACGAGAACTTTCGAGAAAATCCAGTAAAAACTGGTACTTCCCGGTTCGCCCAAAAGATAAATGTCAATCAAGTACGCGTCAAAAAAATTCTAGAATTCGTGTCAAAAAAGCTGGCAAAAACCAACTCAGCCATTTTCCTTTTACAGATTCCAAAAGGGAAGCCCATATACCGAAGCTGTATGTCAGAAAGCGAGCGGTTACGTGGCCACACAAAGAACACCTCGCCAGTTACTTTACACAGTGATTTTTCTTGCTTTCTAGATGATACAAAAAGAAGATATTGAACTGTGAATTTGTAGCCGAGGGTTTTCAAGGTCTGAGAATCGATTAAAGCTATTCATTTTATTGATTCTACCATCTGGAAGACGGTTTTAATTGGTCTAAGCTCTTCGATAAATTCGGAAACGTATTAGCTTATGTTGGAGAGGAGATTTGCAGCTCAAGCCAGTACACTTATCAGAAATAGTTGACTTTTGGGAAAAAATCCGGCAAAACCAGCAATTGCT